TGCTGGTTGGTCTAAAAATTGGCGCCTATTTTGATCATTCGAAACATTTCAACTTTTTCCAACTTTTGAAGCAAATGAAATTTTTCCATTATCAAACCCTTTGATCCTTATACACTCCTCAAAAGTGAAATTGCAACACCAAGAAATAATGCACGTCATGCAAATTTCAAGAGCGATAGTAGTGAGATGGATATGCAAATGATTAAAAAAACAGACTAATAAAACTATTATAAAGCAATTTATTCAATATCTAATGTGGCCACCTCGGGCAGCTATACAGGCCTCAATCCGGCGAGGCATGCTATCCATGACTCCATTGATGGTTGCCTGAGGTAACTTTTGCCAAGCCATCTTCACTGCTGTGGGCAGATCATCGATGGTTTGCGCCATTGGTCCTCTGTTCATGCCACGTCCAATGAGATCCTATAGGTTCAGGTTCTATGGGATTCAGATCTGGAGAGGCTGCCGGTCAGGGAAGGATGTCAAATCCAGTCAGGCTGTTAAGAGTTCGCCGTGCGACATGCGGCCTGGCATTGTCTTGCTGGAATACCGTGTTGGGTGCGTCCTGCAACAAGGGCAGAACAACGGGATACACCACTTGTGTGACGTAGCGGTCAGCTGTCAAACTGCCGTGAATGTGTACCAGGGGAGTTCTGCTATCAAACATTATGCCACCCCAAACCATGATGCCCGGTGTAGGACCGTTGTGACGCTCGGCGTAATGGGCTGGTTTGTAGCGTTCTCGCCGCCATACCCGTCAACGGCCGTCATTTCTCCACAGACAGAAACGAGATTAATCCGTGAACAATACCCGATGCCATTGGATGGTCCAGGTACGATGACGATGACACCAAGTCAGGCGTCTAGCCCTGTGTAAAGCGGTCAACGGTACCCCTGTTGCTGGTACCCGTGCACGTAACTGTACTTCATGCAATCTGTTGCGTATGGTTTGGGTGGACACAGATCCACCTGCTCCTGAAGGCAACCGGCTTCGTATGGCACGTGCCGTGGAGAAAGGGTCTCGAATAGTCAACTGGCGAACACGCCGGTCTGTGCGCTCTGACGTGCACCTGTGCGCACCACTTCCTCTTCGGCGTGCACGTAGACCTTCCTGAATCCATCGTGTGACACAACGTTGGATGGTACTCACGTTGTGCCCAACACGAGTTGCTGTTGCGCGCAGCGACAAACCAAGTTCATGGAGTTCGATAATACGGTCACGTTCCCCGGTCGTTAACTGATGGTATTGAGCTCGCCAAAGTCTCATAGGCATTTTCTACGCTTTTTCGAAAGTCTCAAATACTACGCAAAACCTCAGATGCCGTTTATGAGAAGGGAAAGTTGCTGGCCTTTATAGCCCGAATATGCGTACCACGTGATCAGATGCGTGCGCAAATTTAATCATTTGCATATCCATCTCACTACTATCGCTCCTGAAATTTGCATGACGCTACGTACATCATTTCTTGGTGCTGCAATTTCACTTTTGAGGAGTGTATAATACTCGACCCCTTGAGAACGTTCGTTATCATTAATAATAATAATAAGCTGGAAACATCACTGAAAACTCTTAAATATGGGTACATGTTCTAGGATCTCAGCCTTGACGTTCAATAAAAACCTAACAACTGAGAGCAGGAATTGTATCAACGATAACAATCGAACTATCTAAAATGCCCGAATTTCAAGTAAGGCTTTGTGTTTAATGGTTAAAATTGCCAAAAATTTAAAATTGACAATAAGTTAAAATTTTGTAAATGTTTCATAAAAAGATCATCTCTATTTTATCATCATTCGTTATTTATACCGATATTATTGTGGCGTAACTACCACTACGTAAATTAAAACATAAATTCACTGGTATATAAGACATGCTAACTTGATTCAATCTTGAGGTACCTTTCGATCGATGAAGGTTGGCATTGTCAATAACTCATCCCCCCACGTTGGTGACCCGGACGTGATGTGATCACGCCTATCTTGATAGTAACGCCCACTTCGCTCTAGTAACACCTACTTCAATGGATGGTCCACATTGAATAGTTCACTAGCTACTTGTCTCTGCGACATTATCCACCTCCTCACGCTGTTGCTTCCCAGTCTCGTCTCGATCATACACAACGTCAGCCTGCAAACACACGACTGCTAAATCCAACACAGGAGCGACTACGACCGTGAAGTTAATACAATAATTACATTTAGGTGATAATAAAGTTCTGAAAATTGTTTTCGAAAGGGCTGAAAGTGGTACCTTCTAGGAAACCGGTTGCCTAAGTTGTACTACCTACGCAATAAATTGTACCAACCACAAAATATTGAGTATTTATGATTTTGTTTCATAATTATATAATTGACGATGAACTGAAGACCAGATTCTAAATTTACAAGTATCAATGTTAAACTCCATACCCTTATAGTTTTAAACCTCACGGAGAAAATAAACTAACTTCTGGATCAAGCATTGGATTTAAATTGTTTAAAAGTATAATAACAATATTATAAGCCTGTAAAATGTTAACGAAACGTGTTGTTACGTGCTCTAAAGTTCAAGCGGAATATTTCTAAGTGCCGTTTGTTTGGACTGAATCATTTTTGGATTGATGCATCTTTCTTCTTCTTAAGTTTTAAAAGTTGGAAAACTGGTTTACAGTTAAAGACTTGGGCATTGAAGATACGGTAATAGATTGGTCCATCAAATCATATTACTTGACCAACCAGAAGGCTCATTACTAGGTAAAGCACCCAGAAATTTGTCTGTCTAGAATGTCCCAAGAATGATCGATGGGGTTCAGATTCGGAGAACACACGCTGGCCAAGCCATTCGTATGATTCCTTCCTCCAAAAGGAAATCATTCACCAAGTTAGCACGACGTGAAATTCATCCAAGTTAGTTAACGTGCCCTGCAATTGTCGTCTATTAGCATGAAGTCATCTCCATTTGCTGCAGCGTAAGGGACTGCAATAGAACTCAGGATCTCATCCCTATATCGGCGACCGATCAGAGATCCATTTCGAATGATATGAAGATCGGTGAGGCCATCAATGGAAATGAAATCATAGACCATCACTCCCCCACCGCTAAATCTTACATTTTCATGCACGAATACAGGATATTTTTCTATTGCCACTTTCCCTCCAAATAAAAATACGTCTATTATCAGGATGAACAGAAAAATGGGATTCAAGAATATTGCGCCATTCATTTCTCCTCCAATTCACAGACTCTGTTATCCACTCCCTGCGCACTCAACGCGGCTTTGTTACCGTAACACACACCATTGGTCTGCGATCATACAGACTTACAGCGTGAAGTGAAGGCAGTTTCTGACAGTTAGGTTCGAAACCGTGGTGCCAGTAATCGATCGAAGATCTTGTTAAAGAAGAGTGGCTTCATATTTCGGTGCCTCCGAGCCATTGGCGTTAAAATACGGTCTTCATTAGGCGTTTTTGCACGTCTACGCCCTTGCCACGATCTTATTGCATTTCCAGTCTCCATAAAACGGTTCCAGATCCTGGAAATCCAATGGCTTCCGCAACATCGGCTTGCGTTTGGCCCCCCTCTAGCCGGCCAACAACTCTCCAATTTTCTGATTCGGTTAAATGACTTCGTTCAAAATTTGCATAGTGCGAGGTTTGAAAATAATAAAAATTTGCATTTGTGCATGGGAGTCCGTTTTATGCACACACGCATATATATATGTAAGAAAATAAAAAATAATTCTGTTTTCTTAGATCGAAAAAACTTAAATCAAATCATTCATCAGATAGAAGTTTACTATCGAAGGAATGCGCCCTACGTTCGGCCTGTTCGTGGCAAAAATATAATTTTCTCTCCTTTTCAGTAACGTAGTCTTCACTCAATTTTATTCCATTTTTTTTTAAATTTTATTTATTTATTTTCATGTTATCTATCTGTTTGTTTTTAGAATATCGTTTAGCTTTCGATTGGCGATAAAATAGCAAAACATTTTGTTTAAGCAATTTAGGAAACAATTGGGTGCTTGTATTTAGACAAGATGAAATTTTAGTTATTTCAAGCTAATCGGATAGTGGTCAAAATTTCGATTGATAGTTAATTTTATTTCGAGATAAACTTTTCTAGCAACGTTTAGACAACTAGTTTGATGGTTCTAACTTCTGACTGAACGAAAAATTTTACATGACGATAAATTATATTTTTAGCTATCAGGGATTAATTAAAACTTATATTATAAACAGGCACCATCCAGTTAGAATGTATGAATTTAACTGATTTAAGTTTTTACTGACAATAATTCTTATTTGGCGAGATAAATACGACTTACAACTATCAGGAAATAATTGAACTTTACATTGCAATTATTTAGTTGCAGTAACAATTTGAGCATTTTATAAATTGGTCTGAAAAAAAAAGAAATTTTGATTGACAATTAAATATATTTGACGATATCATTGTAATTTTTAATTGGCAATAATATGACGATAAATTCTGTGTTTAACGAGCAGAAAACAATTGAAACTTGTAATGTGATCCAGCACTAAACTGCTGTAAATATTTTATGATCCAGGATACATGAGAACTCACCACTCGGGTACTATTTTTCTCTCAATGGCTTTTAGATGCGGCAACCACATGCAATGAGAATGTTCCCTACATAGTTTCCACACATTCGCCCGCATTTTTAACGCAATAGGATGCAGTGTGAATGTCCATTAAAATTACAAAACCATTTTGAAAAGACTCAAACTATGCAAGCTTTAAACCAATCCAATTCAACATCGTAAGTTTTCAATGTAATGACTTTGCTCTGTCGTTCATCAATTCAAATGTAAACAAAACACAAATTTTTCCTTCTTTATAATATGTTAAATGTCTCTCTATCGTTACTTTTGTAGGATAATTTATGCTATGCTTCTATTACTTGTTGTAGATAGGATCTAAAATATGAATTAAAATTCTATTCTTAAAGTAATAGAAAATCGTAGTTGTATGATATGGTTACGAAATTCATCTTCCAACAATGGATGTATTGAAACTCAACAAAGAATTAAAAAAAGCTGTGTTAGATGAAAATTTTGAGAGAGTTGCATATCTTCTCGAAAATGGTGCTAACGCTACTTATCGTGTTAATACCGATGCAGGTAATTTATTACATCACACTAATAATGTACAAATTGCGTCATTATTGATCGATAAAGGTGCAAAAATAAATGCACGGAATCGATATAGGAAGACGCCGTTACACATTGCTGTTGAAAACAACAATTCAGAATTAGTTTCTTTACTTCTTAAAAATGGCGCTTCCATGTCAGATGTGGAAGTTATATGCAAAAAGAATGCCCTTAGCGTCGCTATATCAAACAATAACTTAACAATTGTAAAACTTTTAGTTGAATCTGGCTGCAATATTCATGAACCGATGAATATGTTTCTTGATAACACTCTTCATTTAGCTTTGAGAACAGCTTTGAATGGCTTTTTTGGAAATAATGAAATGATATTATATTTGCTGGAAAAAGGAGCTGATCCGACTGTACCAGATTCTGACAAACACTACCCTATTCATTTAGCCCTGAAAAATAAAAACTGTTCTCCATCGATGATATCAAAACTTGTCAAGTATGGTGCTGATATTGATTGCAAAGACAGTGTCGGTAACACTCCTCTTCACTATGTTGTAGGTACTTTTAGCAATGTTGACCTTCTTAGGGTTGTACTCAAGCATTCACCCATTTTAAATTCTTTTAACAATGATGGTCTCAATCCGTTACATGTTGCTTTATGCCACTGTGCAGAGCCAGACATTATTAGGTTATTGCTATCGTATTCTGATAGTACTAATGTTTACGATATAAATTATTTCCAGGACTGTGTTCCAGTAGTTCTGATAAATTCATTTCGATCAGGAAAGTTTGTAAATGTCTGTGACAAATTATTAAATTCACCTTTATATATAGCTGTTGGTAAAATTAAATATCTTAGTATTGATGTTATAGAAGAACTATTACAACATGGTGCAAGTACAAAAAATATTTCTTTATTTGCTGTGAAGATCAAAGAAAAATTTGATTTATTTGATCTATCTTTAACATATTCTGGTTATCAAAAGTATCATCCATTGGAAAATGAAACTGGAGCTAAAAATAATGATACCATCATGAATGATGTCTTCAAATTGCTTGTAGAATATGCTGTTATTAATCATAATGTTGAGGAATTCCTCGACATTGATCTCTTCGAAAATAGCATTGAAGCGTACATAAATCTCTGCCAAACTGAAATTTCTTTACTTGAAAAAGAACTTGGTTTATCTTTGCTTGAACTTTCTAACCTCAGAAGTACAAATAGTTCTTTACCTACTGCTTTGTTAAATCAAATGATTGAGATTGCAACAGGTTATAAGTTTCCCATTTATAAACCTTTCATTCGAGCACAGTTCAAAAGGTCTGAGCTATTAAATATGCTTTTAAAACAAAAGATACTTGTAAATGACAGAAACCAACAAAAAACTGTTTGTCTTGACTGGGCATCTGTATCTCATCTAGCTAAATATTTAACCAATTTAGACTTACTTAATTTAACAGCTACTTATTATAAGTTCACTAGCATTAGCTCCAAGTTTAAAATAAATAAAAATAATAAGTTTAATCAACACCTCTTGTGTAATCCTTGTAATTATGATAATAAGCGACTCATAATGTGCTCCGAGGATGATATAAGCATGCGTAATAATTATTTCTATGGCAAACAACAAATTAAGCATTTTGACTTGCTATGTGTGCCATTAAATGACAAGTTTGTAGGAATTGAAGGTATGGCTCAATGTACAAATTTAAATGTAATTGATGGGTGTCAGTGTTCCTTGCTGCTTAATGCAATTCAAGAGTGTAAATCTGTGGAGATTGTTGAATGTTTGTTAAAACTAGGAGCTGATATTTTTACTGTGACAGAAAAATCTTTTGATAATGCCTTACACATAGCCTTACAAGGTATACATAGCAATACTCTTATTATTATGAGAATTTTACTGAGATATGGCTCAAAAGCTAATATCTGCAATTATGCCAAGAAAGCAAAATTTCTACCTGTTGAAATTGTGAAGTCATTGAAATCTAGACTCTTTGTCAATATAGTGAATGCTAATGGCGATACACCGATGCATTTGGTATTGCAACATTCACTTAACAACAGCATAAAAGATATTATTATTGAGTTGTTGCTTTATGGTGGAGATTTAACAATGATGAATAATTTAGGCAGAAATCCTATATTTTATTTTGCTGCAAGAGTTCAGGAAATACCACCTCATGAAATCAATCAAATGGACATTGCAAAAAAATTAATGAAAGTATTTATCAAGTTTAGTGCCATAAAAAACAATTTTGATTCTCAGATGTTCAGTCCTTTACATTTATTTTTCAAAGATTCATATATATGCAACTGGACATTGGATTGCAAACATGAATTATCCTTGCTTGAAAAAGAGACAGTTTCTGACTCTTATATTCTGAATACAAAAACCTGTGAAGATAAATGTGTGTTGTCGCATATGCTTGATAGAATTTTTGAAATATGTGACAGGCATGAGTATCCAATTTATGAAGAACTTTTAGTTTCTAAGATTAGCAAATCAGATTTGTTGAAGCGATTGACTAAACTTGTGCTTAATAAGCTGCCTTATCAGAGAAAAACTAACTTTGCTATTTTGTCAATTTTACCTTATATAACACAATATTTAAACAAACAAGATCTTTTGACTTGGGTTATAGCATTTGCTGTACAATCTAGTCTTAAAGCACCCCTTTTAAAGTGCACTAGTCTAAAACGTTCCATATGTGATTCATCTTCCAATGGAAACTATATAGTCCCAATAAAAGCTATAAAGTTTTCAAATGAATGAAATGTGATTTTTAAAACTAATCTATTAGATTTTGTAGTTAAAAATATTAACTTTTATACAGATTATTCCAGTACAAAAATATTATAAAAATTATCTTGTGTATTTTTAGCTAGTGTGTACAGGTGTTTTTTTTTTTTTCTGTTTAAAATTCTGTGAGTCAGTATTAACTATTGAAAGAAGCAATCTAAAAGTTTACAGTATTAAAGGATTTCATATTGAAGTGTTGACTTTGAATTGTTTTATAGTTTTACTGGTTGTTGGTGAAAGAGACCATAAGATCGGCTAGTTGTCTTTTTTGAAGAAATTGTATTTAACTCTTATTTATATTATAGATCTAATTCTTAATTATTGTAAGAAAACATAACTTGAAGGGGGAAAAAAATAATTTAAAAATTTTCACTTTTTCCTGGCATAAGGAAGGGCACGCTGAACTTAATTTGAAGCAAAGTGTGTTTCATAGTACTAAATTGAAAATACTAATCAGAACTGCTCTGTTATGACTAAATCAAAAACATGAAAAAGTTTGATATTTAGTTCTATTACATTGCATAGTTGTAAAAACCAGTGGAATTAATATTTAAACTGCCTTAACACTAGAAAGAAACATAAATATATCTATTCCGACTCTAAAATTTTTATGGTATATACATTTTTGAATGATCGAAATTAATAATTACTGCTGGTAAAAATAGAATTTCTTTATTTTGGCAAAGAAATAGTCTCAGACCACCCAACTCTAAAATTAACCTATCTTAATACAATCCTTATTGTCATAAAATATAAAATAGTACATATAAAAATGTATTTTAAAACATGTTTTGGTAACAAGCTTCTACTTACTTATCCTCTACGTGCCTTTGGGCACTTAAGGCCTCTAGCATATCCCTCATGCCTCCTGTCTCTAGCAATAGATCTTGCTTCCTCCCAGCCAGATATTCTACATTTTTTTTAATTCGCCCAAAAACATGCGCTGGATGGTAAGTCTGGGTCTTCCTCTTGTTCTTTTACCATCAGGGGCCCACGTAAGTACAACATATGTAATTTTTTCTTTGGGCATTCTAAGTATATGTCCGAACTAGCTCCATCTTTGTTTTTTAATTTCATCTTCTATTGTTTTTATTTTAGCTTTCTTTAATAGATTTTGACTTGATACTTTGTAAGGCCAGAAAATTTTAAAAAAAAATCTTAAACATTTGTTTTGAAAGGTTTCTAATTTTTGTATTTCGATCTTAGTCTGTTTCCAGGTTTCTGCGCCATATAATAGTACCGCTCTAACAATAGCTTTGTAAACAACTATTTTTGTCTTTATTTCAATATTTGACTCTCTCCAAAATTTATGTAATCCCTTAAAACATTTTCTTGCTTTGATTATTCTCTGTCTAATATCTTCACTACTTCCACCTAGCTTCTAATTTAGTGTTATTTGTGTCTAAACTGCAAAGTGTAATTTGTTAAACATCAACTCTTGTATCTAATCTTTTGGGGAAAGTAAAATTTAATTTTTTTTTCTGAAGCACTGAGAAATATTAAGTAAGAAAAAGTTTATTTAAAAAATGTTACACTATTTTTATATATAACCATTATAATTAAAAAATTATTGCAATAAATAAAACTAATTAACTACTAAGTACTTAAATACATTATTGTAATGAGGTATACTTAATTTTTATTTCATTGAAATAAATGAGTTGAACAACTTAGCAATTGAGGGAGAATGTATCCTGTCAAGGGGACACATATTTTTAGCAATTTTAGACACCCTCTCTATCCTTGTCAACAAAAATACTTCCCTGTTTTATTGTAATAATCTAACTTTCAGCACTTTAGGATTGAATTCAAATAAAATATGTAACTTAGCATAAGTCAAAATTTTCGTTTTTATTCATTAATTTTGAAACTTCTTGAAGGAATTTTTTGTCTAAATAAAATTCTTTTTTAGGATCTGACATAAGCATTGCTTTTACCCCCTTTTTCCTTTTAGGTGTTTGCATAACATGTGGTAACTTAGTTTGGGAAATGTTACGATAGCTAAATATTATATTCGCAACATATTAATAATAAATCATAAGCAGAAAAGTATACACTTAAAAAATATACGTTAAAAAATACTCTATACAAGTAGTTTTAGAAACTTGGATACTAATTTAATTTTCACTAATATCCCCAGTTTTAAATTTCTTTTTCTTCTTCTCTAAAGAAGTAGACTTTCGCTTCTTTGAAGATACATCAGATTTTTCAATTGAGTTTGTGGTTTCTGTAGAAGATTGTGCTGATTGACTTGGTGTGATTGGCATCTTTTTATCTTTCTTGGAATCTATTTTTCTTCAGGGGAAAAAAAAAATTAGATATTTTAAACTATGTGATTGACAAAACAATTAGAAGCTTAGTCCAATAACAAGGTAAGTAAAGATTCACAATTTGTTGGCAGAGCCATTAATTTAAAAAATTCATATGGGAGAATACTGATTTTACATTAGTGTGCAGTTTTTGCACTAATCAAAGCGATTCTATATCAAATCAAAGCAATTCACAATCAAAAATACAAAAGAAATTTAGACTTGCCTTATTAATGCACTAAGCCTCATTTATTAAAGATAACTTGGTATTGACATAAGCAAGTATTTTGTTTTAGAATTTCAACAGTATGCCAACATTTCTTGCTTGATTCATGAAAATTAAGTACATATGATCTAACACTTCTGGTATACAGAAATGATAACATTATACAACAATGAAATAATTTTTATAGTAGATCTATATTTAAACATTGCATGTAATATACTTAAGAAAAGATAAGGATTGTATGGAATAATAAATAATTTAGAGAAATATAGTTGATATTGTGGATATTTTAGACTTTTTTTTATAAATATCACAAAAAAGATATGTTTGTGAAGTCTTTTGTAAACTTTTGCTGAATCTAAAATGACTTTTTGCCATGATCCTGTTTAAGTAATTATCTGAAAAGGTTGGTTTTTATTAAAAATAAGGGGAAAAAACAGAAAAGCTATGTCTTCCAATTTATAAAAAAATACTTTGAAAACCTTTTTCGCCTCTCAGTTGTTGGGCATTTAATACAATTTATACATGTTTTTATCGACTCAAAATGTCTCGTAGCCTCTTCATTACCTCAGTATATATATGTGGAACATGCTATAAGAGAATTTCTCTCACTAAAACATTTATAGAGGCTTAAGCTCTCTGGGGATTCAAGCAGATGCAGAATATGTAAGTCATTTAGGTAGAATTCCTCATAAACAGAAGTAATCTAAATGAAATAAAATCCACATGATCTAAAATTTAATTTTAAATATTATATAACTTGGTGATTCTAAACAAAACAAAAATTTCTTTTGACTTAGTAGTTATGTGATCTGTATGATTATACTTAATATTTAAAAATAATACAGTCTAGAACGTGCAAGCCCACATATGTGTACCTTAATATGTATGGAGAAATTTATGACAACTTAGTTGTCAAGTGAAATCTCATAGTATTATGAGTATTTAATTTTATGTCAATTTAGTATAATTTTTATGTGTAATTTGGTTATTCTATATTAAAGTACATACATGCATTTAATAACATGAACTTCTTGAGATATTAATATAATTTTGAAATTTCACCCTCAAAAATTAAGTTTTTCTTTAAATTTATGTTAGATTCTTTTAAATAATTATTTATTTTGCAGGGTTTGCATAAATAAAATATTTTAGAAACTGAGATTTAATGCAGTATTGCATTGTACTTTAATTCTAAAAAATTTTAAGTTTTATCTATTTTTTTTTTAAATAATTATTAAATATATTCATCATTGTATTTAAACAGATCATATGTAACATTATTCAAATTAGTTCATTTCTATTTTAGGTGCAATTTTACATATTTATATGCTTTTACTTAGTTTAAAATCTGAGGTCCATGTATGTGTACTTAAAATTATTAGCCACCTGGCAGTGTAATTCATATTTTGTTTACCTTATTATGACTTTTAACAGTAAAATAGAAATTTGGAACTGTAAGACATTATTTGCTGTGTTATTTTTTACTTCAGTAGTGAAGAGATTAATAGTAAGTATACAAAGCTTTTATGTTTTGTGGGGAACTAAGTTTTTATATAACATGCCAAATCTTTTCATTATGAAACAACCACTTTTTTTCAATGTGATTTTTGTGCTTATTTACTAATAACTGCATCCTTGTTAAAAATTTAACAAAAGCAGAAAATATTTTTCTTTAAAAAGAAATATAAAATAATAAGAACTGAAAAAATAACAGAATTGTCTCTTATGTTTAAAAAAAAATTCTTAGGTTGAAAAATGTGTCTTAAGGAATTATTACAATAGACAATAGCAAGTTTATCTAACTATCTATTCAGACCTTTGTACTTTTATTACTACATAACAACTAGCAATCAATCATAAGTATATTTCACGAGCAACATATTAGTTTATAAAACATAACTTCATTAACTTACCCTCCTAATTTCTGTGTCACTGTTCTCAACAAGCGTCTGCTCTTTTTAGACAGTCGCTTTTGACTTTGCGTGGATAATTGTTCCAGAAGTGGGAGCAAATCAGAATGATCTCTGAGAATCAACTGGAGAAGGGGAAAAAAAGATACCATTTTATCAAACAAAGTTATATTTTATCAAAAGTATAATAAATTGGATAACATCTCTTTCTTTTTTTATAAATAATAATGCAATATAACCTTTTTGTACCAGCATTGATTCCTTAGAAACTTTCTCTCTCATTTTTTGTGAGCCTATTTTGCCTAAGTTATCATTAATTAAAGATTTCAAGGGTAACAACCACTTTTAAAAAAAAGTGACTTTAGTGATCACATAGGAAGTTTATAGGAATAGAAAAAACATTTTTTAATACAATAACACTAAAATATGAAAGGGGATTATAATTTCCCATGAGTAGATTAGACTTACAGCTCCAAGGAGCACGGTATGTTGACCAGAGGTTGATTGCACTCAAATCCTAGATCTTGACTAACAGAAAAGCTTTATAGCTCAAACAATATTCAGCAAATACAGGAATGTCCTGTAGTTCCCAGGACTTAACGCAATGTTGCCCCAGATGCTCAAATCTTTCAGCAGAAAAGACTTCACAATCACAAAGAATATGTCATGCAGTTTCTTCCTCAACATAACAACCGCAACAAAGTGGATCGAATACAATACCCATAATGTAGAGGTGTCTCCTGAGAGTACAGTGACCAGACCAATGATCTTCCTCTTGCCATCATGTTCTTATTGACACACACCAGGTCAGTCAAGATTTAACTCCTTTGCTTGTCTCTGACTGTACTAGTTACACTACTGCTCATAGACAATCTAGCCATAGAGCTTGAAAATAGAAGTCCTGAAAGATGTGGGAGAGATTCCCAAAGCTGGTTTGGGGCCACAGAAAATCACACCGGAGCCAGTCCTTGATAATTCATCATCCAGAGAATTTAAGGAATACCCCTTTTTTCCAGGAATACCAACCCCCATATGCTCAGCTCAATCACCCACTGTAGGTATATCTTGTTAAAGGAGAAAAGATCACAAAGGACTAAAAAGCAGTCATTTGCACACTCAAAGCGAGATTTCCTGAATGATGAGCAGGAAAAAAATTATGTAAAGCTTTTGTTAAAATAAACACCTTAAGTGATACTTAGGTTACAAAAACTTGTGTTCCCTTCCAAAGTTACAAAACTGGAACTTATTATCTTCAACATTGATACCCATTGTTGCTAGAAACTTGCTAATCACTAACTTTTACTACTTGGTTTCCCAACTGAACACACATTTTCCCCCTATTCTCTAGGATACAGAAATTTTCACAAATGTTCCTATTGCAAAGATTAAGATATCATAATTCCATGATACCTTATAAAATTGGATTAAATTTAAATATTAAAAATGAAACCCCAGAAGAAAATGAACTATTGCAGCATAGATTACTGCATGTACAACTACTAAAACAAATATAAAAAAGATTTTATCAGTTATTATTTGCTAAATAAGATTTAAACATCAGGGCGTGTGATATATTTACCGTTTTTGTTGTTTCTTCAGAGATGGAATGGCATGCACTTAGCACTTCTAGAAGCTCAGTGAAGTATACAGGTTTGATAGCTGACTGTGTCAAAGACAGTTTCAGTGACTAGGAGAGATGGAATAACATTGTTAGAATGATAATAAATTTATTCGCTATTTGAACATATTATTAATGAACAATGACATTAGTTTACCTCATAACTTGTATAAATAGAGCTGATAATTTTGCTTAAGTTTTATTTCAAGGAAATATTGCAGATAAAACTAGACATATATTTTTTGGTATGTTAAGATTTTTTGCCATTCTTAAATGATTTTTAAAACTTTTATCAAGATTAAAAAAAAAAAATCAATAATATAACCATATTATTGATTTTTTTTTTAATTTTAATTTTTTTGTTAATGTACTGTGAGCAAAATAGAAAAAGTGTACACCCTGATTAACTTTTAATCTAATGATTGGATTTTAACATACTAGGACTCAATCTTGATGGTATGTATATTTTAAGTTACAATACCCAACACAAAAATGTACTTCCTTAAATAAAAATAGCTTTTTTTAAGATGGATTCAGATTCCTAGTCTTCAAATTATAAGGGTAGTTGAAGTTTGGAAAATTGGATGAAGTTTGGATGGCTTTATAAGTGAACCCAAAATTTTTCTACTCAAAAATAATGTGAAAAAAAAACAACTAAAATTAAACAATCTTTTTTTTATTGGAGTTTAAAAATTTTGAATTGTAAGACACACAAATTTTTACATCTTTTAAAGCAAAATTTGCATAAAATCAATAGAATAATTCTTAACAAATTAAATTTTTAAATATACTACATTTTGAAAAATGAAGAACTTAAAACTATTTATTGGGTTTTATTCAAATTTTGTATATTGTCATTTAAAATTATGAAAAAAACTTTGTATAAAAAAATTATAATTGCATACAAAAATATTTTGATAAGCTTAAAAAGTTCAAGAGATATATCAAAATACACCAAACCGCAAAATAACATAGATAGGTCTAAATTTTTGGCTCCTCTCATATCTAAACTATTGTGGCTAACCCTCCCCTTATATATTAAAAGTCAAGAATCTTTTTTTTTTTAAAAAAAAAGGTAGGTTTATTAAAAGACAATACGTTATTGGGTCGGTTTTCATAAATTAAATTTAAAATATTATCAACATTAATTAGATCCTTGAATCATTTAGGGTTGAAGTAAAAATCCAACCATTGGACTTAGATCAAAAATTATTCAGTGTTAATTTTTTTATTTATTATTATGTGCACTGATTATAGTTAAACACAAGCCATTCATATCATATCACATAATTACTCGAAATGTGTTGTTTATGGAAATGAGTAGGCATACTAGAAGTTTTCTAACACCCTGTAGCAGAAACCCTCCGGCATGGCAGAGAATGCTGAAGAAAATACCAGCATCTGGAGATTATTTTCCACCACAGATATTTGAAATAATAAAAAAATTGCTAGCTTTTCTACCTTCATTTATGAAAAATAAGATTTTTTTTTTAAAAATTTGATACTGAAAAAGAAAAAAAACACTTATTGTTTTTTTTTCCTGGTTTTCTTTTTTTGTCTGCAAGGTTTCTGTGATGAATTGGTAATGAATTTCATTTGAAGAATCTTTAAATAGGCACACATCAGAACACCATAATTTATAACTCTGATAATTTCTTCCTTTTAAATGAGAAGAAATTGTTTTAATGTTATTATCTGCAAGTTAAACCTTTTTTTTTCTGAATTTTTTTTTTATTGGGCTCAGCAAATGTATCTGTTTTTTCTCTTTTTGGGCAAAGCAAAAGTATTGTACAAAATTCAAATAGCAGGAAGCTTTTGTGAATAACTTTTTTTCTTATTTGTAAACTGAACTAAATCTATGTTAGATTAGGATTAATTTATTTTTACAATAATAGTCTCTGCCAAACAACCTTAAAATCAGAATCAAATGTGAATTTTTGAAGATAGCTCAGTAGATTGACTTTGTAAATTTTGCTACTGGGGACTTGCATAAAAATAGGTATGTAAAAATAAGTATCTAGTATGAAATAAGAAATTAGCTAGAATCAGTATTAGGAATTACTTTATATACTACAGCAAATAACTACAATCGTGTATTGTTAAGCATAATTATAAAATAAAGCTAAATATGTACATTAAGCTGATAATTAAATATCACATACCATTTTTTATCCCGGTCTATATAAATAACAATTAAAACATTTAGATAATGCATATAAAATAGTACTAAATTTACACTGAGATTTTTTTTTTAATATAATCATAAATAACTTAAATTGTAATATGTAAAGACTAAGCATCATGTATTAGTTGAATGAAATTTAAGACTATATAAAATATATTTAAGTAAAAGTAGTGTTAAGGGTATGCTGAATCTTTTTAAAATACATTTTTGTGTTTTGATTTGGCAAATAAAATAGCAGATCTACATAATGGGCTAGGCACAAAGATTTGAGATTCATCCTTTATTATAATCCAATAAAAAATACTACCAAGTTAAATTAATTTTTGTAGGGCAAATGGAGGTGTGGTAGTAGTCATCAGGTATCCACAGAAAACTCCCGTACCACATAACCGTGCCTTTTTCTAGCTCAAAAATAACTGGGGACAATAGATAATTCGAGACAATTCCGAAGAATTATATTATTTTTACATATAATCGAAGAAAGGACAAAGCAATCAATTACCCATCCTTTTGTAGGAGTAATCAATCCAAATCCTAAGCTATGCTCAATATAACTAGGTCTAATTTATGTATTTAATATTTTGCTGATTTTTAATAAACACTGCCTGTTTCTTTTTATTCATTAGAAATAGGCTTGGAATCGTTTTGATATTAACTTGATGAAAGTTAAAACATGATCATGTTAAGTCATAAGTATCATAAAACGGATATCAACCTTTAAATAACAGAATTGGAGAATAATACCAAATACAAAATGCAGGAAAAAATTCAACCAGAAAATAATGATTTAATAAAAATAACCTTACATTATTTAATATATCTGATAATGAAAGACTTAAAACTTACCCCAGCAACTGCAGGCACAAAATTTTGACAGAATGCTACCCATTCAAAAGTTTTTATCGGAGTTTGTGCCTAAAACAAATAATTTATTTTAACGACGAAATTTAAAAAAAAAAATTTTCAACTAGATCATTCAAAACTTACAAAAAATACTAGAATCAAGATCTTACTTTAGCATATTTAACAGCTTCAGAAAGTAATCCAAGGCATTGTGTCTGCTTATACATCCGAATACTACTACAAAATGCATACTCTTTAAATTTTTCCATAATGTTCCAAGCAGTATCCTAGATTTTTTATAAAATAAGATGTTATGGTATTAGTTCATTTCATTGATGACGTTAAAAGCCATTTATAAGATCAAGTTTTACAGCGTTAAAACAAAATACCAAACATTGAAGCTCAAGCATTAGGTGAACATGTAAATATGTATTAACTCAATCTATTTCTAATGAGCACAATGTAATATATTTATTAGCAGAGCTTTAGAAATACATGAGACTTTAAGGTACCTCAAATTAATTTATTCCCTAATATTTTAGTTATTTTATTTAAATTCCCTGACATTTCCCAAGTTTTTTTCAGACCTTCCCTGTGCTTTTACCCTGGAATATGAAAAATTGATCCAGTACAATCTTAATAATTTGAAAATAAGATAGTTATAAAATAACATGAAAATCCCTAGCTTAAGAATACCATTTACATTAACCCCTAGGCTTAGCAGACATGACACTAGGTTAAAGCATGACCAGATTCCAAAAACAAGAAATGAATAGTGGGTGGCTTGAGCCACTTTTAATCTGAATCATTCAGAAAAGTTTGCTGGTTGAGCAACCAAAAGCAAAGATCAAATCCCAGATGATTTAAGCAGAAAATATTAACTCTGACGTAGCATAACGTTTCTCAGCGACTCAAGTTATTTAGTTTAGGAAACAGGTGAGAGAATTCTGAAATATTTATCAAGGTTTGCACTTAGATAAGGACTAGTAATATAAATTGAGGAAGTCATGTAAGAGGTCTTGTTAGAAATGGCTATTATTATAATCTACGATAAAAATATCAAATATAACATCACATGTCAAGCTTTGAGAAAGTGTTTGGAAATTAGATTTATTGAAAACTAAGTATTCAAAAAAAAAAAAATCATAAATTTATTTTTGGAATTGACATCATTGAATCATTGATTTTTTTTTTGACACTGACAAATATAGAATAATTACTATAATAAAATCATGCATTATTATATTGATTCAAAAACATTTCAATACATTAATATAATAAAATTTTTATTTATTTTTAGTTTTGAAAGATTTAAACATATGGTACTTACTGGATAGGATTGCATCAGTGACACAAAGAATTGAGGAAATAAATTACTGCTGTTGGAAAAAAAAACAAGGGATATTAGTTCAGAATAGGTCAAAAATTAAACACTAGGATAAATAAATATGTTTTATTTTTATCAGACATTTTTTTCTTACCTTCCTTTGACAAAGTTTTCCAATGCAGATAAATAGAGTTTAAGGTAGGAAGGAGTTTTGCTTGATTTCTGTAATGAAATCAAAAAAATTCAAAATACATAATAATTAAAATACTTTAAGAGTAATTAATAATGTTAAATAAACTGAATAATAAAATCATTTTCATAACTCTCTCTATTTCTTAGTATGCTTTAAAGAATCACTTTTATTTGAAAAAACACCTCTTATCTAATAAATCAATCCTTTGTGAAACATTTTTTAAATCAAAATTTAATATTCAAATTTTAGCCATAGGCTCATTGATTTAAAAGAATGTTGCATTCAATGAACCAATACAAGTTTGATTTTTAAAATGCTTATAAATAAAACTTTAAAAAACAGCCTTTGCATAGAGATTATTTACGATTCAATTGTATAGGATATAGTTTTTAGTATTAACCTACCTTTTCAGGAGACTTTTGAGATTCTAGTCGCCTAAAACAAGAAACCTAAAAAAAATCAAATAATTTATATTTTTGCATAATAAATCAACCTTCAATTTTTTATTAAAATGTTGTAACAAATTTTAACCCTTACCACAAAAACACAGAGTGAATAAAGTTTATTAGCCACATTTGCATTGACCTCTGAAATATAAAATTATATAGTATCTACATGAATTTAACAATATTATTAAAAAAAAGTAAAGATAGGAAAGGAAATTTCAATTTTACAAAAATAGAAGTAGAAAAAAATAGTTTAAGAAAAAAAAACTTACCTTTATGGCACTTTTCTATAAGCATTTCCAATATTCTTTTCAAATCAGACTTTCCAACATTTTCGTAATGTTGAAACTAAAAAATGTTATTGAGGTTCATTATTCATAAAAGACTATGTGCAGTAATTATAAATTACATAAAATGCTAACTGAAACATACTAATTATATACAAGAATCACCAAAATAAAAAGTTTTAAAATAAACTGGACTTCTTTTTGGAAGAAAAAAAAAAGACCTAGTAGGTTAAATTGGGTTTAAATTTTATTTTAAAAGAGAACAATTTTAGTGTAAAAGAAACTTTCATAGCAAAATAACAATTTATTAGAATGAAAAATAAACGTACTGTAGTGTCATATTTTGGTATTAATAAACGGTCTCATTGGGAACTCAATTTCTCATTGGGAACCAGAGATAAAAGCATACTTAAGGTGAAAGAAATATGCCGTAAACCGGAGCGAGTCTACCCATTTTTTCAGTCTACCAACTTTCAAGTGGTCAAACTTTTGTAAATATTAGAGAAAAAAGGCTTTTAATAGGTGTTTCGGAATTGCTATTTATCCCTCTTTAAAGCTGTGAAATCGATTTTAGAAAATATTAACAGTTACGCTGTTACTGTATATTTTTATAGAACTGCTGACAAATCTCTCGTATGGGGCGAGTCTACCCATTCTACTAAAATGAATGTTAACATTGTAAATAATCAAATTTTACTATTAAATTGTTATTTTAGTTACTATATAGGATATTTATGAAGTAAAATTCATAACTTTATTATATATTCCATTTTTTTATTCATAAAATAACACAAATTGAGTATTTGATCGATTATCACATTTTGATCACAGTTTTGTTTTTATAATCATTAACATTATAAAATAACATTTTTTTCTGATTATTGTTGATAAAAATAAATTAAAATTAATATAAATTTACAATTAAATAATTAATAAATAATAATAATTAAAGATTATTAACAAAATCGAAATTCAAACATTGGGAATCATGAAAAATCCTTTTCCCATTCTTTTGGGAGGTAATAATAATTTATAAATAATAATTTATTTAACTTGCATTAAATAAAAAAAGTTAATTTTGTAATATAAAAATTGAAAAAATAGGTAAAATAAACATATTTTATATTTACATTTATATTTAACCTATAAATTTTCTTATTAATGATAAATTTATCAATGCAGAATTAAAATAATATACTCAAATTCATTTAAAATGACTTAATTTTAATATAAACAAAGTTCTAAATTATATTATTATGCTTTATTAAAACTAAATACGAATGGGTAGACTCGCCCCGCGAATTCTGGCTTTTTGTTTACAACAGCAAAACTTACATTCTTTTTGTTTTTTTTCATATAAAATTAATGTAATCTTAGTCTTAGATAAGTTTATCACTTAACCAAAGTGAAAATAGTAATAATAATAATATACTTACGGAGCACCAACTAAAAGTTTGCTGATTTTCAATACAAATCTCTCAAAAGACGTTTGAACAGGTCGGTTAAAAAGACACCAAATAAATAAAAACGGATCAAACTACTACAGCGCCATCTTCCTTAGAGTCTGAACTAAGTCCTCCGTCGGTAAAAAAAAATTTATTTGCAATTTAAAATAGTGAAAATTAAATATAACTAAAATGGGTAGACTTCGCCCCGGTTTACGGTGCTGTTTTTGTTAGATTGTTTTTTACTGTTTTTTAGAATCATAAAATATTTTTCTATTTATTTTTACCTTTTGATGAAGCTTTGTTTCTTTGTTAAAACAAATTATGTAAAGGTTTTCTGGACCAACTTACTACAGAACTATTGTTCATTATCATTATCTTTTTGTTTGGAAAAATTTAAAAAAAAAAAAACATTTTTTATATAACAGTACTACTAATTACATACTTTACTCATTTTCTAGAACTTATTTAAAGAAAAAGAAAAAGACGAACTTATTCTACCTTGCACTTTGCATTTGTTCAGTGCAAAACGAATATTAAAATAACATTAGAAAAGTTCAAAGTATTATTAGGTGAGGAAAAAAAAAAACAATTTACTTTTATCTAAAAGACAAAAAATAATTGTATAAATTTAAAGTGATACTTTTATATTTATCAAAATATTATATACTAAGATTTGTAAATAAATATTTAAAGTCAAATAAGGTATAACAATTGATTTAAAAAAAAGAGCAGGTTTTTACCCCCTCCCCCACACACATACAAAAAAAACTGTGAGCTTAGGTTTAATATAATTTATTCAGGACCATATTTTGCCACCCAGGTCTAGAATGAAAAAAATACTATTTTTATATGTAATATTTTTTTTAAAATTATGTAAACTACATGTGGGCACATCTACAGTTTCTCTACCCTCTCCATAATGACTTAAATATCTTAAACTTTAGCAATAACATGCATACATAACAATAGGAAAGGAAAAATTATTTTTACCTTTTTTACTCTTGTCATTGTTTCGATAGTTGTCACAATTTTGAAAAGTAGATGATTCTGTTGCTCACTACGATGACTAAACTCATATGCAGCTAAAAGAGGCTCAATGCATTGTAAAACTAACTGTAAAGGTGGTTCAGATTTCAAGTATGTGGCAACTAGGTCTAAGCACCTTAAACATAATCAAAAATGAAAAATTTTATTAGAACATATAATCTTTACATTAAATAAATTTTAGGTCACATAAAAGTCTAAGTCTGCCAGCAAAAATTAACTTTCAAAATCGAAATATTTTCATTTCATAACACATAAAAAAAAATTGGAGGTAAAAGCTAATAATCACCAGCTACTGGTTATCCCTCATAATAATGATAATTATAATACAGAGGATTTTTTTTTCTTCTGAATACTTAATAAATGTTTCTTGTTGTTATAAACCCCATTAAAACTAAATTTAATTACATACTTTTAGGCAAAATTAATGCCAAAAGAATATACACTCCTTAAAACTTACGCTGACTTCTGTTCTAAAAAATTAGTATCATACGGCCTAAAAAATATTGTAAATAACAGCCTTTGTTTTAGGCAAAATATTTCTCAAATAAATAAATAACTATAAGAGTGATGATTATCCAGGAGTCTGTCTAGGCTTTTCTGAGAGGTACCTATTTTGCGAAAAATTTAGATATAATTTGAGAAAATTAAAAACTATAATAAAAAATCAACACAAAAATATGGATTTATCGCTTCTTACACGATAAAAAAATTAAATTTTAAGAAAAAGTATTTTGTGAAACTAAAAGTATTTTTCTTAAAGTTGAATTTGTGAAGGTACTCCTAAACAGTAGTAAACTTGGCCTGGACAGACCCCTGTTATCATGAAAGAAACACTAGAGGAATGTTGAAATTTAAATTATCCTTTGTTGTAAAAACAGTTCTGAAAGCATGAACTATTAATATTTGTATAAAATTTTTCTTCCATTTTTGCCTTCAATAGAAACTTTTATCATGTAAAAAAACTTTCTTATTTAAGGAAAGCAACCAGAACAAATAGTCAAAAACTTAGCCGATTAGTTTATTAGAAGTTTCAAGTCAAAAGATTAGTGGATTAGTTGCCACTTTAACAAAAGTTAGTATAAAATGATAAAATATTTGACTTATGAATTACAAATTAAAAACATGTCAACTTTTCCCTTTATTTTTATTAAATAAATCAGTATAACTTAAGACAAATACATTTATAATTTTAATAAGCTAGCGTAAACTAGCGTAAAAATTTCCATACAAAGCATATTTACTGTACTGAATAACATACTAAAAAGTTCTTTTTTTCATCTTCACTCACAACTTTACAAAATAATATTAAGATTTGCATATATTTTATGGCATTCACTCTAGAGTTACATGAATAACATAGAAATATGGTTACTAGACAGTAGACTCTAAGTTAACTAGGATTGTCAAACAATGCCTCCATACCCATAATAAACAAATTTATGCAAAATTGTATTAAAATTATGAATTTGTAAAACTATTATAAAATAAGACCATAATTGGATAAATATGAACACAAGTTTAACAGGGTTCTTGCTCAATTATTTCAACAACAAAAATTAGGACTTTTTTAGGACTAAGAAAAAAAAAATTAGCACTCGATGTAAAGTAAAAATAACATACTTAATCTATGCATGATATTAAAAATATACAAATAAAGGGTTTCATGATTCATGAAGTAAAAATTACATAATCAATCTATACATGATGCAAATTGCAGCTTAATTTTGTCACAATCTTTTTCCTCAATTTTCTTTTTTTTTTGACTTAAGTAATTTAATATGTTTCTCATTTTTAGAACACACTTGCTTTTGTTTTCTGACATTAATTTTGGATTGATGCAAGCAACATTTCTTACAACAGAATAGTTTATTGGACATTACTTTAGTAATGTTTCTAACATTTTGGTGATAAACTTTCTGCAATCTTTCTTTATATTCATAGGATCCCTGTCAGAAATAACTTTTGAGGCCAATAGCTGCTTTAAAATTTGGTCACCTTTAAAACCTACACTGATTTTTGTCAGAAAGACGTAATTCTTTTCATCACAAAAATTAAAATGGTACAGTTTCTCCAGAGAATTTAAGTTTTCTATAGATTCTGGCTTCAGAATGTTATATAATTGCACACTATGTAATACCAAATCCTGGATATCTGCAGCAAAAAATGGTACAAGTGGCCGATCTGCTTGTTAAAGTTTCAAAAATGGTGAAACTAGCTCCGACACATTTAAGAAAAAGTTCAGCTTAACAACAATTAATTTGTCTTTTATTGCTTCTTGTAAAGTTAAAAAGGATTTACATTTCACTTTTCTAAACTTGCCAACATTTTTCACATAAGATTTCAGATCATCCCAAAGCAATATTGCTTCTTCAGCTGCAGGTGCATTTTCCAGCCAACGGTGGTTACAAAATTTTAGTGGTAATTTGTTCTCAGTTGATTGATTAATAAAATCTTCTTTTCTTGTGGGTGAATCTTTGAAAAGATAGAAGATTGAGCTCAGGATGGAACCAATGAGCCATTCTGTTTCAGATTCACCTTTGTAGAATGCGTTATTTAAAATATGAAGCCCACAACTTCCTATTGCATTGTATTGAACACCATGTTCTTTTAACAAATCTTCTTGAATATTATTATAAAACTTCCATTTGACAGCAGGACCGTCCATAGAAATCTGCAATAATTTCTTCAGGTCTACATTTTTGACTGATGCATAAAAGCAGGTTAAAAGGTCATCTGCTGTAGAATGGCCCAGAAAAGCTGATGTTAAGTATCGCGTCTCTACAATGTTCTTATCTGGGTTCCAAAAGTGGATATGTATATCCAACTGCTTCTGCTGTGTCACTTTGTTCAAAGACTCATCAAAAAGCAATGTATAAAACTTGGCATTATCAATGCACTTCAGAAGTAGCATGCTAAAATGAGGTGCAAGTCCAAAATGACAGAGAGAACTTAGATTCACTGCAGGTGAAATGACGTGCTAATGAACTGTCTGGAAACATTTAACTAATTAATTTTCCAGTGTCTTTGGAAGAATTGTAGAAGTAGTAGCTTTCTACAACTTTTAAAGCCCATAAAATCTCAGAAGAAAGAACTTCTTTCCCCAAAGCCCAAGAATCTTCTTAAAAGATGGAGGCAGCAGGAGAGCTGAAGGAAACAGAATTTAAGGATTTAGGGAAACCGATTTAAGGAATCAGATCAATCAAAAAAATTTCAAAACGCCAAAATAAAAAATATTTAGCACTTTTTTAGCACTCAGAAGAAATTTTAGCACTTTTTAGGCCCTAAAAAAGTTGGGGGAAAATTTTAGCACTTTTTTAGGACATTTTAGGACAGCAAGAACCCTGTTTAAATGTTGTATTTAGTTGGAACAAGTTCTATAATTCAGAGCCAGTGGAGCCTGCTGTGAATTATTTAAAGCAGAGCATGAAATTTCAATTTAAAGGTAAACTATCCAGAAAAAAAAATTTTGCTGGTCAGTATTTTTATGAAAAATATTAATAATTTTTAAAATGATAATAGATGTAGTATAGGTAACTTTTTGGTTTTTAAAACTACAAAAGAATGTAGGAACTAAAAAATGGAATAACATCTATTGCTTCATTATATTAATATTAATATAAACTTTAAATAAGACTCCAGTTAAGTCACTCTAAATATCATCCACACATCACTAAAACTAATTAAAATAAGAATAATATCAGAAAATTAAAACAGAAATACCATCAGTTAATTGCAGCCCTATTGACAAACTTCAACTTTTTGACTGTTTATTTTGAGTCAAACTGTGCTACTTACCTGCCAGCCATAAATATTTGGTCATCTAAGCCGAACTGGTGAATGAGAATTTTGCATCTTGCCTTAAAGTGATTAAAGCTGCAGCCACACTTAAAAAAATTAAAGAAATATAATCGGTCTTAACCTTAAACCATATTTTTCCGATCTGACTTTTGCATTAAAATAAAAAATAAAAATTAAAATATACATAGGGAAATTGATAGTTTAATACAATTTAAGCAAACTGGTAAAGTCAGATTTAGTGCTAATGTCTTCTAAGAAATCATTTTCTTTCTGTAAATGATGAATCAAATAACATTTGATATATTTTCTTCTTCTGATTTGTTATAGTTAGTTTCTAGGGAGAACTCCGTTCCTTTTATATATATATATATATAGGGGAGGCTTTCTTTACAATCTGATACTGGTAAATAAGGAGTCTGCTGCATTATGAAATGATGAAGGATAAAAATAAAAACTAATAACCAAAAGTTTTTCTTACCTCAGCCTAAAATCTAACATAGCCTTATCTTCAGATCTCATTTTAGTGTGACCAGTTTTAGCACGCTCACGAAAAGCTAGAGACAAAGCATCATCTAGTTTGAACATTTCTGAGTCAGATAACACAACAGATTCCTGAAAAATTAGACAAATTTTATAAAGCGAAAGCTTAAATGTTTCAATTGCATGTAAAAACACTAAAGTTAGATTTTGTTTCCCCCCCCCCCAGATTTGTGATATAATTTTATATTTTTTTATGCTGCAATATACGAAAATTTTATGATTTAAATGCTGCTTTCTACAGCAAAAAAACTTACGAAAGTGGATGAGATATTCAAAAAACAGAAGCCTGAATAAGTTTCTTTGATACATTGAAGTAATTTTCTTATCATATCGGACAACAACAAAATCATAAAACAAAATTAATATTTAAACAAATTTGTTGCATTTAACAAAATCTATTTTCTACAATGTAAAAAAAAAATTAATAGTCAGCCCAAGTTCAACTGTCATTTTGAAGGAAAATTTTTTTTAAACAATTCCTTCTACTTCCTTTTTTTATTTTATCAAGAAAAATTTAAATTTATTTTAAGGTCATAGTCAAAGACTTATTCATGCATATAATTAGATGAATAAAACTAAAACTTAACTAAGTAAAAAAAAAAAAAAATTTCACATAATAATTTCAAAATACTTTTTAAAAAAAAGGCATATGTTCATATAAGCATGCATCAGATTTGAATAAATTTTTTATGAAACAGTCAAATTGTTTTTGCAGATCTGAGTCCAAACTAATTCAGCCTAAAATAGCTCAAGCATTATTAAGATAAAAATAATAATAAAACATTTTTACAAATAGCCCTTAAAACTCAAAATTTAATTTTAAAATTCAATTATACATGAAAAAAATGCAAAATCAAGCTTTCTAAAGTACATAGTAGTAAAAAAAAAAAAAAACATAAATTATCTAATTTGGAATAAAAAGGTAAATTTTTAATCTGGATTTTCCTCGAGCAAGACTTTGTAAACTACATGCAACTCCCCACTTTGTTTTACAATAGCTTGGTAATTGAGCAAGGGAAATTCTGGGAACAAATAATAATGGTTATAACCATTTCAATCCGAATTTCCAAGTTGATTTATTTTAAAATATGGATAACTGGTGCAAAAGGCACTTTTATCACAGCATATATACATTATAATAACATTTGCATAAATGCTTTAAATACAATTAACTTGTAAAATTTCTGAAATTTTTTAGCGTTTCGAGTTTGTAGTCCCTATATCCGTTTCAAATATCTATAAGGCACAATTATTTACAAACTATACAGAATTAACATTTTTTCTCTTCAGTTTTTTGAATGATAAAGAAATACATTTATTCATGGAAGATAAAATTAATTAAGTACTTACAGCATCACTAACATCTGCAGCAGAACCTAGAGCTTCCTTCACTTTCAATTTGAACTTTTCGTCAACTTTATAATTTTCTGGATCGTTATAATCAGATTCATCACTACTACTACCAGACTCAAAATTTAAATTTTCCTCATCTGTAAAGTAAATTAATTCAAAAAATTATAAAAGGTAGCTATTAAAAAAAAACTATACGGAAAATAATAATAAAATGCTTACCAGATTCATCTACTAACATAGGATCTTCATTGGATTTCAGGGGATGTATCACCTGCAACGATATTGTTAATAGGAATATGACATTTAAATGTTCAATCAAAATACCTTACTTTATGTCAACAAAATTTAACATTAGAATTGTTGGGATTTTTAAAATTTCTAATAATTAACCCCTTGCACTATTTTCACAAGTCTGACTCGAGATGAGAATTTTAGGTCAAACTTGAATATCACGAGTCAGGCTCGTTGTTTAATTTCATGTCGCACGGTTTTAATTTCTGGGTAAACAAAAACGTCTGAATGGGCTCTTATTTACGTGGATAGGTATTTTATATCTTGTCTTCTAATCTCTAATTCTCTGTCCTTCTCCCTGGTCTTAGGCTCTTTACGTGAAAATTCGGGCGCGGAATTAGGCACGGCTTGTTCCACATTTCATCACAGTGAAAAAGGGTTAAGGAGAAAAGTGCCGTATTTTTCGGAGAAAGCGCCGCACATCGATAAAAATGAAATTTTTTTTTAAAAAAAAGTTATAGTAAGCGTCGCTCCGGCGCTAAACCGCGCATATCAGCATCCTTTTAGAAGAGACCTTTAAATTACCATTTAGAATATCTATATAATAAAAAATTCAATTTTTGTATGCATTTCATAAAGTAAAGTTTTAATTTCTAAATTATAATAAAAAATTTCTTTTTCAGCAAAAAAAAAGCAACAAAAAAAGTTTTCTCTTTCAGCAAAAAAAAAAAAGAAAGAGAAAACAATATAAAATAATGTTGTTCTTACCAGTTGGCACCGTGCCAAAAAACAGAAGAACAGCAAAAAAATATTTGTTCAGTAGCTGAATTAATGCTGAACTGATTACAGAAATTCGTAAAACAATGTAACAAGAAAAATAAAATATAAATTTATTAAAAGAAAGATTTTAAAATTATTACCGTTAACAATTTGAGGAAAAACTAATACATAATAACGAAACAGCTAACAATAACGAAATAACTAATAATAATAACAAGAATAAGAAATAACTAAACAGGCCCCAAAAAAATTCTGAAGGAATGAGCGAAGAGGAAATAAGTTTCACTTTCACAATCTTAGCGGGTGGAATTTTAGTGGGTAGAAATGCCCTCTCCTTCAATGGAAATAACCCAATGTGACTGAACTTAGAAGGAGAAGAAAATGTTTAAAAGAGGGGTGTACCCCACCTCCTCCATGTGTCATTTCTACTGGAGCTGCTTAGGAGAAATCAATCAGTTATATTTTAAAGGGGTTGGGGAAAAGAAAAGGGTATGGGACCCCTAATCCAGCATTTCAAAATTCCGCACTTAATCTGATCTAATTTTTTTCTTTTTCTTTAAGAAATTTCTATTGATGAGACAAAAAAAATCAGATATATTCTTTTTATTTGGAATTTTTTTCTGTTGAAGTAACTTACTTTATTTTATCTTTTAAAAGAACCTTGAAAAAAAAATAATAAATCTGTGTCAAAGGAAACATCTGTTTCTTAATCAGTTTAAAATAAATTGAGAAGTAAAAACACCTGCATTTCCAATGAACAAAATAAAGAAATGCAAGTTGGAAAAAACTGATCAATCAATCTTGACAGCTGGGCTTGTGCTTTACTGATTTGTCCCCATATTTCCCTCCTCTGTTTGACCATAAATTGGCCACACCCAGTTGACATTGAAACTACCATGTGGACAACAAAATGAATTCTATCCCTTTTGCGGTTTTTTATTCAATTAATAAATTTTTTTATTTTGCCGCTTTTTATTAGTTATTAACAGCTAATTTGTTTTGTTTTTTTTTGTTATTAGTTAGCTTGTTTTTTTTCTTCTTGTTAATAGCTGTTTGCGTGTTTTATTGTTATTAGTTTTTAGCTTGTTTTTTGTTGTTATTCCAGGGTTCCCACTCTATGATGAGATTGAAATTCAAGGACTTTCCAGGACTTTTCAAGGACCTCAACAAAATTTTCAAGGACCTTAATCTAAGACCAATTTTAAAAATTATTCTCTTCTATTTTACTAGAAGCAACAATGCTTGTTGTGGCAATAATTAATTTCAAATATAATACCTAAATGCTTTGCCTATATAGAGAGAAGAGAGTATATGTATTATGGACTAAAATTTATATTTTTTTAAAAACAACCCTACTGGTTTTACATATTAATTCACAAAATCATTTTCAGCACAATCTATAACTAATGGTAATGAGGTGTTAATGGTGAAATCCTTTAATCCTGTGTATTTCCATGTGAAGGCTGCATGAAAGACAGAGCTAAATCTTAGGTATTCCATATTCCATGACTATTCCATAACCCCCTCCTCTCCTCTATTAAACATCGTTTCTGAAATTATTCATCCATAATTTACACAACCTTCTCTAAATGTTATGCAGCAACAATTCTTTCTGAAAATAAAAATTAGAAGGAACATATCCCATTTTCACCATGTTTAAAAGCATTATTCGTTATGTGTAATCCACAACTGCCAATGAATATGACCTGGTGGGAATATTTCTCTTTTAATTCACACTGAAGCTTCTAATAGAATTTCCAATTGACATAGGGTCCATCCATGGATAATTGAAGTATTTTAGAGAGCTTTTAACCATCATCCATGCATTTGTAAAAAGAGGACAAAATATTTTCTGCAGTTCCATGACCCATAAATTGGGAGGTAAGATACTTAGTGCAAACTTTATTATCAATTCCTTACCATAATGTCCATCTGCTTAGATTGTAGAGACTGATTTAACGTCTCATCAAAGAGTACAGTGTAGCAATCAACATTCTTCAGCTCATTTATAAGAATCCCTTTGAAGTATAGTGCCAATCCAAAGGAGCCCAAATAGGCTCACTTTGTGGCACTACAAAAAAATTGTCTCGCTATACAGCTATCAGCAAACATTTTGGAGAACAATTTACTAATCCCTTCACAGGAGTTACATGAATAATTACTAGTGATGCACTTCAGACTCCAGAGAATTTCAGCATCAAGCACATTCCTTTTGACCAGATAAGAAGACAATGTTACCTCGGCCACTAAAGTTTCTGTTTCACATGGGGCACACGATGTTGAAGGAGTATTTACACCAGATGAATTAGATGTTGATGTCTTTGGAAAAAGAGAACTCAGGGCATGAGACTGCTTTTTTGTTTTACCTTTCTTTGATGTGTGATTTCAGAGCAGATTCTTCCATTTTCGCGATATCGATCTCCTTCATGCATAATCGGCACTTGGCTCTGAACTTCTTTTCGGGCATCGATAAAATCCATTCTTTATAAGCTTGATTATCCATCCATTGGGGATTAAAATAGCACTTCCCAGGCATAACTAGTCTAAACTACATAACACAAATACGAAGCCGTGCCTTTGCGAATACGCTTTACAATAAAGTTTTGAAATGACGCAAACGTAAGGACAAGTGCGGATGGTAAAACGGCAAATTTATTGAAAACTACAAGGTACATATTGTTACGAAATTCGAGAGTATTCCAGTTGCGATAAGAAAAAAGAAGATCTAAGCATATGCGACAGAAGATGAAGTGGAGTCTCGCCCCAAATGCATTGATTGTCTGCTGTGCTCCGCGCGCTTGGCAGACACCAAGACGCTAGGTCCGGTTAGAAACGGTGGCGTTAAAAACCACGTGAGAGAGCTCGGGAACAAATCAGAAAGAACGAGAAAGATCCGCGGGTGTTTTATAAAAAGGGCCGCCGGCAGTATTGGACAAATTCAAGGACCTATCAAGTTTTTCAAGGACCTAAGACGTTTTCAAGCACTTTCAAGGACCTAAATTTAGCAATAAAAAATTCAAGGACTTTCAAGGACTCTCAAGGACCGTGGGAACCCTGTATTCATTGTTAGTTTCTTAGCATTAATTGTTAATTTTTTTTTTTTTGGTAGTTCCTTGTTAGCTTTTTTTTTTCCTTGCGAGGTAATCGTCTTTTGTTAAAACAAAATGTTATCTAACAGAAAAAATGAGAACTATGATCTCGCTCCAAAGAAGATACGATTATTTCTTCTTCATAGGATTCGGATTATTTCCTCTTGATTATATTATATAGATTATTATTTTGATTAGTAAAATTTCTTAAGATGGGCCAGTTTTAAATTCACCCCATCATAATCTACGATCGAAACTTGACTAAATTTATTGGTTTTTCTGAAATTAACAATGGAATTGAATTATAGTAATATTTGGGGGCCATATTGGAATTTCCGAAAGAGATCCGAAGTTCGGCATTTTGTCAGTCCTGTGAGTGCCGGGTTTAGGGTCCTATTACTTCCCTTTCTGTTTGCTCAAATTACAATTGCCGATGTTCTGCAGCAGATCGCGATACCGGCGAATATTTCGTCGACTTCGTTATTAATTTTTTTTAATAGTCTTTCTCTCAGAAAATTATTTCATCTTAAAACAACTTTCCTTGAAAAAATTTTTTGCTACTAAAGAATATTTAATCGGAAGTGCGGCATGTAGGAAGAAAAAAAACTTTTTTTTCGGCAGCGCCGTGGCGCTTCCGCCGAAAAATATGATATATTTTACACAATAATCTCAATACTTGTTTCATAAATGACCCATTTAGTTGATTGTTTGCTTTTGCTTTGGTCTTATTTAGAATAAACAACAAGATAAATAATGCAGAGGAGCATCAAACTTGAAAGAAAATGAAGCAAGAATTTAATAATAAAAATTAAAACTGATGAAAACAATTTAATAAGAATTTTATATTTACACTCATACAGCAAGCTTCTCAATCCAAAATGGCAGAAATATTACTATGCTTGATACAATTCGAATAAATATTTAAGGCCATTGGTTGATAAACCAAATAAACAAAAGCCATTTTTCTGCCATTCTGAATCAAGCAGACATAATCGTTGCTAAAATATATTTAACACTTCTTATTGATCACTTTTACTGATACTGATAATTATGGTAATCATTCTATCAAATTAATGATGTTAGTAGTTAGGAATTTAACTATTTTAATTTCACTGTTAAAATGCATTCCGGATTTAAAACTCATGTGAATACAAATCAAAATGTTGGGTTTTAAAAACTCTGATAGAACATTTAAATGTCACATTCCTATTAACAATATCATTGATAATTGATTCTTGAAATTATCATTAAATTGTTTTTGTCAGTTTTAACTTTTATGAGTAAATTCGTACTTCATTTTTTTTCACGTTTGACGTTTCTCTCCTTTATCAGGGTTGCCACTGAAATCTGGAAAATAAATTCCCCGTGTTTTCCCTGCACATGTTATACGCAATATATTAAGAGTAAACAACAATTACTGTGCTCTTGTGTGAGCTATATTGGGCTAACTATATTTATTAGTTTCAATTGCTGGAAAAACAGCTGAACATACTTAAATAATGCTATGGTAAATGAAATAGTTTAGTATAGCTGAAATATCATGGTTAAATATCCCACAGATTACACTTTGAGTGGTCACCATTTTTTAAAAGACCAAAATAAAAAAAACAAAATTCCCTGTATTTTCTCAGTTTGTAAAGAAAAAATCAAAATTCCCTGCATTTTCCCTGTTATTTTAGGTGATTTTGAAATTGCCTATATTTTCCATGTTTTCCCTGTGGAGTGGCAACCCTGTTTATTTATCTAGTTTGTTCCTTTCCTTTATTTATCTAGTTTGCTGCTTCCCTTTATTTATCATATCCTTTATTGTAAATAAGACCGAATCAAAAGCAAACAATAAACTAAATGAGTCATTTATGCATCAAATATTGAGAGTATAGCGTAAAAGATTGTTTTCTCCTTAATTTTTAGAAATTTTAAAAATCCCAACAATTCTTATGTTGTTAACTTCTGTTGAGACAGACTACAGTAAGATATTTTGAGTAAACTGAAAATTTAAGAATCAGTAAAGAATTAGTAGGGGGGGGGGGAAATGGATTAGACATAGATTCATGGCATTGAAATAAATCTGGATTACAATTCAAACAATACTTAGCATTTAGCTAACATAATAAAGAATATTCTATTAAAGATATATAAAAAAAAATTACTTACAACAAGAATTTGTTGTAAAGCTTCTTGAGTAATAAATGGGCATAATAAATGAAATACGGATGTAACAAGTCGTCGTAGGTGATGAGATGATTTGGACAAAAGTGATAACATTATATCAGTAACAACTCCGACCCAGGGTGGCTCATTTTCATCCTCAGGCTGTTCACTTGAATGCTTTCGATTACTTAACGCCTTTTTACAACAGATATGCAATTCCTAGATAAAAAAAATTAGTAGTTATTTTTAAGAAATTCAAATACATATTAAAAAATGCTTGACTCATATATTAGGAGATTTTACTTTTAGATGCATAGAAACATATTTCAAACCATTTAATGTAAATTTAAAATGCACAGGGGTGATTGGGGCACAAAGGGAAAAACCCCGAAAGTTTTATGAGCAAAAAATCAATATGAATTTACATACTATACAAGTTTTATATCTAACATAAGTTTTTGAACTAACATTTATAACTAAATATCACACTTTTAGAGTAACGATTTTAAGAAAAAACTTACTTCTTACAAGAGTAGCGATATTGGATTTTAAAATTAAGTGACTATAAATGGCAATATTGGATTTTCATATCACGCGAATAAGAATCGCGATATTGTATTTCAAAAATGAGGACATACAAATTGCGATATTGAATTTGCGTAAACACGAATCACTCTGCATAAATTTTCGATTGCGTGAATACAAATTGCAATACGTAGTTTTCAAATCACGTATAAATGTAAAAATCGTTGTTTGATATTACATTACAAATGCATAGATACAAATTGCAATGTTAGATTTTACAAACCCGTAAATGCAAATCACGGAATGGATTGGATTTTAAACTTGTGTAAATAGGAATCACGATGCTGGGTTTAAAAAAAACATTTATACAAATCGCGATATCAGATTTTTAAATCACATGAATAAGAATTGTGCCGTACAATTTTCAAATCGCGTGAAAACGAATCACAAAGCATAGCTTTTAAATCAGGTAGATACGAAAATCAATGTAGCATGAATAAGAATTGTGATATTAGCAGACTTCGGTGCAGTTCCAAACATTCAAAATGGTGAAAATCAGCTAAACCAAAAATATCAAATAAGTGAAAGAGCCATGTAAGGCGTAATTCTTCATGTAATTGGTGTAAGAATATATGTAAACACTTCGCTAACAGGATTTAGCAAAAACTTCAAAATTTTGTTGGCGTATTATAAGTTTTGATTTGTGGAAGTCTGCGAACCAATGGTCTTTAGGAAAAGGAATTCTGTAATATTTGAGCAAAAATCGCATGCCCTGATTTCTAGTTTTTAGACTAGGAGGAATGATACAATCATCCCTGAATGAAATTAAAATCAGGGAGTATAATAAGAGAAAACAAAATTAGTAAAAATAAATACTTATTTTACTTCCCAATTATCCTTAAATACAAAATAAAAGAAAAAAATAGAAGGCATACCTCTAAAACATCAGCAATACTTGAATCCTGAAACACATGGAAACCCAACTCCAAAAACAGAGCAAGAAATGCATTACTTTCATTGGTTTTTCCATCTTTTTTACTCTGTTTCTGGAGCTTGTGAATAGTTCTTTTTATTTTGAGCCAGGGTTCTTGTACCTAAAGTATTAGAAAAATTTAAATTTTTTAAAAAAAGGAATAATAAAGTATATAATTTTTTTTAACTTAACTATAGCTAACGTTCGATATTCAATAGTTTGTGTCAGGGTTCGTTGATTTAAATCACGATTTAAATCATGATTAAAATCAAATGATTTTTTTAAAAAAATCATTGATTTAAATCAACTGATTTTTATATATATATTATATTGATTTTAAAAGTTAAAAAACAGTGCTTTAAATTATTGATACTTTTATTATTTTCTTTTCTTAGTTTTAAAATTTATTTTAAATAAATTGCTGCATTAATTAATTTTAGTTAACGAAATTACTTTCTTTCTTGGAGTGTGTTAAACACATTTAAAATTACATGTTTAAAAATCTTTTGATTCTTAACATTGAAAGTACAGATTAAAGTAAATATTTAATGCTGTCTTAATATAGACTTGCATAGCTGTAGAAAGTAAATAAACATGCTTTTTTTTCAAAAAGCAAATGTTAATTAAAATTCTACCTTTTGATTAAAAAAGCATGAAATTCAAATCTACATTATAGTTTATTGATGGAAATTTCTATATTTCTAAAGCTTGAGGTTATATTAAAAAGAAATTACCTTAATATGCCAAAAATAGAAAGAAAAAAAAAAGCTGAGTTCAGATATTTTTTTCCTGATATAGTGTCATTCTTCCCTATCAAAGTCTATTTGAAGCAGTAGGGTTATTAACTGGTTTTTATTTTTCTTCTCATAATATGTTTACGGTATCTTTGAAATTATCAGATTTTCTTTTGTGAAAAAAAATTCCAATGAGTACATAGATTTTTTTAAAAATGTTTTTTAGCTTAACTTATGTATTTTGATAAAGGATTAAAAATGAATATTTTAACATAAAAATATATAGATTGAATATTTATTTTTTGATGAATAACAACATTTATAAACACAATCTGTTGCATTTATTTTGCCATTTTATAAATCATGAGAAAAAAAAGAGATCACAATTTTAAATTAAAATTATGCTGTGCTAATTGAAACTTTGTGTTATTAGTTAAAGTAGTATTCTTTAAATTATCTATTTTATCTTGTCTTTTAATTTCAATCATGCCTTTGTATCAAAATGGTCGCTATGCATTATAATGAAAAATTATTTTAGTAAGTTAGAGCTTCTAAAATATTGTTATAATATAGTTTTAATATTAATTTAATTTTGATTAAACATTTATAAAGTTTTTTTGATCATAAATTAAAGCTCTTATAGTGTATTTAAATAGAAATCAAAAAAATCTGATTTAAATCAAAAAAATCCGATTTAAATCAAAATAATCCGATTTTTTCGATTTTTTTAAAAAAAATCAAAAAAATCACGAACCCTGGTTTGTGTTTAATTTATAGTAGGCTCCCTACCGCCTAGCCTTCAGACTATCCAGCCTAGTAAAAATGAGGATTAATTTAACCGGCAGTTAGCTAAACTTGTCAAAGAAAGGGGAAAAAATTAGGAAGGCTAAAGTGGTCCTCTGCACATTTCACCTCTTCCTAGTTATAATTTTTTACAACATTAATGAACATGGAGTATAAGTTATTTTGAAATGCGTAATGTGTTTTTAATTATAGAAGAGAAAAGGTAAGAAGTTAAATTTTGTCCAATTCAGCTATTTTGTTATAAGGCCAATCCATGTGCTAAAACATAAAACCAGCTTCTTTATTAATTTTTTTTTTAAATTGAAAAATACATTTAAGTTTTTATGAAAAATATAGTAAAGAAGTAGTGAAACAGTGATATGACAAAAAAAAATTTTTGTTCATTAAGATAGACTTTGGTTGTTCTTAGTGATAAAAGTATTATTTCAACATAAGAAAGAGTCTTTTAACGAGATGTAAAAATATTAAAACAGAAATTAAAATTTACACTGTAATTAAATGTTTGTACTAAATATACTTCTTGAATATTTAAAACTATATATAAGTGTATATAACTATATAATAAGAAAGAAAAATAAACAGTTCTAAGATCTTGCATTTAACATCTTGCCTTTTATTATAAATTCTAGTTAATGTTTCGCTTTGTGAATGAACTTTACTGTAATATAGTAGAATAATATCCAGATCATTAGACAAAGAAAAAACATGTATTTTTTTTAAACAAAGTATTTATAAAATAAAATTCCATATCATCCTCGCCAAAATAACACTAACAAAATTTAAAACTATTTCTTTTTACATTTAAATTAATTTATTAATAAATTTAATTTCTTACCTGCTCCAATGGGAATAATGGATTTAGATGCACACTATCTGACAGAAGTTGATCAGTATAGTCAACCAACAACAACAGACAATGAAGAGAATGTTGAATAGGAGATGTTTGCTGATCGACTCTTTGATATAGAGAGGTCAAGGTTTTGAAAAAAGCATTCACAAAAGATTCTCTCAATTTGGCTGGAATTTCTCCTATGTCTTGATCACACTAGAAGGAATAAGTATTATAGTTTAAAGAAGGATGTATGCAAAAATAACAATAGATCAATAAAACAAAATTATTTACAAATAAACTAACACAAGTTAACTAAACTGCTTTTTATCAATGCTACTAACATTTGTTTTGTTAAATTATTATTAAATAATTCAACCAAATTATTTAAAAACATTTCGACTAATTCAAAAGAACACAATTCTAGGTTTGTAACAAACTTGGAGATAAGTGAAATAGTTTTTACTAATACTTCAAACTAAATTACTACTGATGAAATACACAGCATGAGACATTTTCTTTTTTATTTAATTTAGAACATAAAATATTAAAGGGAAAAAAAGTTTAATCTACCATGATTAAAATTTATAGAGCAATTTTGATTCACAAAAAAATAATTTACATGATTTACCTTACAAATGTACCGTGTAATGTACGTTAACAAAGCTAACTTTAAAATTAGTTATGAACAAAAACATAAATGTTAGAAAAGAAAGGAAACATGCAACTCTATTTTTTTTTATAGAATCAAGACCATTTTTTTATAGAACTAAAATTATACACAAATTGAAGCAATTAAATAAAATTTCATTAAAAAACCAAGAAGTTTATTGTTTAACTTTCAGCATACATACAGCTACTAACTCTTTATGGTGGATTTTTTTAGTGTAGGAATAAAATGGGAATTATCAATAATTAAATCATTAAAGAGAAAATTAAAAAAAATTTCTCTTCTCTAGTAGTTTCCTTTATTAAAATCATATACCTCGACTTTTTGTTTCTTACTTGAAAACTCTTCAGAGATGAGGATTGAAAAAATTCACACATTTGGCACTATCATTCTAACATTTATGAACTTTATAGGCGGAGATGAGCTACATACTAACACGAGCAAACAATATCAATATGTCCCTCATGTGCAATGCGGAAATTTCAACACCAAGGAATAAAAAGAGCAAAATTTTTGTTGATTTTCGAATAAAATCACATTTTTTTGAATAACTATCTTTAAAATTTTGACTGCAATAACCTTTTCCCACATCATTAAAAGTACGAACGTTTCAGCGCACAGCTCTAAACAAAAAGAAATTTTCACCCAGTTGCCATTTCATCAGAATATTTACTAAAATATCATGCGGTTGCTGAGCAATTAATTTTTTCCCTGCTTATGCGGCGGTAGCCTCTGGGCACTTCGTTGCACATTTGGGGAATTCGATTGGTTCCTCAGGCACACTACGAATTATAAAAGTTGAAGTAGTAAAGTAGAAAAAAGGATATTAATTAAAGAGTAGAAAACGGAAGAACTGTTTAAAAATATAAAACAGAAATCTTGCAGGTAATCCGGATGAGTCGGCAGAATTCAATGAACGATATTATGCAAAAAATAATAATTTTTTTAATTCTGCCAGTAGATAAAACTTATTTCTATAATGGTTAATTTATTCTCTATAATGATGATATAAGACATTTTAAAGTTACTTAAAATCTGAAATTTTATTTCAAGTATAAGAATAAAATCTTCCCCAAATGAGAAAAAAAATTGGCAGCAGTGTAGCTCTGTAAGCAGAATGTTATTTAAGTCTACATTAAAAAAAGAGAACACTGATAAGATAAAGAAATTCCTGAATCACACTTTGTAATTAAATAAGAATAATGAATCATAAATTATACATTAGAATATCAATTTAAGTGTAAAACTGTTTTGATAATGAATACAGCAGATACTAAAACCAATAAATGGTTCAAAAATTGAAAAACAAAAGGATTCTTACATGTAAGATATCTGTAGTGACTTCTTTAATGGCAAAAAAGGAATGCAAAAACAAGAACTTAATCACATTTATCCTCCAATCAATGTCAGTCATGATTTTTGCGTGAGACACCAAATTGCCAATCTAAAATTAAATAAATTTTTTTTATTAGTCATACCATGTTTTCATAAGTGCAATAAATGTGTGATTTTGAAGATATTTATTTCATAATAATAGACCTTACTTGAGTAACTGCAATGACTCTTTGATTGTCTGTTATGTTAACATCATCATCATCCCTAAAAAGTAGCGGGGGAAAAAGAAAAATTACAAAACAATAAATAAAATGTATATTTTTAAATTTGAGGGAAACCTCATAAGTATTAACAGAACCATAAACGTTTTAAAGCAGCTAAAAGATTTGTTCTGATTCTACAAATTTCAATCAAGACAACAATCTGTTTCAGTTTTGATACCTACATAAATCTATGGTACCTTTTTATCTCATTGTAGATTAATCATTTGAGTAAATTGCTTACAAAGACTTACTTGTCAGTGTTTTTCTTCAATGCAATAGCTTTCAAAAATTCACAATATATTTTTACTGCGTCTGGTAAAAGCTGTAGAAAAAATGAAACATATTTAGTATTTTCACTTTACACAATTTTAGACAAATCAAAAAAATTAAAAATCAAATACTCAAAGCAATAGATGTATTTGTATGCTAGACAACATTGAATGGTTAAAGAGTGCATAAAATATTTTTGCTAATTATAACTAAGATAACTCCAACCTCTTAGACACATAGATAGGGTGGGTGCTTTAGTTTAGCATAAGGAATAAATTTTTGTTAATCATTTAATACTTAGCTAACAGATTTAAGATAATTTACTCTACTACAGTCCCAAATATCATCTTAATGCTTTGAATTAATAAATAATTTATAATTAATAAATAATTTAGAATTAATAGCTTCTACCATTAATATTTTTATTTCCAATGAGCTGCACAATCGGTTTTGCCGATGAGCAGACCTAGTGTGCTCTCCAGAGGTGTTATCCACTCTTGCAGGATCACCACAATGGGTGAGATACACCATAATATAGTTTGTGGAAATAAGACTAAAATAATCTGATAATGATAGATCTAAATCTGATGAATTAGAATAGAATAGAATTTATGATGATAAGTTGCACAACTATGTGTGTAAGAAAATTAAATTATGCAATTTTAATAGCACATAATTCATCGACTAATTAAGTAGAAATATACAAATTAATCTCTAATAGTAATTCTAACACAAAAACAAAACATTTTGAGCTTAATACATTTATTTTTCTTCATATGAATTTAATTTCAGCAATAATAAAAAGGGAAGAACTTAAATAATAACATTCTCTTTAAATGTGCAGTTATCAAATCAATTACTAAAAGCGAAAGATAGAAACACACTTACTGAACCTAGTTTTAATATATTTATTTGAATCAAATTAATACTCAAGGGATAATTTAGTTTACATTATGCAATATACAGCATATTATAAAGACAATTATAAAAATTGCAACAAAAATAAATGGAAACATTTGAGACGCCATTTCTTTTTCAAATAAAGATCATGAAATATTATACATACGTTTTGAACGAGCAAAGATATTTCTTTCTTTTTCAGTAATTGATCAAGTGATATATTTCCTGGTCTGCAAATAAAACAAAAGATTTAAAAATAGTAAAAACAACATCTGTATAATAAAAATACAGTTGAATTTTAATTACATAATTTCGATTAATAGCTCTCTATTAATCACAGTGACTAGCCTCATCACTATTTTAAATTGCATAACATACTAGAATTTTAATTTATTGCAATCATTATAAAATTTCATTTTTGTGCATTTGAACACTGATGTTTTATTTAGTAAATTACTCTTATGAATTATACCATTGAAAAAATTAAGCAAAATGATGAAACTTAAAGTCCATATTGTTAATCAAGCAAATATTTTGGTTCTTGAAAAACAAATGTCACAGTTATTAAAATAAAAATGACATATATTATCAGAATGTATGATATATAATATCATTGAAAATGAAATTTATTAACATTAAAAAGTTGAGAATTGGAGAACTTAAGAATTGGAATCAGTTGTATTGTGCAAAAAATAATTATTCAAGTTAATCACATACTCTAAATAAATTAATCAAAAAATATTGTAATTTAAATGTGGTTAAAAAAAAAAGTAGAAAGAAACTAAAGTGTACTGAGATAACTTAGCATTATGCGTTCATAATTAACTATAGAATTCTAACGTCTTGGGATCACTACAAAAATAATTTGGGACAATGTTTCATTAATAATATGACAGGTGATAACTAAAGTAAAAATACTTTGATGATCAGAAATTCAGTAGCAATTACAACAAATTATCAAGGTTTTATGCACTTCCATATTATCAATTAAACAAAAACATTAATTTATTACACTTCAAATAAAAAATTGATCAAAAATCATTAAAAATTTAATAAAAAACTCACGGCTGTAAAAAGAATTTCAGAATAAGCATTTGGACATCAGTATCTTCACTATCTTTAGCAAAATTGCTCAAATAGACTGCCTAGAAGGTAATGGAAGATGTAGAATGTAAAATTTATTTTAATAATACCAGTAAAACATATATTTAACATTTATAAAATCAATATCATCAATTTCAAAATTCAATCACATATATTTCATTACAAGCAAATAAAATATTCAGAATTGAAACTTAAAAAGTAAATGATAGGATAGCTAATATTTCGAGGCATTTTGGGGTCCAAACTATTCAACCTAGAATTTGTAAAAAATGTTTGAAAATATTCATAGTTTATCTAAGAATATATTTAATTATTTGATAAAATAATTTATACCAGAGTACACAAAAATATTTGTTGACAATTTTGCTTAAACAAACAATTATCTGTTGATAAACAGTCCTTTTCAAATGTTCATACTAATGCTTCAGCAACTTTGGGAAAATATTTCCGAAGTTTGGAAGAATCAGTCTTGTTATATAGAGAAGAATGTAAGCCTGAATCAACTGTCTATTTGAATGAAAAACAATTTGAAAAAGGTAAAAACAGGAAATTTGATATTTTTTTCGAAACAAAATATGTCCTAAAGAGGCTAATTGGTTAAATGAAAAGTAACAAGTAAAAAAGGATATAGTAACGTAACATAATACTTTTTCAAATCATATAAATAAGGAGTAGTCTAAAACAGGGTCAGGTAAATTTTCAATTTCATGCATGGTGGCATGCAAGGATTTACTGAAAAATGAAAGATAAAGTAATAATGTCACCTTTAGGAACTTCAAATTAGGGTCGAATTATATTGAATTTTAGAAACTACAGGGTAAACAATATATAAATACAGTAGGCATGTAAAGGAGGAACACATAAATTATATTTTAGAACAGCATAACTCTTTAACAGTTAAGCTACATGGAAAAAGATGTGCAAAAACTTTCCTGCTAAACAGTTCTCGATAAATAACATGATGGCAGGAGAGTGTGGATAAATACTCAGCTTGTTCTTTTAACCATGCCTGCTTATTGGCTGAGTGTTAAGAGGTTAATTACTCAAGACACTTCACACCAGCAAAGGGCATTTAGTTCACTTCTCCATGCCTCCTGGTCTTTGGATTGGGATCTGGCATCCTCTAATTCTTTCAATTTTAGCCTTCGTTTGTCTCTGCCAAGGCATTCTTAGTTTTCTCCTTTCTCTTTTACCATCAGGGACTCAAAAGGCAGAGAAACATGTGCCAGTTTTCCTTACGGCATTCTTAGTACATGGCTTTTCTATTTTTACTTTCTCTTATTTATTTCATATTCTATTGCAGTTAGGTTTGCGTTTCCAGATATTGCATGATTTCTCACTTTAAAAGGTTAAAAGATTTTGAAAATTTTTCAGAAGCAGTTATTTAAAAAAAAAAACAAAAAAACTAGGCATTGGATGTCAAACTTTCTAAGTCACTCAGTTCCAAAGCCTTATAATAAAATTGCTCTAACTATTGTATTATTCATCTCTTACACCCTGTGTCAGCCCGATTGAGGGACTATCCGGAGTTCACTTCCACCCTGAACTTCTGTCCCACACAAACAAAAACTCAGATGTCCCTGAATACCTACGACAGCTGGTTCTCGAGGTTATAAACTGTATCCCGAATGATGCCACTTTAATATATACAGATGGCAGTATATATTAAAGTGGAAACTGAGTGACTTTCTAAGTCACTCAGTTTCAAAGCCTTATAATAAAATTGCTCTAACTATTGTATTGTTTTAACCAGAGACTCAAAAGGAATAGCCCATTTGGTCTGGCCGATAAAATGAAGATTATTTCCCAATCGGTGGAATATTCATCTCTTACACCCTGTGTCAGCCCGATTGAGGGACTATCCGGAGTTCACTTCCACCCTGAACTTCTGTCCCACACAAACAAAAACTCAGATGTCCCTGAATACCTACGACAGCTGGTTCTCGAGGTTATAAACTGTATGAGTGATGCCACTTTAATATATACAGATGGCAGTAAAGACGAGTCAAACCACACTGGGAGAGGTATTTATATCGAGAATATTTCTGTTCGACTCTCTAGACGAAACCCAGATAACTGCTTGGTATTTAGGAGCGAATTAATAGCTATTGAGGAGGGTTTAAAAACCATCCTCCACTCCACTGACTCTAGCGATATTCGGATTCTCACAGATAGCCGCAGCTCGATTCAACATCTACAGGACTGGAGTTGAATAAAAGACCTCGTAAGCATTCAAATAATCAATATGCTCAAAATACTTGCAAATCGTAGGGAGGTCCACTTTCAGTGGATCCCCTCTCACATCAATGTCCTTGGAAACGAAGTTGCGGATATCTTGGCCAAAATAGGCTGCTCCGAGATGGCAACTACCGACTATGACCTCACTTTTTAAGAGATTTTCTCAGTGACGAAAAATAGAGACCGGCAGGTCTGGCTCTCCCCTCCTGCCCATCCCTGGTTCTGTAGGAAAAGACCAGGATGCGCATTGGATCTTGAGGCTGGCAGACAGGCTCAAACGGCCGCTTCAAGAGTTATCAGTGGGCACCTAAAATGCATGACCTTTGAATGCGGCCGCAAAGTCTTACCAATGTGCACCAAGTGCCACCTGATGCCGGCCTCCCCCGATCATATCCTCGATTGATTGGGGCTCGCTCTTGCGGATATCCGCGATAGCCCACTTCTGGTGCTTGACTTTGCTAGAGTTCACGGACTCATGGATTTTATCTAGCTGTCGCTAGATCCTGAAGGATTGGACACAACACACAACAACAATTGTTTTATAGATACTTATTTTTGTTTTGTATTGAATGCTTATTGATATCCAGAATTTTTTTAAGGCTTCGGAAAGATGTTCTTGCACAGATGACTCTGTTGAGTTGAAAGATTATTAAGAAATAATTGAATTTTTGTTACTAACCAATTGAGTAGAAGCAGAATTTATGGGCGACTTCATATTTACATAACTTCTAGCAAACACTGCACGAAACTTTGGAGAAAGCGCAGCTTTTACCTGAAAGAAAGATTTAAAAAAATTATTTTGATAATTTGCAACAAGACTATGTCAATAATATTATGAATAATGTATTAAATATCAATAGAAGTCTTATTTTCAACTCTTAGGAATGAAATGATCTTTGGTGATAAAACGTAAAACAATAAAAATATCAATTGCAAAGTGCATATTTTGTAGGAAAAAGAGAAAAGCGATTTTGAATTATTTTTCCTTCTTTTAAACAATTACCGATGAAAAATATTTATGATGAAAATATTTTTGATCTAAACTGAACAGTTCAACAAGCACTTTATATTAATTAAAAACCCTTTTTGAGCCGATTCTGCACATAACGAACTAGAAATATTTCTATAGCCTTCCACAATCTTTACTTTCTATTTCAATCATCAAAATGGCTGATTGGTAGAATATGCAACTGAAATTCTTAAAGGTTTTTATCAAAGCTATATTGGTATAAGATGTAATAGATAACTTAATAGTAGACAATAGTACACTAATGAAAAGATATTATTTATTAGAGTCTTTTTCATCTCTTGACGTTATAAAATTTTACGTATGCATATAACTATACTTGCAATGTTAATTTTACTTCAAAAACTTACAATTTTCTTCTTTTGCATGTTCTGTAAAATAAATTTCACCATCTCAAATCCAACAAAAGATTTCTCTGTTTGGTCCCCTTCAAATAAGTTATCTAAAAATAAAAAAAATATGACAAAAAGGTTAAAGAAAATCTGAAAATCTCATATTCAAATTAAAAGCACAGAATTTTCACTTGAAAAGGAAATAAATAAAATAATAAAAGACTTTCAATAGAAGATTACAATTATATGTAAAAAAAAAAATTTTCATAAAAGATACTTTAAAAAGTTATTACTTTTAACAAAAAACTGTGAGAAAATTAAACTTATAAATTGATAACTTACATATTGAGATATCTGTTGTGAAAACAAATAAGTAATCATTTCTTTCACATGATTCCTCTTTTTTAAGAACAATTTTTGATTGGATGCTATTTTCTACTATTTCAAATTCAATTTACATTCTGTTTCCTTATTTAAAATATAATTAATAAAAAATTAAAGAAAATATTAACAATAAGTCATGCTAGTCAATTAAATATATACATCAAATTATAATATATGACATCTTCTAGCAATAACACATGTTCCTTTAAAGAAAAAAATTTTTTAAAAATAAGCATAATTTTAACCAAAAGTTCTTTTTTACCAAATGTTATTATTATTTTGTATTTTTTCGTACATTCTTCAATTTAATAATTAATTCGTTCTTAAATTATCATATTATTAAAAAAACATGTACAATTACCATCAACTAAAGCAACCCAAACTTCCTTCAGGCTCTTATGATTTTGACAACTAATTAGAATTTCAGAACACAATGGATGCAGCTTTGGCAGACAAGAAGTAGTTTGCTAAAACAAATAAGAAAAAAAAAATTTAATCACTTAGCAAATTAAAATGTTTATTCAATAATGGGACCAAAAAAGATAACTTACTCTAATGAATGTTTTCACATTTTCAAAGTTGTCTGCAGAAAGTATGTCACGAGTATTGAATTTCTTCTTCAAATACTTCTCATTAGCAATTTCCTTAAATATGAACATTTTATTCAGAGAAAATAAAAATTTACAATAATTGGATGAAAATAAACAGTTTTTTTTTTGAATTATTAAGAGAATAAATTAAACAAACATAATACAGTACAGAATCCGTTATCCGGAAATCAGAAAACCAAAAAACCGGAACAAAATTCGATAAATTTTCGCGCCATTAAAAAAAAAAAAGAATTTTTTTTTCCTCATAAGATATTAGGATCTTTTTTTTCTTTTTTGAAAGATGTTCAGCTTTTTGTAGCGATTCAGAAAACCGGAAAAATAAGTTATCCGGAATAGCGATGGTCCCGATCGTTCCGGATAATCGGTTCCCTACTGTATGTGGAAAGGTTCAGGCAAATAGCAGAAAAGAAATAAAATGGATAACACACTCATTTCATAATATTCTGCTGTTATTTATGTTATATGAATAATGTAACTATAATAGTAATGTTTAGCCACTGTAGTTAACATTTGTTCGCATTTAGAATGAAATGCAGTTTTCTTATATTTGAAAATTAAAATTTTTGATTTTGATAGAAAAACAATCAATATTTCCTAATAAATGTCAAATCAAAATATATTTTTATAATTTTTAGAATTGATAAATACTTAGAATTTTACATATATAAAGTGATCAACAAATTGAAAATAAAAGAAAAAACACAAACTTCAAGAGAATATTTATTTATTGATATAAATTTAACCAAAATTGAACCTTAGAAAATGTCTTTTAGAGCTTGTTTCCCTCCCCCCTTTTTTTTGAAAAAAAAATAGAGATCTGAGAACTTGAAACTGAAATTAATTCCTTTTGGGCGAAATTTGTAAGAATATTTTATTTCCATTAAAAAATTATGTACGCTTTTAAATGAAACTACTAATAATTGAAATTTAAAAAATCAAATATAACCCTATATTATCTAAAAAACAAAATGTAACCCTATATAATCTATAAACAAGAAATTATGAGTTTTTGGAAATGAGGAATTTATTTTTGTTATTTTTTAATGTTTTCTAAAAAAAAAAAAATTTCTCCAAATTTTAGTTAAAAAACATCATAGGGAGTTTTAACAAATACTTATTGAGAAATCTGAAACAAATAGCGATCGAGTAAGATTAGAAATTTAAAATAATTTTTCTGTTTCTCCTCTCAGTAATATTATAGGCTTGATCTTTAAATTTGAAATGAAAAATAATCTTTAGGCGTTGGAAATTTTTTTAAACCTGAGATGAAAAATAATCTGCAGACGCTCTGACAGTCCACAGTGTCTGTTTTGCTAGAGGAAACTATGGAGCTCTGACATGGTGAAGCTAGGAAAAGGATAAGCAAGCAGTTCTGACATGCTGGAGCAAGTAAAATGAAAAGCAAGCAGTTCTGATATGCTGGTCAGCATAAAAGCATGCAAGTCACAGACACACACATATACTCACTGGAAACATTCTTCTGCAGAGCAAAAGAATCCACAAGGTGTCAGGAGTACATTTGTCCCATCCACCAATGAACTTTTCTTTTAAATGAGGCCATATTTTTTCTTTGAAAGTGTCAGATGGAAGCTACAAAAAATAAAAAATGTTTAAATCCTGATTTAAAAATTAAAAAAACTGTGTCACATAATATAATACGAAAACTTAAGATTCCTATGAAATAAAAAGTTAATTTAAAACTACAGAAAACTATCTTTTAAATAATTACAAAAAATAACAGGTGGGAAATTATGAGCAAGTATAATTAAAAATATGTACAACCATCAGATTTTATTAATGATGTTACACATTAAACATATGATCCAATTTGAATGAAAAATAGGTTGGTTGAAATAGTATGTTACTATAAATCACCATACATAAAATACTTAAGACTGACAATTATATAACAGACAATTTCAGCAAAAAAGAGTTTATTAAGGTAGTAAGAGTATGCTCAATCAGATTATTTCTTCCAGGAAAACAAAATTTTTTCCTTTTTTTAAAAAATACTGAGTTTAAATTATACATTATATAAACTCCTTTTTCATACAAGAATTAAAATAATGCAACAGGCTTAGTTTGTTAATTGTTGATTATTAATATTAATTCATATAGAAAAGAAATACAAAGGTTACAATGCCTGTGAGAAATTATTTATGGAGATTAAATAATTTCTTTTTATAGTAGTCGACATACATAATAAGTCGACAACAACAATTAATTTACATATGAAATATACCAGACATATGCAATATACATTGCAAGTAAAAGCAGTTTTTAACTTTATATGGATTTTAAGTTATTTAAAATTTTTGCTGATGAAAAAAAAAATAGCAAAGACATTAGAAATGGAATATATTTTCATGAATCTAAGCAAATTTAAAAATTGAATTTTTGAATACTTGAAAAAAAAGGGGATTTAAAAAACATAAAACTTTTTTCTTAAGTTATACCACAGTTTGAATCCTTAGTAGTTTGGAATTTATGATAGCGTTCGGTAATTTCAATTTGATTTCTTGAAATTATATTTTTTAACAAAAATAGATCTTATTTCTGTATACTAGTCCTTATATGAATATTGTTAAAGTAAAGCAGTAAATAATTTCTTATATAGTAATCATATAGTGGAAGACAAATAATAGTCAACAATGACAAAAATATTTAGTTGGTGTTGCTATAATAGGCATAAAAATAACTTGGAAAACTGCTTTTAAGAGAGAATTGTTTTAACTTATGCATTGCAAGTTAAAACAGTTCTCTACTTAACATTCTATTAAGTCCATTAAATTTCTTACTGAAGAAAAAGTAATGAAATAATAATGAAAAAATAGTAGTAAAATGGTAAAGGTAAAAGAAATAGTAATGCCATTAGAAATTTAAGATTAAAAATTTTCATCAATGTCAGCAGATTAAAAAATTGAATTTTTGAATACTTGAAAAAATATAGAACTTTCTTTCAAATTAATCTACAGTTTAAATCCTTAGTACTTGGAAGTGTCTGGTAATAATTTGATTTCAAGATATTATAACAATTATATATATATATNTATATATATATATACATCAATTATAATTTCATTCCAAGAAATTAGATTTTGCAACAAAGATATACTTATTTTATTTCTATGCGTGACTCCATATATCTTCGAATTTTATATTAAATTTTAAATAAAACATTCATAAAGTACACTTACAGTATATGATAAACCACTATATTTTTATGCTAAATTTCAGATTTTTAAAATTCAAACATTTAAAATATTAGTAAAAAGTGAATCAGTATTTTTCAAAATTAACTTTACTTTTACAATTACAAACATCTGATAATTAAAAATTTTGTGAGGAATATATCAATATGGTAATTATTTAAAATTATATAATTAAATATATTTAGTATAATTAATTTTTAACATCAAATAATAAATTTTTAGCATCCCAATTTATATCCATCAAATAATTTTTTAAAATTGCAACAGCACAAATTAAGAATACAGACATGTTACAGTCTCAGAAAAAAAGTGGTGAACAGTGCTAACACATTACTTAAAAAACAAGCTTCACAAAATACAAATTATTAAAAAAAAATTATAAAAAAAAAAAGAATATAAGTTAAATTTTAAAAAAAAGTATATAATTTAAATTTTAAAAAAAAATTCTAAATAAATATATTTAGTAGCTTTATTTAACTAACTATAGGTTAAATGATTCTTCAGTTAGTTGCTTCAAAATTTAGTTAATTTTTAAATTTTCAATTAGAGTTATTTCTTACATACAAAATCTGAAGATTTAACATTTTTCATAAAATTATTAGTAATAATTAATAGTAGAAATTTTAAAAAGATATCAATTCTACTAATGACTTAACTTCATGCACACAATATTTAAATTAATCTCTTAAAAATAGAATAAGATTTCAAATTCTCCTTCATAAAATTTCATAAGAGGATATTTAATTTAATCATGTTTTTTCTCTCAATAGTATAATTCAAGAGACCTAAAAATTCTGGAACTAGAAATTGGTTAAAATAAGATACTTTGATGACTTAAATCATTTTGTTGATAGTGTCCCAGTTCAACATAAATGATTTTTAAAATAGTTAAGTCTTACAAAAGAAGAAGAAAAAAGTGGAATTCTGCACAATCACAAAACAGCTGCAAGTCAGAGAACCAAAAGTTTTTATATCATTTAAAATTAAAAAACTTACTTGATCAAATAGTTCTTTTATAATTTCATAACAAGTATTTACAATGTAGTTTCTCCCTTGCCACAAATCAAATATATTCAAGAATATAAAGGATAAATGACTGTGATTTGCCAATCTACCTGATCTCACAAGAGAGGAATAGGCAAAAACTAGTCCAAACACAATGTCACGTTTTTCCTGTAAATAGAAAACTGTTATAACACAAAAAAAGATTGAAATCTTAAAGATAATTCTTATTAATTAGATAATCTACATTATTGTCTAGAAATTCCTAATGATTCCACTTACAAGGGAAACTAGGGAAGTGTGACTCGCCAATTTTGAAATAAACTAGTGGGATGTATGCCTTATGAGGAATAATTTTAGGAGGCAACATTCGTTTCGGCCCATAGAGGGTCCTATGTGAGATAAAAAGTAATTAAGTATGTAGAAAAATCGGTATTTCATTTCTTCAATGTAGACTATTAGTTATTGTAATTATTTCATACTCCAATTAATTTTGCGGTACTTTCACGTATTATATAATGCATATTTATTTTCAAAATTTATTTCGAAAATTTTATATATCTGTAGTTTATCAGAAAAAAAAATTGGCATTTAAAAAAAAAAAAAAAAAAAAATTGGCATCAAATTTTTAAAAAAAAATTTTTTTTTTCAACAAAAATTTCCTATATAAAAACAAGTGAACAGTAATACATTTCATTTATATGAGAGTCGAAATATAAGAAAACATTTTTGAAAAAATCAAAGTCTTAAAAAAAGTGTAATTTCCAGAAATCAATGTTTAATATACAAGATGCTCCTTTTCAAGCAGTATTTTGGCAATACTTAAAAAATACGTTTTGTTCCCTAGCTTATGACACAAAAGTTATTATATAAATATTTTTAAGGTAGATCTTCGTTTATAAAATAAGTGTATTAAAGAAATTTTTTTTCGTTGAATAAATAAATATACAATCTTCAGAGTTTCAATAAAAAAATTAACAATTTTGGCCATATAATAATAAATTTATTTAAAGAACGTGACTCTAAACATACTATAAATAAATAAATAACAATTTCTGATTTTCAAAGAATATTTAAATTGCAACAATAATTTCAGCTATATTAATGAGTTATCATAAAGATATTCTTATATACGTCATATAATTCAAAATTTAAATATTTTGCAACTAATTCATTTTCCATCTGATTAAAGATAAATAGTAGCGTAAATCTCTAAAATAACAAAAAAACACATTATATAATTTATAATAGATAGCGTACTTTATAAAATTTATAATGTAGAATACATTATTCTTCAAAGTTTTTGCAATAGTGTGGTGTTCTTTTGTTTTGTGGGTCAAAAAAGTGGTCCATACAGAGGACAATTTTGCACCACGAACATTTAATTATTGCCAATTTCACGCAAGAGCTACAGTTAAAGTCAATGTTTTTAAAGCAAAAGTCAACAGGCATTACAAATTTTGGTGGTTCTTCTGTAAGATTCTTCTGTAAGACCATGTATATTTAAATAAGTTTATATATCTGGGAGAGGAAAACTGATTGTGAGTCAAAGATTGAAGCTTGAGAACGTTATTCCTTAAATGCAAATTAACGTCATAATCGTGTAGTATAACAATGTCTGAAAAATACAGTTGATCTTTTATGAAAAAAATCGAATTGAAATATTAAACATTTTATAAGTTCAAATTTCCCGCCAAACAAATTTGAAAACATTTTTATAAATGCAATTTAATTTTATGCAATCACACAAATTATTTCAGATTTTTTTGCAAGATCTAGCAATATGAAAACTTTTTTTTTCTTTTTTTTTATAAATCACATTTTTGGATGTTACATAAGCTATACTCATAAAAAATTCCATCAGTTTTGGAAAATGCGTATTATATTTCGACTCTCATATAAATGAAATTTATTACTGTTTACTAGTTTTAATATTGGAAAATTTTTTGAAAAAAAAAATTTAAAAAATTTGATGCCAATTTTTTTTTTGAATGCCAATTTTTTTTTTCTTGATAAACTACAGATATATAAAATTTTCGAAATCAATTTTGAAAATAAATATGCATTATATAATACGTGAAAGTAACACAAAATTAATTGGAGTATGAGATAATTACAATAACCAGTTTGCATTGAAGTAATGAAATACCGATTTTTCTACATACTTAGGACCCTCTATGGGCCGAAACGAATGTTGCCCCCTAAAATTATTCTTCATAAGGCATACATCCCACTAGTTTATTTCAAAATTGGCGAGTCACACTTCCCTAGTTTCCCTTGTTAGCAACAATCATTACATTTTATTAATCATTGTTGCACAGGTATAAAAAGAGAAGAGCATCCCACACACTCTTTACAGCCCAATTGAAACTCAAACAGTATAGTTATAAGTTTTGTTAGATTTAAGCAGGGAGTTAACTGAATGTTTAAGCAGAGCTCATTCTAGGCAGAAAAAAGGGCAAAGGTGCAAAAGTTTAAAAAAGGGCATTATTATTCTAAAAAGGCAATTATTTCTTTCTATGGGTTTTACACGTTCTATTAAAAAAACGTCAATTAGTAAAATAACATTATTTTTTTTTTACTCTACTAAAAGTAGCAAAGCAATCATATTATTGCAATCAAGTTAATTTGCTTAGTAATTAATTTAAAATGCATGCATATATTAAAATAAAAAATTTATGTTTTTAAGTGTCTGTAGTTATGATTTAATAATTAAAATGATTAATAATAATTATGATTTAATGATAGTGGAAATAACTGCAAACTTTCAAAGACAAGTGCAACAAGGGGGTGTGATGGCTATTTTTCCTTTCCCATATCAATCTATGTATTGACAGCAATGACAAACTAAATAAAGAGTTGAAAATAACAAAAGTTTAAGAAATCTATTGTAGAGTTTGGGGAAAAAATAAAGAAGGGTTGAGGAAAGAAAGGGAAAAAAGGGTATGGAGTCTATTACATCAGGGCACTAATTTACTTCAGGGGCAACAGGGTGGATTCTTTTGACTAAAAGGGCAGCAGGTTGCTGCGCCCTGTTTACACTGCCTAGAATGAGCTCTGGTTTAAAAAACAAAAGGCATTATACACAAATTGTTTTTTTCTTCTTCTCTTTTCTTTTATTTAAACTTTTATTTCACATTGTAAGAGTGCTTTGCAATTACTGTATTTCAAAATAAGTTTTTATAGTTGTGGCTTGCCGGTGCCTGGTATGAAGAAACATATAAATTTTGACAGAAACCAGTACATACAGTATATCTTTGTGTATAAGTCGACTTTTAAATTCCCAAACTTATGAAAATCATAAGGTTGACTTATACACTGGTAATAAATCTGACAAATAATCTAATTATAAGAATCTCAAACCCTTCAAAAACTACTTTTAGTACGTTATATACAATTAATTTTGCATACGTTATGTCTTATTTTCTTTACATAATTTCTTTTTTTTTTTTTTGCAGAAACAAAGTTTTAAATTGCATTTACAAAAAAATAATAGGAAAAGCTATGATAATTAATTCAAAAGTATTTAAAAAATGTATGATAACGATAACTTTTAAACATACAAATTAAAAAATTCCAGAAGATCATCGGTGTCAGCATTAACAGGGCAGTAATACGAATCTCATTAACCCCTTATAACGATCGGTTAATTTTCAAGAAAACGGACATTAGAGGATCTATTTTTTTTTATCACATATCACAAATACACATATTTGATTAGTGCTGAGATCTAGTTAAAAATGAACTATCTGCAATTACCTTAATATATCTTGGTACTGCCATCTGGTATGCAAAATAAGAAATAAAATGTTTTTCAGGCAAAAGAAATGAATTAGTTTTATTCTTATTGGCGCGTTACTACTGAACACTCCAGGCCGGAAATATTACGGGAGCTAGAAATAGAGGCCGAAACCTCACCCTATCATCTTCACGGGAGCGAGAAAGAAGGGATTAAGCAATGGATTCTCGTCTGCTGAGTCATACAAAAAAAAAAAAAAACACCTTCACACCCACTCAAAGAATTTAAAATTCCACACTTTTTTTAAAAAATTTTGCAATAACATTTGAATGCAGATTTTGCCATGCTTTTAATAACAAGTGACTGGTCACCTCATAGCATTTGTTAATAGTGTATCTTAAATTGGGAGCAAATCTATCACATCTAGAGAAAACAATATGAAATAATTTCAATTTGTGAACTTTCATAGACTTAATAATTTTTTTTCAATTTAGTTTTAGAAATCTTCATAATTGATTATTTTAGCAGTTTACTTACATGCACAACATACCAGAAATTTGCTAACTTGTACTCAAAAATAGAGGGTCAATTTATACAGAGTCTTAAACACCAGAATAAATAATACAAGTTATAAAAATGTGCTAAATAAATTTTATAACCTGTTTTGGAGTAAAAGATAAATGTTGTTTCACTAACTCTAAGACATCTTCAATTTCTATGATAGTGAATTTCTTTAAAATCTAAAGACAAAAAAAAATAAAAAATAAGATTAAAATTTGTATAAATTTTATACAGTTTATTATTGTTAATAAATGATTTCTTAAACACTCTTTCACACACAGTTACTTAATATTAATAAATAATAATTTATACTTAACACATAATATTTAAGAATTGCAACCCAGTATATACAAAAAAAAAAAAAAAAAAAAAAAAAAAAAAAAAAAAAAAAAAAAAAAAACATAGCAAAACAAAATAATTGCAAAACTTAGGATGTTTCAGAGTAGTGGCCGTCTAGAAACAAGAGAGAAAAAAATTTAAAGGTTTCAAAAGGTATTTAATTCGACATATATAATGCATAGCCTACCCCCAAGCAACCCACTATCATATTATCTTTTACAAGTTTTACAAGCTTAAAATCCCTTTAGTACCTTGGTAGAAACTTTTTAAAGGGGGTTACTATGAATCAAGCTGCATGAATTTTAGAATGCGTAATTGTGAATCGCAATGCATACCTTTTAACCGTATAAATATAAAAATCAATATCCGTACGATTACATGAACACATACAATACAAATTAAAATATTGAATTTTAAAAATGCATAAATATAAATTGTGAATTTGGATTTTAATCTTGTGTAAATATGTATCGCGATATTTTAAAAAAGGAGTGAATAAGAATCGCAATAGTTAATAATCACAATAAAACTTTTAATTCATGTGAATATGAAACGTGATGAAAAATTTTTCAATCACGTCAACACGAATCAAACTTTTAAATCAGGGAAATATGGAAATCAATGCTTGATACTTAAAATCATGTAAATAAGAATGACGATAACAGAGGTTTCTGGCACAGCTCCAAATATTCAGAATGACGAAAATACGTGAAAGAGCTAAAATCACATATATGAAAAGGTCCTGTTAACGAGATTTACCAAAAGTTTTAAAATTTTAATTTTAGATCGCAGAATCACGTAAAAAATTTCTTGGGATAACACTTTTGATTAGCAAATGTCTGAAAACTAATGGTCTTGAGAAACATAAATTTACAAAATATTTCCAGAAAAATTATTTGCTTGGCTTCTAATTGTTAGACCGAGTAGGATGATTAAAAAACAATGGAATTCCAGGGCACACCAGGAAAGCAATCACCTCTACATATTTCATTTGACACCTTGACCGCTGTAGTCTGCGCAACAGATCCTGATACGGAAATATCCCCTGTAAATTAGTACTGATAGAATAATAATGGTAGAGTTACCGCCAAGTCTTTGAAACTTCCAGGCAGCGGTCTGCGACAAACTAAAAAAAGCGTCATAGAAGGAACCAACTCGAAAGTTATAACTCGTAACCACCTTCGGGAAAACATCTACATGTTTTTGTTTTTTTTAATTAGCACGTTTAAAATCTGGGGGAGATTTCCGTGCCCTGATCATTGGCAGAATTATCGCCAAGTCGTGGCAACTTCCGGGCAGCAGCCGGCGAGAAACTAAAAAAACATCACAGAAAGGGACCGACTCAAAGTGTATAACCAGGGGTCTGTTTAGGTTTTTCTGAGAGGTACATAATTTTTACATAGTACATTTTTTGACATATGTCATTTAGACATAATTTGTGAAAATTAAAAATTATATTAAAAAATCAACACAGAAATATGGATTTATCGTTTCTTAAGGGATACAAAAATAAAATTTTAAGAAAAAGTATTTTGTGAAACTACCGTTTTTCCTAAAATTGAATTTGTGAAGGTACCGCTAAACGGTAGTAAATTCGGAAAGGACAGACCCCTGATAACTCATAGCCACCCCCGAGCAAACATCTACAAGTATTTTTTTTTTTTAAATTTGCAAGTTTAAAATCTATTTGGCATCTTAGCGATTGTAGTTGGTGCAACAGATCAGGATACAGAGATATCCCCAAATAATGAAGCGCAGTAAAAAAAAAAATTTCAAATATAGTGCACAATGATTGTATTCGACAAGTAGATAAAAAGTTTAAATATCATGATCAGAATTCAGAATTCAATTTCAAAAGTTTAAAAATCATGCTCAATAATACTTCAGTTAGGAGCAAAGCAAATCCTAATCTTGCAGCACCTCTGGGAGAAGCAAGCCCTTTTATAAGTCTTTCAATGCAATACTTTAAATCTTTGTGCAAATCATCTTTATCATTCTCCTAAAAAACAAAACAATAGAATTGAAACTGATTAAGTTAATTCTTCAAAATCACTTGGTGATTATTTTAAAATCACTTTATGATAATTTAAATTTCAAGGATATTATGAAAATTATTACCTGTGCTTGTTTATTTGACAAAGAACGAAGAATACCCAAGCAAGCATCAATTCTATTTTGAGAATTTTCGTTTGCTAGTTTATAAAATAAATCTAAAACACTTTTATCCAGAGTTTTAGGTTTTTTTTCCTCCACTTCCATGATTGTTGGACACATTAGCCTTTATAGTAGTTATAGAAAAAACAAACAAGAATGAATTAGTATTTTTTATGCCTTATAAGTATACATGAGAGCAAGATAGGACTTTTTGTCAGAAATCCATGCAGAAATCCCAGTTTACAAAACAAAACAACACGTGCAGAATGTAAACACAGCTTACCTCTTCCAGTTTGTTAAATCGTAGTAACTTCCAAAATGTAAAATCTTAAAATGCAGTAGTAATGGAATTATAATATTTCAATATTCAAATGGATTATAAAAAAATGATTTGTAAGATTGAGTTGAGAATTTATTTAAAAGCTTTTCAATTTATTTTCATAATTAAATAATAGAGTTTTGAAAAATAATTACACTGATTTGGCAACAAGGCATTGCAAACATTCCTTCTGTTTGTTTTCGAAAGAAAATAGAGACAATTATCAACATCTCGACGTGATATACCTGTATAATGATCGATTTTAAACATTTTTATCTAAGACAATTAAATAGTTTTAGTTAAATTAGTAGAAATGAGTGAAATTATTATTTTGCTTCATTATGAGTAAAGACAACAAACGATTTCGCCAAATCAGCTTAGCAGAAAGTTTTTCCTATTCTAAGAAATCTAGAAATAGTCACTGTGAGCCTCTTTCTTAAATAAGACATTTCATGCTTATGAAATTAACTTTTCTTTTTCAAAATAATACTGTATGACATATATTTTAATTTAAAAGTAGCACATTTTTAATTTTAAAAAAGAATTATCTAAACAGTGTCAACTAAATTATCTGAACTATTATTATCCCACTATACTTACATAACATCTCGATATCTATAATGATTAGTAATTCTTGCAACATTTTATGTAACTATGTTACTTCTATTTATTTCAGAGAGTAAGTTCTGTCGAAGGTGTTTCTGTCAAATGTGTTTGTCAAAGTTGCAAATTTTAATGTAATAAGATAATTTTTTAAATAACTGATTTTCCTAAGGTTTTTCGTGTTAATTATTTTTTAAAAAGTCAAAGTGGTATTTCAGGGGGGATTTTCTCACAATTCTTCATGTTAATACTTCTTTTTTTTAAAAAATATATTTTGTAAATACTAATTTTAAATATTGATGTATGCACTCATTTTTTCTCTAATTAATGGCCTAAATATGTTTATGTATGCCTTAACTCAGATGATCGGGAGTCTACTGTACATGCATTTAAAAATGTCTGTTAGATTTCATGCTTAGTTGTGCAAATATTTTACTTGTGACTAGGACTGGGCGATATTAGAAATTATATATCGTGATATATCGTTAGTTTTGCATCGCGATATAGCGATGTATCGCGATATAGTATTTTTGAATTTCATTTACTTTAAGGCACAGAAAGTCAGATTTCTATCAAGACTTCATACGCATATTGATTTAAATCAATTTATAAATTTGAAAATATATATGTTTTGCTAAAGAAAGATATTAAATAAATTGACTAAGATGTACAAATCTTACTTAAAATATTTATTGAAAAAATGTGTGTAGATACAGAATGAAATATTTGCACTTCTTTATCGTTTATAAGGTATAAGCAGTCTTAATTTAAGTTAACCCCTAAAACACCCTTAATGAAAAAAAATATTGTTATTAAACAAAAGCTGATTTTAAAATTTCAAAATATATTTTAATTAAAATAAAAGTTAGATTGACTAAAAGCCGAAGTTTAAAATTAAAAATGTTCGAATTTTAAACTAAAAAGTAAACATAAGATTTGTAATAATTTCTTAAAATTTTCGTTCTCTGAAAGATTTCTCAGTTTAAAAATAAAAAGGGAATTTTATAAAGATATCTAGCTGAAATTATTGAAAGAAAATTTAAAAAATTAAAAAAAAAGTTTGTTAAGAAATTCATTATACACTTAAAACAAAGTGTTAAAAATATTTTTTTTTTTTAAAAAAAAAAACTTTTTTTAACAAATCAATATTTGCTTGTACTATTATGCGTAAATAATTACAGAATTATTAAGTTCGATCGTAATGTTCAAATTCTTAATGAAGAAGTAAACACAAGTTTTGTTATATTTTCTAAAAATGATCACGCAAATAACAAAAGATTTCTTAGTTTAAAAATAAAAAAATAAATAAAAGTGAAATTTATCAATATATTTACCTAACAGCATAGGAACAAAATTTAAAAAATAAGTTCGTTAAAAAATTATTTGTATGCTTAAAACAAAGAGCTAAATAAATTTTAGAAAAAAAATGCTTCTTAAACACTATTTTTATTATTATTTCATATAAATAATTAAATTAAATTAAATAATGACCGAATTATGAACGAAAAACAAAGTAAGGCAAAGTTTCTTAATTAAATTCTTAAAAATAAAAACAAAAGAATTGTGATATTCGGTAATATATTTAGCTAATTAACTAATAATATAAAACGAAAATTAAAAAAAAATAATGATTTTACTCTCTAATAAAACGAAGTAGTAATTGATAAAAAAAAAAAAAAAAAAATGAATAAAATTCGCAAACTTTTCAAATTCTTTTGAACAAATAAAGTTTATTGACTTATGTCCAAAAAATAAGTTTTGTTTTAACTTTATTTCTAAAAATAAAAACAACTCAAGATTTATAAATTTAAAATCAGTAATAGAAGCCCATTAAATTATTAGAAGTTTTATCCGAAAGGTTTTTAATAAATTAAAAGAAAGTAAAAAAATAACCTAACAAATTTATTTACTTTGTAATTTAATTCCTTATGGGTGCCTTAAATTAGATTTCCGATAATTTTCACATTTAAAAATATAAAAAAAGTTTTGTCAGAAAATAAATAAAAAACTTACCTAATTAATGAAGAAACTTTTCTTTATAAATTCTTTTCAATAATAGATTGCGTTCAGAACAAGGTTACGACGGCGATCACGAAGTTAATCCCATTGAAAATAATCTACAAGAAACGATTTCAAATCGCGAAGGTGCGAAAACGAACATGTGATATAACGATATAAGGTCTCAAAAGTGATTCTGATTCTACCGCTCATCAGTCAAGGCCGTCTCAACATAACGAAACAATATCGTCTTCCACAGCGCGAGTTGGCATCGGAACGTAAGAGAAAGTCCTTGCGTGTATCGCTATATCGTTATATCGTCTTCTTCACTCGACGGCTTAAATCACATTTCTGATGTATCGCTTGGAATGAAAGTTGCTGTATCGGTTTGCCGATATAGGCGTTAAATCGATATGTCGCGATATATCGATTTATAGCCCAGTCCTACTTGTGACATATATTTAAGTTAAATCATGTGACATATATTAAATTAAATTTCCAGGTCAATATGAACCTTCTAAGATTCTATTAGTTAAAAAGTGCAAAAGTGAAAACATTTTAATTTTCCTTTTTATGAAACTAAAATTAATGTAACAGTAAATAAATCATTTTTGTTCATATTTCTTATTAACTCTCTGAGTGTTAGCCATTGTGCTGCCTTTTTACATATAGCGGCTAATGAAACAACCAACAACAATAAAAATAAATTTCTATGAATACAAAACCTTTTGGTCAAAATATAGACTTTGTCAAATTGTTCAGCAAGTCCTATTTCTGTAATGCATAAGTACTAATTTAATAACATTAAAATAAATTTTGGAATTATCTTTAATAAAGTGCAGTCATTAGAATTCCAAACTATGTTTTCCTGGAGGGAAAACCTAAAAAATAAACCTAAAGTTGTAAGATAAAAAAAAAAACTAAAGTTGTAAGATAAAAAAAAAACCTAAAGTTGTAAGATATGTCTTTAATTATAACTAATGTAGATAAAATTGTTCAACAATTACACACTGAAATTCTAAGTATTTTTTTCTTTTAAATTAAATTTAAATATTTTTTCAAAATTTAGTTTTAGATCATATATTTTTATATTTATGTCCATATATTTTATATATCATATAATTTATGTACAAATTAATATGTATTTAGGTTATTTTTAAAATTGTAGAAAAAAATTTTCATATTTTACAAATTTTGCACTTTTTAATTTCTAGCTCAAACTTCGACTATGGAGCAGAACCTTCGAGATTTACTTGCTGCAGCAGCTGAGAAGAGGTTTCTATACTATATATTTATTCTTTTAAATAAGTTACTATCAAATCTTTCTTTTCGTGTGATTTTTTTTTCTTTTCTACGATATTGAAATAAGAAAAATATTGGAATTATGACTTCTTTATTTTTGAAAAATTAATAAATGAATTTCATAGATATTTTTGCAACCTTTTACTTTCTCACAATAATTATACATTCTGTAATAGGAATGTCAATCTCAGTCCTTTAATGTTCAATATACTGCCTCCTCCTTGCAATGCAAAACTATTTAAACAATGCTACATAACTATTGTAAAACATTTTATAACTTTTTTCAACTAATTTCTTTTTATAGCTTCATTTTTTAACTAATTTCATTAAACTTTTGGAATATTTTAGTGTGGAAAAGTTTATTATTGTAATGAGAATTAAAAATTTTAAGTATTCATTATTTCTCAATAATGACTAAACTTTTTTCTAAACTACTTTAAACTAATATTTATTAATGTTAATTGAAAAAAGCAGTGTTGCTATTCCGTCACTGAATATTTGGTATTTGGCCGATATTTTGGTTGAATAATTGGTATTTGACTATTCAGCCATAACACTATTCATTACCCCCTGTTTATTATTATTGCTTGTTACTTTGTATTAATATGCCTATTTATTAGTTGCACATGCTAAAAAAATATTCTTTAGGTATATAACTGAGTGTCAATGATTTAACTCATGATTTTAAAATAAATGTTGATTAAATAAATAAAGGAAACAAAAATTATTAATTTAGCTTTTAATTGTAAAAGATGTGATGGTAAAAGAAATAGTGATCTAATTAATTGATTGTTATTTTACTGTTTTTTTAATATTAGCTCCACAATATTTTTTTGCTTGTTTTGTTTACTTAAGTTAAATGAATAATATTATTTTTCTAAGCAGTATTAGTGTATCTGTTTCTAATTTAAAGCTTTTCTATAGGATTACCAAAGCTGACAAAATTGTTGACGACAAAATACATCATAATTCACGAACTTCAAGTAAGTAGTTTAATAAAAATATATATATAAATTTCGTAATTTATTAGCTCACTTAATTAATTTTTCCTATACCTTATTCGGCATCATAATATTGTCAAATGAATGAGAATAGAGCATGCAGTTTTCCCCCTTCTTTCTCTGAAAACATCTCTTCATATTTTCTGTAGATGGGTAATTTCTCCATGTATCCTGCATTTGCAATACATGGAGAGGAAAACCTCCCACAGTTAGCCTGAGGACAAGGGGACTCTAACTCATAATCCGTTCTACCACTGAGGATATTTTACGTCAGCACTGTGGTCATTGCAAGCCGGGTGCGAAATCCTAATTGAGTTATCCCTGGGATTCGAACCCAGTTCACCTCATTGCAAAGCGAACGCTCTATTCCCTGAGCCACCACGGCGCAATCCTAACTTTAGTGAAAATTCTCTCTAGAATCGGAAAATCGGATTGTTTTCATTTGCCTCAAATGGTTATATGTTTAATTATTAAACATTTAAATTTCCTTAAAAAGCCTCCATAAGTGATACAATCATGAACAATCCCTGATCGGTTATTACGTTACATGTGCTGAATGGGAATACTCCTTCATATGCTAAAGCTATTTCAGTGCTCTTTTAGTTTTAATGACACTTATATCTTTTGATCGATCCTTATATACAGTGTTCTCTATAAGTTTTTTTCTAATGCACATTTTTTATAATTATTTATTAGATAGTATAGTTGATATCTTTTCTCAACATTTTTATTCATTTTGTAAATGTGAATATTGTAATGGTAAAAAAAAAATACTTTTATGTGTATTTATAAAATTTAATATCTGTTTCTCTTATGTATAACTAAAATGTTTGTAAATTTATAATCTAAAATATTGTTGGATTTAATTGCGAAATTTAAATGAAAGCTAAAACATAATGGCTTTCAATGCACAATAATGGTAAACATAGGATAGATGGACACAAGTTTGTAAATAATCACATGACTCCCATTTCAACTGAAAACGAAAGTAAGCCTTTTTAATGAAAAATAATTTCATAATTACCACTTTTAGAGAAGTAATAAAATAAATTGTCCATTCTTGTGTTGTTTCTGTAAAGTAAAAAGGTATTTTGAATTTGTTTTTTATTATTATTAATGTGTTTTAGTTAAACTTATTAAGTATATCAATGTGTTGTTAAAACTTTATTGATATTTATGGAGTAATAAACTAGTTTTTAAATATTATGTTTTCTTTATTTATTTATTTTCTAATGAGGGGTTGTATTGTTAGTGAAATTATACATTAGTGTAAATCCTAAAACTTTTTTTTTCAATTTAAGATTTCAATTCAATAAAAATTTGTCATTTTTGCCACCTATTAACAAAAAAACAGGGTGCGTAGCGCTTGTAAAAAGTACTTAAAGGTGCTTTTTTGGGGATTTCATTTTTAAAAGCTTTTAAAGGTGCATTTTTCAGCTGGTGTTTTTAAAAAGTGCTTTTTTTTCCTGAATAATTTTTTCCCTTCAGTGATATCTGGTGGATCCCATGCATTTCACGAAAAATGGGGTATTTGCTACGTAATCATTCACACGGACTTCATGTCGTACCCACGTTATGACTTGCGCATGCACGCACACTTGAAACCGAAACCCGAGTGCTCCAATTCGGGTGGAGAATATCAAATCCTTATGAAATGTTTTTCTTTTTAATTTATTTTAATTTTATTATTATTTATTTTATTTTACTTCCAACACTTTTTTGACGTAGGGGGTACGGGTACTTTTATTCTGAGTTCAGGGTCAAGTTGAATTCACTCGATGATGTGGAAAAGTACTGATTGTTTCGATTTATGTCTGTTTCTTTTTTGTTTTTTTTAACGCTAAAACTGTTTATAAAAAGTTTTTGTTTTTCAATGATATCACTGATTGAATATGAATTTTTTGAGTGCTTGAAAATTTTTGTAAAGTGCTTGAAAAGTTTTTAAAAAGTGCTTATTTTTTATTCAAAGATATTGCTAAGCACCCTGAAAAAAAAATTTTTTTTGTTGATAAATTTAAAATTATTTAGGTCTCTCTGAAAGATCTTAAAGTTTTTTTTTTTTTTTGGTCAAAAATTTTATTCTTTTTTAAACGAGATATGTAATTAAACTTTTACATTTTAATGTGTCACAATTAGATTTGAAATAACAATATAAATCTGTATTCTAATCTGAAAATTAAATTGGAAATACGCATAATTCTTAGGGAAAATTAAGTTTTTCATGACAACTTTGGGTGACTTAAATATTATGCTCTATGCATACTTTTTTATCTTTCTTTTATTTTTTATATTTTGAATTTGAAAACTAAATTTTGTTTTATATTTAAGATTTTAGAATAAAATTAAAATATAGATTTTAACCCCAAAAAAAATTTAAACTTTAGGCTCATTTTAGAAATCCTAAATATTTTTTCATTCAATAAAAAAAATTACTAAATATGTGATAACTTCTTATGAACTTGAAAATTTGAGACAAAAAAATTCAATGCAATGCACCCTGGTGCACTAGCGTGAAAATAAAGCATTCGATAGGACATATACTATTTAAATATTAGAAGAGCTTTAAGCAATTATTTTTCATTACCTCTGTTTGCAGCTCAAGATAAAACAGAAATATGTGAAGATTCAGAACAGATATTTGTGGCCGACTCTCAAGAACTCTTTAGTGATTCTGATGAGTTATTTCCAACCACATCAGTTGATGAAATACCCCCAACTCCTGAAGAAACTTTGGACTCCTCAGATTTTTGTAGATCTGCTGATATATTTACGGAGTAAATAATGTTCATTGATTTTTTTTTATACAAAATTGTGTGTTAATAGTAGAGTAACAAGTTTTACTTATTTTTATTATTATTATTATTTAACCAGCTGAGTACCATCTCCCCACACCAAGTAAAAACAGTCGTAAATGAGGAAGGAATCGATATTACTTACAATTTACTGCATGAAATCAATCACAAAACTGAAAAGCATAAGCCCAACAATTTAAACAGTTTCAGTTTTTTTATTATTGTCATTTGTTGCCTTTCTCATTCACTTAACGTTATTGGATTAATACAATAATGTTTATAAAAGTTCAACTCACCAATTAAACTATATAACTTTGACCTACTCTGCTAATGCCAAAGATTAACTCAAGAGATAATATTATTCTACTCCAAAAGTGATGCTTTATCAAGGCCTATATAATACTCAAGTTTTTTTATGAATTGGTACTTAGTATTAAAAAAAAATTATTTTTATTTCCATTGACTTTACATTACTTAAGCTTACTTTTAAAATAGTTTGAAAGCATAACTATAAATAAAATAAATATGTATCGCCTCCATATGAGATCCACATTGATTTTATTTATGCTCATTAAACATAATAAATGAAGTATAAATAGTTATTAATGAATGTGAAATAAACTCTCAGTGGAACTATTTTTTTTTATTAGATAGAAGTTTTTTTCATTAATGTTATCTTTTAAATAATTGAAAATAAAAAGTGTGGGCATCTGCAGTTAAATTTCCAAAAACAAATAATATCCATCTATGAGAAAAGTTTACCATCCATTTGTCTCTCCCAAACGAGCAAATAAAAATTCTTCAGTGGTTTTTAGAATTACTAGTTAAATAGTTCTTGAGTTACTAGAGAGACACTCACTAACTCATATACTAACTCATTCTTTTATTTTCATTGATAGCGTGTATAGAAATATACTTATGTTATTGAGCAACTTCATCATGTATCCTGCATGTGACATATGTAAATTAAATAATATTTTAGTTAAAAAAAACTTATTGGTAGGATATATTTATGCCTGAATTATTCCTTTTTACTAAATGTGAAGTATAAATATAGTTTCATTCATTACAGAAACTTAAAGCTGTATTACAACTTATAATTTCTGAATATGCTCCCAAAACATGTTTACAGAGTATATAATTTATTTATTTCTTTTGTACAAAATAATACCTTAATAGTAAAGTGAGAAGTTTTCCTTGTTTTTTTATTATTATTATTAAATCTGTGTTAAATATATATTTAAATTGTTTTGAAATCTATCTTAGGTCCCGCACATGTAAATTTAATAATATTTTAGTCAAAAGATTTTGAGAATATCTAAGCCAAAAATATATATTTTAATTGTTTAAAAATAGTTTTCTAGTTTCTATACATAAAGCTGCATAGCAAATTAAAATTTCTGACTATGCTCCTTAATTATCCCATTTAATAAACATTAAATATATTAAATATAAATATATTATCCTGACTTTATTTACAGCTTTGATTCTTCTTTGTGTTGTTTCATTGTGTAAATTTTTATTTTCCTATAGATTTTAATTTATTTATTTATTTCAGGAGTAGTTCTAAGATGCAGCCTCCATTAGAAAACGACACAGAGGAGGAGCAAGTAATTTTCCTCTTTTTTTTTAAAATTTTAATATTTTCTACAAAATAAATAAGTTTAGAATGTGTTCAAAATAATATTTTCATTCGTAAATTTTTTTCTTTCTTCTAGTTTAATGAGCTGTCTTTTTTCAATCGAATACCTGATTGCAGACTTCCTTTACCTAAGATGGAACCTTCAGAAAATCACTCTATTATGTTTTCGGTAAAATAAAGCTCACTGTTTATATACATGTTTATTATGTTATATTTATATGAATAAATGTTAGTGGTCTTCGAAATAAATTAATAAACCTGTTATTAATACTTTGTGCAGAATTGATTTGATTAGTTTATGACTAAATGTATAGAATGACCTCTGTTAATCAAAAACAGTTTTAGGATAAAGTTTTTGTAAAATAATTATAAATCATTAATCAAAACAAATGGATATATTTCAGTTCTGCCAAAAGTATTTTCTTCTTGCTGAAAGCGTAATAAAAAATTTTTAAAAGTTTGTCTACAAATACAAAAAATAAATAAATAATAATAGTAATACTAAGACGCTTTTTTCCTCCTGTAATTCAGAACAGTTAAAATTACTGGTGGCAGATGGTTACTCATTGCACATAAAATAAGTTCCTTACAAGTATCACCTTGAAAAAAAATTATCTAACACACTTAACTTCATTTTACCATTCAGGGTTGAACAGGTTAGAAAAGGTAAACAAATTGAAAAGGGAAATGTTATAAATGTATAAACTATTGAAGGGAAAAAAACATTCTTTTAGTTATTTTTTATTACTTTTGAAAACTTTTATAGCAATAGAAAAATGAAGAGAACTTCTGATAAATCTCAGCAAAGAGGTGTTAGCCTTGCATAACTGAATTAAAATTTTTAGGATTGTTGTTTTTATTTAAACTAAAATGCATTTATAGATATGATTTAATGCTCATTTAAAAAACTTAGTTTCCCTAATCCATTAAAAAATCATTTAAAGGCAATAAAAAGTATTTACTTCTCTTTTAACTGGCTAAAAAATTTCTTCTTCCTATTTGGACTTCCATCTAAGCTTGGTCTCTAGTACAGTAGAGCCTTAATAATCTGAATATCAAGGAATATCTTAATGTTTCTGTTATATGAATTGTTCTAAAAAAACTTTTTTTAGTTGAAAGATAACTTTTCTTTTAATTTTTCTTTTGACAATTATGTTAACCTTTTTTTTTTTTTAATTCTTTTAAAAGTTTTAACATATTTGATTTAAAAATAAATTTTTCAAATTTAAATATTTTGCATTTTAGAGATTTATATAAATGTATTTAATTTAGTATTTAAGGAAGTATCTGACTTTTCTTGTTTGTACTGTAGCCTCATATTCGTCCTGGAGATGCACCTCGTCCTTATCCAAATACTTATCGTGACTTTTGGGGATATGATCATGTTCGAATGCCATGTTCTCCCCTAAGTAAATATCCTGTTTCAGATATGGTATGTAACAGACTCTTATGTTTAGATAAACTTGTATTATTTAGATTTACATAGATATTTATTTTAATTTTTAATCCATGAATTCAAATTTCTTTTATTTCATTTTTCATTCAGAATGACTATTATAACATTTTATTGCAACCTCTACAGATTTTAAACATTTAGCATATAACTAAAGAAAAAAATAATTAAATGTACTTATAATTAAATTTTTTCTTTCACTCTAATGTAAATTGCTTTTTTTGTACAGTTTTTGATGTAAATTTAGTCATTGTGTTTAATTTAAAGGTTCAGTTTTGCTTTAAAAAACATAAGTATGTTACTATTTTTTTTTTAATTTGCTATATTTATGAACTTTTTGCTATTATTTTATATTACAGGATGTTTTTTTTTTATCTTTTATTCAATATTAAGTTGTAGATGATGCACAGAATTTTCATAAAACAGTGAATTCTCACACAGAATTTTCATGAAACACAGGGAATTCTTTATTATTCAGTTGTGTCCCAGAAAAGATGACACACCCAAAATCCTTAAATGTGTATAGCTTGGAACTATTTATTTTACTACAAAATAATTCTTACATAAAAAAACTTTCTTTTGAGTAATGGTTTGAATGTTTAAATAAATTAAATGATTGACTATAAAATTCAACAACATACATTCAGATGATCACCTATGACCAGATGACCATTCAGATGACCAGTAAGGACCAAATCCGATGTGGTTTACAACAGACTTGGATTGCGAGTTTTTATTCTTTAGTTTCTTTATATCTGGTGAACTCAAGCAAAATTATATGGAGAGTTTTTCTTACAGATGGGAATAACATTTTCGAATTAGTATTTTAAATTTTGTTGTTTATAGTTAAGCTTTTAAAATATCTTAAGAAAGATCTAAAGCAGTGATTCTCAACCTTTTTTTCTGTTGCGGCACACTTTTAACGATTTCGAAATTTGACGGCACACAATGAAAAAAATTAGATTAAAAAGTTGTTTAATTACCTATTTTGCACTGTATTAAATAGTTTGTGATAATAATTTTGAATGTGAAATAAAATAATATGTACTACAAAAGCACATTTATTAAGAGATTAATTATTTCTTTCAGCCAATTTTTTGTAAGTTAGTAACAGTTATTTATTTTTTTGCTAGTTATTAATTGTTAGCTTGTTTTCTATAATTATTAAGTGTTATTTTTTTGTGATTTCTTGTTAACTAGTTTTTTTGCTAATTATTAATTGTTAGCTTAATTTTGTTAGTTATCCTTTGTTAATTTGTTTATTCATTGCAAAGCTTACTTTGATTAACTCTTACAACATTTTTTAAAATTGTGTGTCATATACAATTTAAACACTTCTATCTCATTTTAAGATTGTCAGAAACAATACAATCGCCAACAAAGATGTTCATGCGGTTAAAGCGTGGAAAAATTATAAAAAGTACAGATATATATATATATATACTTTTCTTTAATTTAAACTTTACTCATAATTAAAAAAAAGCTTTATAATTTTTATTGTATCATTTCTAATATTTGGCGTCACATTTTAAGAATTTAGCGGCACACAAAAGTGCTGCGGCACAGTGGTTGAGAATCACTGATCTAAAGCATAAACAATCTGAAGTCAACAAACATAAGAGGAGTTGAGTCTCTATTCTGTTGAGTTTAAAAATGCTGTCATAACGAAGCATTATAAATAATGTTATGTAACAGAAAATTGTATATAAAGTGTCATTGCACTGGACAGCTTATAGCAGGGCAAAAATAAGAAATTTGTAAGTAGTACTATGATGCTATGAAGATGATTGTAACAATATTAGTGCTATGACTATAAAGATTTAGCATTATAATTGTAATAAATCTTCATTTATGATTTATTTTAGTAAAAACTATGCAAAAACATGCGCTTATAAGTAATAATTACCCTCTTAAAATGTATTTTGATAAATCTAGTAACGTAAAGTCACTATGAAGAAGACAAAGCAAGTAACTTATTAAATGCCTATTTAGTGGGAAAATTATGACAGAGCTAAAAATAAGTTGAGACTTAGTTTGATAGCATGTAAAATATTGATATTTTAAAGCATTCCAAGTACATAAATTAAAAATAGGTCTTTTTAAAAATGTATTCCTATTATCCTAGACAAAATGTCTGTTTTTCACTTTATTTGCAACTTTTAAGTTCGTTGTAATGATGTGTCAACCTCTTCTTAATGTATTAGAATAAATATTTCTCATTATTCTCTTAAAACATTTTAGTTTAAACTCAATATATTTTGAATCAAAATTAAGTAGAGAATTTTTCATGCTTCATTGTTTTGAAACTACAAAGAAAGTAAAAGCTTTGATAATAACTTTTCAAATACTGAACTTTCTTCATTATTCAATTTTTAATAATAAAAATTTTATAAACAAAGCTCGCTATAACTTGTGAAACATTTTTTTAAAAAAAATTAGAAATATTACAATAATAAAACACATTGAAACATTTGCTTAATTTTGTTTGATTTCAGAGAGGTGAAAGGCAAATAGTAAGCAGATGGGAATTAATTTGCCGCAGTCTTTGTAGAACCATTGAAACATCTGAACAACTTGAAGTAAATATTTCTAATTGTGTTTCATTTTAATTTTCTGAAAGCTGATTTTGTTTTTCATAATAATTGTTCTAATTAAGCGTTGTATAATATTGTTTGCATATCTAGTGTTTTATCATTATGATTATGAAACAACTTTAAATATTGATATATATGCATCATGGCTTGAAAGTTCCAAAATTTTTACATGCGTTCTGGGTATGCTAATCTACCAAGATACATGCCTGAATAAAACTTTTACATTCAGAAAATTTTTTAATATGTTGTAACAAGCTCCTCTTCCCCCCCACTACAGCGCCTCTGGCGGTGAACTAAGACAGTCTGCCAGGAACCGCCGTTAAGTACGGATGTTTAATTCGAGCCCAAAACCCCCCTCTTCCAAATTCTTGTATTTTTTTATCCTTGTTTTATTTTTATGTGTTTTGTCCTTTTCAATAAATATTTAGAGTTAGATAAATTTCTAGTCTTTCATTATTTATGTGAATTGGTAGAAATACAAATAAATCAGGACTTCCCCTACAATGTCCATTTTCAAAAAATTAAGACCACAATTTATTTAACTTTTTTTTATCTTTTAATAGTGTTCAGTAAAAAAAAATAAAAATCCAGATGAGATATTTTAAAAACATTCATAATATAAATTTTTTTAAGCAAAAAAAGGAAAAAAACAAATTTTTTTTTTTTTTTTTTTTTTTAGTATTTTTAGGTCGAAGGAAAATTTTAAAAATGTATATAAATCTGAATTAGACAGGGATTTTAGACAAACTTTGCTTATTAAAACTCCATAACACTGATAATTTCATTAAAGATTTGATGCAAATGCTTAGTATAAGCTTTAAAAATAATATCGCTTTTATGTTTGCATTCATATTGCAATTGCAATTTTTTCTTTCATACTCAATGGTTGGGGTCAACTTTTTTTAATAGAAAAAAGCATGAGCAGGGAACTAAAAAGAATAAGTTAACATTATTTGATAGACTCTTATGATGAAATTAAATTCAGTAGCATTTAAGTTTTATCAAAAGTAATTTATTTTCTTTCCCTTTTTTGTACAGTTTATCCAAATAATCCAAAAGCTTGACGACTTTTGTCAAAATTTGATGGGGTACTTACTCATTTACATCATTTTTGTGTATTTCAGATTAAATATTTACATGTTTAATGGGGTACACAATTGTAAAAAATACTTAGCAAATTATAATTTTTGTGAATATATAATTTTTATGAGTAACAAATGAGTAAGTTTAATTATAAAAAGTAAACTATTCTTTTGACAAAACTATTACAGCTAGTACGATTATAAATGATATTTAACATGATTAAAAATTATATGCTTTAGGTAATAACAACTGAAAAGATTTATAAATATTAATCTTAAGTATCTAGATCTTCATTTTTTTCATTGATAAATTCTAATATTGACCTAACTTAATATTGATGATTTAATTCAGGATCATGATTCTAGATTTTTTTTTTTCTAGGAAGCAATCATGGAATACAATTCTCAGTACAGAAATCTTTGGAACTTTAATGCATTGCACGCATTTTTTAACCAGGTAATATTTATGTTCTTTAGATGATTTTATTACCAATTTTCTGTATTATCTATTCTATTTATACTAAATATTTTTTGAGAAATCTTTTATTTTGTTAAATTACAAGTGTTTAATGCTGCATTAACTATATACATTATCACCTATCATTATAAGTGTCTAATAATATTTCATATACTATAAAATTAAATTAGTGCTGATACAAATGCAATTTTTGAGTTATCCAGTTGCAGCAAAAGGTATTATTACCATAATTTTAAAAAAATTAAGTAAAAATATATTAGATTAAGAAAAGCTCAAATTAGGTTTTATTTAATTTACATTATGAGAAAAAGCTAACTTATCACTATTATCCAAGAATGAAAGGTAATATTCTTAAATAAAGTGAGATCATTTGTATTACATTTTTGCCGTCATCTTTACTTTTCACTGTATTAAAAAATTTATAGTTTTTATTTTTGATTAATTTTTTGTAAAAGTATTTTTAAAGTATGAATATATATAATATTATATACAACCTGACGATAATTGGCCCCTTCATCATCAACACCTACCTATGATCAAATGCCAAGCCTCATTTTCGGGGCTGGTAGGTATCCTTTAATGACCATGGTAGGAATAATTTCAAGCTTGGTCAAACAACATGGGCAGTGCCTGAGCTGATACTCCTCTCTCCAAAGTTCCACACACAAGAAAAGTTTCAGCCTCGACAGATTTAATGTGCACCTTGCTGCGTGTACACGACTGTGGTTTTGCCGACGGCCAAGATCGAACTCTTTCACCACCTTTCCATCCACCGGTGTGAATAACATCTTAATTGAGCGTGACTATTGATCCTTTCAAAAAATCTGGTTGATTTTTTTAAAATGGGATAATAGATCATTACATTAAAAGTTTTAAATGGACCAAGCATTTCATATTTGGGAATTTCAGTTCAGAAGTTTTTCCTCAATACATAACTTTTTCATGGAGTAACTGTAGAAAAAACTTTTTTAAAAAATCTGTAAATGAAAATATCTTGTGCTCAATTGGTCATAGAATATCAATGCTTGTTTTTTTTTTATTTGCGGATTATTGTATTTTATTTTTCATGTACCAATATAGTATTTTTTTATTTTTAGTGAAATATATATATATATATATATTTGCCTATTTTATTTTACATGTACCAATATAATATTTTTTATTTTTAATGAGATATTTTTTTAGTGTCTTGAAGACCATGAACGTGTACATTTTTTTGAGACAATTCTTCCAGTGATGATAGAAATAGCTCTAGATTTACCTAATATCTGCACACAGGTCAGTAGTCAATTGCTATATGTAGTATGTCCTATATATATNTATATATATATATATATATATGACAATAGATTATTATAACAATAAGACATAATAACAAAAATATAATAAAAATTATCACTCCCCAGCACCCAACAACAATAATACTTATATAACAATGTGACAAACAGCAAAAGCTGCAAGCCATGTTGCTATTGGCTGGAACCCCTACAAATATCAATAACATCAACATTGCCCACAGGTTTTGCTGTTTGCCACGTTGCTATAACAAAACTCGGTTCTTGTTTCATTAAAGGGTATGTATTATTGGTGTTGGCTGCTGAAGAGTTATAACAATTTTTATTATATTTTTGCTATTTATGTCTTGTTGTTATAATGTAAAACATTTATTAATTCTGCTCCAATTTTCATCGGCAGCTTTTGCTTGTGTTTATTGAAATATATTGGTTCCGTAAAGTTTTTTTTAATTTTTTCAAAATTTTAATTCATTATATATATATATCTATACACACACACATGCTAGGTGTTTTAAATATGATTGATGATTTAAAAAAAGAGCTTAGTATAACAGAAAAGTGGTTATAGTTAAAAGTCAATTCTTGCCACAAATTTATGTGACTAGACATTAATTTTTTTCTTAGAATGTCTGTTTTTAATTTAAAAGTTTTTACAGATAGTGCTGAAAATTGCAAACCAATAAATGAAAAAGAAAAACATTGAAAAGCACATCAAAAGCTTTTAAAATCCTTTCAATGAAATAAATATTGCATAACAATATTTTGAAATATCTGCCATCAGTCACAATCAATCAGGGAACAAATTTTCTAATTCGACAGAAAAAATGGTAGATAGGACTACTGCTTCATTTGTTGGTTAAAATTTTGAACTAAGACTTCTTACTTTGAAGATGAGGTAAAAAATGTATGGCTTGTCGGATAAATTTTTTACAAAGAAATTTTTTTTAAGATTTAACTATTTTCTCATTATACTATAATGTTAAAATAATGATTTCAACTTTATGGTATAAATATTTTTAATAAGGTTATATAAATTTTTTTTAATAAGTTTCACTTTCCCATTTGCAATTTTTAATTTTCAGCTTGGAATACTTGATTACATATAAAAAATTTTTTCAGCCTCCTCCTCTAATGAAAAAGAATAAAGATAGGTATGTCACTATGTCACAGAAACAAATTGGCTGTCTTTTACTGAATGCTTTTTTCTGCACATTTCCTAGAAGAAACCATTATCCCCGAAAAGAAAAATTTGAATATTCAAGTTATCCTGATATCAATTTTAATCGGTGAGTTTTTATTATTGTAAACCAATTACTTTAACTAAATATTCATTTATTTTATTAGTTTCTGTTATTTTTTATATATTCTATAGTAATTTATTCTCAGCATTGTATCATCAATATTTTAAATTATGCATACCTATAATTTTTCCTGATGTCATTTTTAACTTAGCGTTATATAGTTACTATGTTGAAAAATATTAATATGGTTGTTTTTTAAAGAAATCTGAAACATTTTACTTTGTAAGAATAATTTATTCCATTGTATAAATGTCACCAAATAAAAAAAAAGGGAAGTTACTTTTTTATTTAAGTATCAAACTTTATATTTAAAATATAAATAAGTGAACTGTATTATGTGAGAATTCTTCTTTAAAAATTAAAAGTTTTGTTTAGAACAGAATATTTCTTTTCTTACTAAATCAACAGTATTCTATAATTTCAACAAACTTGGTAAGACTTGTATAATTTTTTCTTCAAATATACTTTTGTAAGAGATTTGGTTTTTTATCATAACAGCTGTAATGTTGCCAATGTCTCTTGAGTTCATTGGAACTTTTTGTAAAATACTTTTGTGTCACATAAAATTTGTTTAAATACATTTTTAACTCAAAATTAACTTCTAAAAGGTATACTTTCTATTTGAGTGTTTTATAATAGTCAAGTGATATAGATTAAACTCGGGTGTTGAATAATTGGGGTTCTACTGTATATCAAAAACAAATTTTGATATTCTAGTTTTGAGGATATAAGGTCTCCAATAATTTACTCACTATAATTAAACTGTTTTAACAATGAAAGTCAGTTGAAATTTGTAACCTGTATAGTAAAACTCAAATGCTCTAAAATCTAAATCTATATACTAGTTTCCCCTTTGCCTTACTGCTAATGAAGGGGGAGGACTTAAATAACTTATTAAATCTTGTTAATATTCTTATTTTTATATTTTCAGGATATTGAAAAAAATTATATATAAAACATATTCCTAACATTCCCATTTTCCAGGTAATATTTGAATAAATTTCATCTGTGTCCCAATAATTTCTTTTAGGCTCTACTTTGGTGTTAAGAATAAAATAGTCCCTCGAAATGCAGAGAAGTTAAAGTGCCTTTTAAGTTATTTCAGACGCATCACGAGTCAAGGTAAATGTTTAAAATTTTAATTATTTTCTAAGAAACAATTTTTATTTATTTATTTTATTTATTTATTTTTTGTAAAACTTCTAGTCTTATATAAACTTTTATCTGTATCAAAATAAATAATTTATACTTATTTGCTTCAAATTTCTTTTATATGTTTAATGTAAAACTGCAATTGCTATAATTGAGAAAAATTTGGGTTATTTATTGTCAATTTTTAAATGAAATCAAATTTATTATAATTACAAAAAAAATTTCCTTATTTAATAATTTTTTTATTTGCAAAATAAATTATAAAGCAGAATGTTATAGGGTGAACGAGGCATAAGGAAAATTTAGGCAGCCCTTGGTAAATTTTTGGTCTAATGGAATTAAATTGGTATAAAAGTTTTATTATAAATAAAAAAAAATGTGTTTCAACTATAATTATAAAACAAGCTATAATTATAAATTATTACTATCTCAATATACTTTGATTTCTATTATTTTTAAGACATTTGTCAAATGTTATCAAAAATTAAATTTTAGTCCTATTGGAAAATTTATATTACAGTGCCCAGTGGAACTGTAACATTTCATAGGCAATCTCTCAAAAACTTGCCTGAATGGAAATATTCAAAAAAGGGTTTAAAAACTGCAATTGTAAAGTCTAGTGGTCTAATAGAAACTGAAGGTCATGGCATGTTTCAGGTATTTATTCAATTTTATGATTCTTTTTTTTAGAAAAATAGGATAAATTTTTATAACCAATCAAAAATTGTCTTTTCTGAATATTATTTATTTTACCTGTTTCTGGTTCATATTCGTGACAAACGTATTTTTTTGTGGATTTCTATAATAATTTTAATTCCTAAATTATTTTAATAAAATAGTGTAAAGTCTACTTTTCAATTAGTAAATGTTTTACTTTTTACTATTACCAATAAAAACCAACTAATTGGATACATTTGTTCCATTAATCTACTCATCATAATTCCTTTTTTTTTTAATATCATCTATTATTTTTATTAATTTGGGATATAATTTTGTTGAAGTATCAACATATTGTATTACTAACTATTTAAGTTTTATTTTTAACCTACATTTTTTTTATCAAGTTTAACTACTGAATTAATTTTTAATCCATTAACATTTTTCTTTTTACCAGTTATCCATTAATATTTTACTTTAAAGTAAATAATAAGAATAAATAATTCATAATAAGAAAAAATAATTCATATCAGGAAATTATCTGGCATTTTCTTTTGTGAAAACAATAAATACCATATTTTTTGTAAAGAATATTGGTGTGGTTCTAAGCCATCCTTGACCCCAGGTCAGTTGTTTCTCTTTCCTCACCACCTCCTTGAGTACAGCACTACATCCTCACATGAATATTACAATTTTTTTAATTGTATACAATAGAAATGACTCATTTTTTCACTAAAATTCTAGTATTTCTAAATTTCCCATAGAGTTAACATGTGTACCAGGTTGGCATTTTCTAGAATGTTTGTGAGCGGCTTGAATTTTCGTAGAAATAAATTATTTATAAAATAAGTAGTATATCTAAAATGATATATTTTATGTAACTGAACAATGAATATCTTGGTTACATCAGACAGTTTCTATTTCAAACTGTTTAGCTCGAACAGGCCTTTGAATCTTAGCTACCCGATATTACACCACCTTTCCCAAAATCTTTATAAGTAAGGTAACATTATGTAATATAATATGTATTGTATATAATATGTATTGTATATAATATGTATTGTATGTAAAATCTGAAAATTATTTTATTGTTTTAACAGGTTGATTTTGCCAACAAATTTGTTGGTGGTGGTGTATTAGGCCATGGATGCGTACAAGAGGAGATACGATTTATCATTTGTCCAGAGTTGATTGTGAGTCGTCTTCTTGTAGAATGCCTGGGTCCAACAGAAGCCCTTATAATTACAGGTATGGCTTATAATTACAGGTATGGAATATTGATATCCATAAAAGGAAACATAACAAAAATAATTAAAAGAACATTCTATGTACTATTTTCTAAAAATTCTGACATGCTCAATTAGTTCCATTACTCGTGATGGGGCAGGGTAAATATTGGTCATTTTAATAGTTTTCACATTTTATAAGCTAAACAAAATAAATGCTGCCAGCTTCACTGTAGTTCATTGGGGATTTCAATACAATTTTTTTTCCTTCAAATAATGAACACTGCAATTACTTTACTTTGGCTAGATTTATCAAAATGTTTTCTAAATTTTCATCTATATCCACAATAGTTCATAGATTTATAATTATTGGGCCGGGATAGCCTGGTCGGTAGGGCGCTGGGCCCGAGTTCGTGGGTTTGAACCCCGCTGGCCGAAGACTCCCCATGTAGTAAATGGTAACTGATGCACATTAAATCTGTCGAGTCGCAAAGTCCTCCATGTTCCCATAACAAATCAATACCTCTGGGGGTACTGAATTGGAGATTGATCGTTCTCTGATTCAGGTCAAAATTACGATCTGCTGATGAATGAATGGATGTATGAATGGGTCCACCCTATAAACGGGTGGGGCACAAGTCAAATTCTTGGCCATAGATGGCACCACTGAAAAACAAGAACAATCGCACCCCTCTGCCTTAACAGCCATGCGTCAAAAACAACAACATTTATACATTATTCTTGGCTTGTGTTTGCATAAAATATTTCAAGTGGTTGACAGTCTATATCCAGTTGCTGTGTCTAATTGTTGAAGATTTCTATCTCCATGCAAATTGGTTTCATTCTAAAAGCTGCCCGTATTAGGCAGTTCTTTCATCATCATTCCCTAACCATGGCTAGGCACCATGAGGACTCTATCTTTTAATGGCCATTTTATAAGTGCCACATTAGTTTTAACCCTACTCTCACGACATTAACAGCGCCTGAGCCGTTATCACTCTTCCCAAACTTTCACACCACAATCATGGAGATAACTTTCAGCCATGACAAATTTAACATACACCTTGCTGCGTATACATGTTATTTTGTTTTGTTGTTTCACAAATTCACTACCCTCAGCTCTCCAACCAACAGTGTGAGTGACGCCTTAACCCACTGCGCCACTGTAATACCTAGAGCGGATCTCTCATTTTCTTAATTTAATTTTAAATTACAATAATATGAAAGTGAATATGTAATTACTCAGATCCACTCTGTAAACGGGCTTTTTATCCATGAAGGCAAAATACAGTTTTATTTCTATGTATATCAATGAAACCCTGTTTATTGGGCATATATATTTGATTTAAAAATTTCTAAAGTTGTAATTATAAATTGTTGTTTTGTCAAGTTTTATTTTAATAAATTTTTTATTTATTTAATCTGACTGATATGAGATATGATTTGCGTCTTTTTATTGATTGATATTCATTGATAAAGTTTTCTAAACATTTGTCCTACTTCTCTAATGGAAATATTTTTATTTTTAAAAAATTTATTTTGAATGTTGCAGCCATGTTTGGAAATAAAATCATGAAAAATTTTTAAATTTCATAATTTAACTGTGATAAATTATTTAGATAATTAGTTTTTTCTTTCATACTTAAGGTTTACATATTGAGTGTCATAAGACAGAGTAAACAGTCAGAAAACTCTTTACTGATAAAAGTAATAGATTTCATAATCAAAACAAAATATCTTTGCAGGTGTAGAACAATATAGTAAATATAGCGGTTACAGTGATGACTTTACATGGGAAGGAAACTTTGATGATCCAACTCTTCGGTAAATTTTATTTCTTTATATTCTTCACAATAAGTAATTATTTATTATTAAGAAATGTTTGATTTTATTAAAATAGAACTACTATAAATCCCATTTTTTTTTACAACGTAAGAAAAACTATTTTTAAAATAAAATGTTTTTATCTTTTTTACCAAATAAAGGTTTGAGAGAATGTAACATTTGCATACTTTTATATTTTGCATAAATATTTCCTTTGATTGGATAAAATTTGTTTAGCTATTTATTATTAATTTAAAGTTAAAGGGAAATTTATATATTTTACATAATGTCCCTTCTTTTAATTATTAATTACAAAACACTTAGTTGTAAATAGTTTAAAATCTTGCTCATTAACTTAAAGCTTTTTATAGTTTATTTTTATATTTTATTTAAAGTTTTTTATTTTAGGTAAACTAATGTTTTTATTTTACAAAAAAAAAGCAGTTAAATATTTCTATCTAGATAGAATAAACCTACAATTCGGCTTGTGTGTGATAAAATTAGTACTTCAGTTATTAAATAGAATGTTAAAGAATTTTTAAAAGCTGTTTCATTATTTGATGATTTCTGCAATTTTCAGGTTGTATTTAAAATGTAACTTAAATAGCTTAAGTAAATTACATTTTTACACTTATTTAATGTTTTATAGTTCAACATTTAAAACAAAAATAGTTGTATCTTACTCTTATTGTTCTTATGATTCAGTAGAAAAGAGACATTACTTTTGTTAGAAATTTAAATAATTATTATGCTGTTCTTTAATATTTTCATACTTGCAATGAGATTTTCAGTAGGTAGTATTTTAATTCTTACAGAGATTCATGGGGACGAAAGTGTACTGAGATTGTTGCCATGGATGCTACTCACTTTAGAAGCACCAATGAGCAGTACAAGTCATTCCGCATCGAGAGAGAATTGAACAAGGTATTAAGATTTTTGTCTATTCTTTATACTTATTAAGCAAATCGCTGTCATAAATTCGATTTTTAATATATTTGCTAATCTTTTGGTACCATTGATTAGCATTCAATTGATGAACATGTAATACAATTGACATCATTCAATTTATTAACATTTGGTGAAATTGAGTAGCATTCGTTTGATTGGTACACTAATTTAATGACTTTGAATAGGTCATTATATTGGTGTTTTTCAAATTATTGTGTCCTAAAACTTTATAATTAATTCATTGTTTCAAAGAAAAGTTAGAAACCTGATCCTATTATTTTTTTTCTAAGTTTCAAAAATTTTAGCTACAATATTTGAACTTCAATATTATTTATCAAAAACTGATACAAAAGAGATAGATATTCAATATGTATTAGCATTGTATATTGTATCCAACCATGCAGAAGTCATTGGATCCTAATCCGTTAATAGTGTAAATCAGTGGTTACCAACTGGCGGCCCGCTGGCCACGTCCGGCATGTGATTAAAATATATTGGTTAATTTTTTGTGGACAATTTTCGTAAAAAATCCTTATGGGGTTAAAATACTTTTCTTTCATTAAAAAAAGGCTAATTTCTTCGTTTCTGTGAAATTTAACATACCAACGGTGAAAAAAAATAAAATTTCTCAGGTAAAAATCTACTTTGCATTTTGATTTGTAATTCAATACTTTTGTATTGTACAACATGATAAAAATCTGACAGTAATGTCTAATGTTCCTTCAAACATAAAAGAGTCCTATATAAAATTTTGATAAAGTTGCGGCACGCCATTTTAATGGTGTTTTTAACTGCGGCCCCTGGTCTAAATGTAGGAGTGGATAACCAGAAGAATCTCTATAATAGTACCGAAGCAACGAATACCATAAGATACCTTCATTTTCAGTGAGCAAAAGGGCTTATGTGGGGAACTTTCTAACCCCATACAGAAATTTCTTCTTTACTGACCTTAGGATAACATGACCAATGCAATTTTGCTAGACTTAGAGGTTGGGCAGTTCCAAAAAGCAAGACACATCGACCAGAGGTCTATTGTACCTAAACCCTAGATCATAACTTACAGAAAAATTTTGTAGCTAAAACAAAGTTCAGCAAACACCTGACAGGGGTGTCCTGTAGTTCCCAGGTCTTAATGCAATGTCGTCCCAGATGCTCAAGTCTTAGAGCAGAAATGACTTTGTCATGCAGTCTCTTCATCAAGATGACAACCACGACAAAGAGGATCGGATACGATAATGTAAAGTAGTCTCCCGAGAGTACAGTGATCTTTCTCAAGCCATTCCTAATTTTTGACACACACTGGGACAGTCACGATTTAACTCCACAGTCTGTCTCTGACCGCCCGAATTGCGCCACTGCTCATAGACAATCTTGAAAATAGAGACCCTGAAGGATGCGGGAGAGATTTCCAAAACTGGTTTGGGGCCACAGAAAATAGCACCGGATCTGGCCCTTGCTAGTTCATCACCTAGCTCATTACCAGGAATATCCATATGCCCAGGCACTTAATGTAGATCTACCTTGTTAAAGGAAGAAAGATCACAAAGGACTAAGAGCACTTCCACATTAAAGAAATTGAGCTAAGTTTTAGCATCCCTCGGTTTAAACTTTAACTCATCATCTTACCCATATTCTGTAAGGAAATTAATAATAATAATCAAAAAACTGTTTGCAGCTACCATTTTTTCTTTCTAAAATCTGTATTAAAATAAATAATGAGATGTTTCCAAAAGATATTATTTCTTGTCTAATTTAGAATTACTCATTTTTCAAAAATTTTAAAATATATTTAATTTTCTGTATATTTACAACCATTTATTGGTTTTTGTTATGCTTTAAAAATACTGCTTCCCTAGGCATTTAGTGGATTTTATGAGGATGCCAACCCAGAGAATTTATCAGCTGTTGCTACAGGAAATTGGGGATGTGGTGCCTTCAATGGTAATCCTCTTTTAAAGTTCTTAATTCAACTGATAGCAGCTTCTGAGGCTGGTCGTGATATGGTATACTTCACTTTTGGCAATCGGACATTGAAGAGAGAGCTTCAGGATATTTACGACCTTGTTACAGAGAAGAATATAAATGTTGGTAGGTAGAAATATTACTTAAAATAATATTAAAAAAAAGATTAGAATTAATAAACAAATAACCCTAAATCTTTACCTACTATTTTATAAATTCTCCTAACAAAAACTAGAACATGCCCATTGCTTTCAAAATATCTAATATCGTTTACTGCTTAAATAGAGATAAAAATTTTAGTGATGGTATTCAATGATTAATCTAAATAGCTTAATATGTTGCTAACACTTTTGTTAGTATTTAAATAGAATTTATTCTTTAACTAAATACCCATACATTTAATAAATAAATAAAGTATTTAATGTATTAATTATAATGGTACTTGATAACTTGCAAAAGTTTATTAGCGTTTAAAATTCATCTATAACATCTGAACTTTAATAAAAAGCTTATTAATAATTAGGTTTTCGTTCAATACCAATAAATCATAGTCTTTAGTCCAGGAATTTTGAGATTTCTGGAGAAATTTTATTAGAACTTATAATTTTAAACAATTCATATTTTCTTTTTATTTAAATGTATTTGTAAAAAAAACTGGTTTTCTCATTTATATGAAAATGTGCTAAGGGTATTTAAATTTTAAAACAAAAATTTGTATCCTAAATGATTTTTTAATAAAAAAATATTTTATGAAGCAAGGTTAAAAGCTATAATTATGTACTGAGCCATTTGACATTTATGTAATGCATGTTTTTACACAAATGAACTAAATAAAATCAGACAAAATATACTTAGTTATGCATAGGCTCAAAATTTTTTACTTAATTATTAAAAAGCACCCAATATAAAAAGTAATGTTTCTTATTTTTCCTTCCAGGAGATATGTGGAAATTAATTATGAACTACAGCAACACTGCTAAAGTTCAACCTATATCATACAAAATAAAACCCACATTAACTGAATTTATATCAACAGTGCTATCAGAAGAATACACTGAAGATTCGATAATGTTTAAAGATTCTAGTCAAAGTTCTGAAATTAGTAACAGTGAGCAACTTGCTCTGGTTAAGTTAATAGAAGATGTTGAAGATAGCAGTTCAACAGAGATTGAGGAAAGTGAGGACACATTAGTGAATGAGCCTGGTTAAAAATAGATATTTATTAAAAATGTTTTTAAAATCTTGTATGATGAAAATAAAGATTATTTTATGCTTTTATAGAATGAGTCTTCATTTCTTAATTAAAATCACAAATTATCCAACCGTAGTTTTCCTTTGTTTTCTGTGAAAAACAGTAAGTCTGTCATAGCTTGTTCTATGGTTGCATCATGAGCTAAATTGCATATCTGTAAGTAAAATTTAAAAACATAAAAATCATATTTTTACAAATAAACAGCATTAAAATTAAAGTTTCATAATATATAAATTCATAATAAGTTTTAAAAAAATAAAGAGAGACTGATCAGAATTCAGGTATTTAGAAATCACAACCTTGAAAATATTAATTTTTCTTTAATAGTTTATGAACTGGAAAAAAAAGGTTCATTTTTGTTTAGTCAGATAATTAAATTAATGGGGATGGTTTTTAATATTTTAGCTACAATCCTTGTTTAAACTTTATTTTTAACAACGAATGTGCGAAACAATCCAATTTATTTTAATACAAAATATTTTAAGTAACAAATAAAAGAATAAAAATTATCTAACCAACTCTGTCAAGCAATAAATTTTAAAAGAAATATGAAATTTGTTCATGTGATGAACATTATTTATGAACAAAAAGTTCTTAACTTTAACTGTAAAGAAATATTATTTATATTAATGTCAGTTATGATAATATATGTCAGTTTTTCTGCCACGAAATACTGCAGATTATCAGAAATTTCGGTATTTATATTAATAAGTAAATAATTATAAAAACTAACACTATATAAAAACTAACAGTAGATTTCAAATTATTTATTATAAGTTAAAAATATAGAGAAAACATGGGGGGGGGGAGATATAAAGATTAATGAAAAGAGAAGAAAAATTATTAATATAAAATATTAATTAAAAAAAGTTTATATATATATATTAAAAAACAAAAAATGAAAAGATATAATATATAGTGCTTTCTAACATTGTATCAATATAGCCAAAGCAAAATATATCAACACAATAGCGTGAGGAGCACTCAAAAACATTGAAACGAAAATAGAATATATCAAGTAAAAAAATGTGAAGAAAAATAAAGAACAAAAAGAAATCTATAAAGCAAGTAGTGAATTCAAATGAACTGAACTTACACGCACCTGAATCTTTCAAGAATGATTTAAAATATTTTCTTAATAAGATTGCCAGATTACAAAATATGAAAACAGAAGCTCAAATGGAGAATAGAGGGATTTTTTATGGCATATTCTTACTGCATTACTGAAGTGTGTTTGATTTGTTAGTTAGATAGGATTGGCCCGAAAATGGATGTGTGCAAGGTAATAAGATTATAATGCAACATTTATAATTAATGAAGTTGATATTTAATTGTACAATTTTAAGGATTTTAGAAAATGAACATTTATTTTTTAAAAAAAGAGTTTTGCACAGATTTTTAACTGCGAATTTGCTCAAATTAGACTTGCACATGGTAAGAATATTAATTAACTAAGAAGTTTTTTGTAAATTTGGTAACAATACAATACAATTAACAATACAGTAATACAATTAACTCAATGATCTCATATAAAACTTAATTACTTTAGTAGGGTATCCATTTTTTTAAATCAAATTTTGAAAGGGTTTGTCTATTTTTTTGGATAAATAACTGTTACTACATATTCTTCTAAGTCTATTCATTTCATTAAAAGTGGTATTTAAATAGATGTTTTTATAAACATTAGAATTCCAAGTAATTAGTTTATTTATATAAAACTTATTTTCTTTTTGTCTTTATAGTGCTTATATATAAATATATAGTTGGAAAAAAAGTATTTTACAAGTAAGATTTTGTGGAAGATGCTTATAAGCAATAGTAAATATGATCTGCATTAGTAGATGAGAGGTCACCTCTCATCTACAATGTTTTAAACAAAGAAAAAATAACCATAAAACACAATAAATTTACAAAAAAATTTGAAGCTACTTACAGGCTTAAAGTTTTCTTCAGGTGAGTGCTTAAATGATGGACCAAAATTAAGTGATACCTATAGGACATTATTAAAAAATTATTGCCTAAAAATTACAATTCAATAAAATTCTAGAACACTTAAAAAAATTTACAGATACAATTTTAATTCATAAATTAAAGTGTAAATTTGATTCTTAGTTCAACTATTGTAACAAAACAAGAATGGTTTCATTTGTAATCTAGTTTATTTTAAACATAACTAAATATAAATGTTGCGAAATAGCTTTTCAAAGAATAACAATAGTAAAATAAAAATGAGCTATAATATTCCTATTGAACTGAAATATTTTTTAAATAATAATTAAATGCTAGTTTAAGTTTTGATAATTTAAAACCTACTTGATTTTTAAACAAATCTTCACCAGATTGAAGTAATGTGATATTGTCAAAATACAAGAAAGACAGCTTCTATATGCCCAAATTGTGCAAACAAAAGAACTATCATTCTACAATACTCATATGAAATATCTTATGGCAGTAGTTCTAATTTTTTGATACCAGCAAAAATTTAATTGGTACAATTTTGACACTAGTGACAGAATATGAAAACCATGATTGGATTTCTCCCAGGAAAAAAAAAAAAACATTATACAAAACACTAGACGAAATTAAAGTAACTAAAAATGACCAAATATTAACTGCTAGTCGGTAAGTATTATGAAATTAGTTTGGGTTTAGTTCATAAATTGTAATTAACTACTAATTCAATGAATGTAAAAATAAAATGTGTTTTAAAAAAATTCATCTAGAAATACATTTAGCATATTATCTTTAAGTTGTAGTAAATATTCAGAGTATTTGATTTTGAAAATTAGTATTTGATTACAAATACGATCTGATGTAATGATTAGATTGGGACTTATTAATTAAATTGTATCTAAAACATTGATTTTTTGTTCTTTACGTAATCACAAAATTAGGCTTTACAATGCTTCTTTACATCGAAGAAACTACAATTGTTTTAACTAAATTTCGTCGCTTATAAAATTTTTAATGTTTATTTTCTTTTAAATTGTTGCTTTTTTGGTTTAAAATGGTGTACTAAGTATCTCAGAAATTACTATTAACTACATTGCAGTTATTTGTTTTAAAAACTTATTTTTTCTTAAAAGAGTTTCTTTCACTTGAGTTTTAAGAAATCTTTTTTTTTTCCTGGGTGGTTTTTCTCATTATGAAACATACCTCCTGTTATCCCTTTAAAAGAAGGACCATAAAAATGTACACTGTAATATACACAGCATTATAAATTTTAATGCTATAGTTCTTTCTCTAATCTTAGCTTTAAAAAGAATCAATTACATCTTGAGGTTTTTTGGTTCATCCAAACATGATGTATCGAAGTAGTAAAATAATATAACTTACTGTACAACTTTTATACAAAGATATAGCTGGATAATAAGTCCCTGCATTTATGTTTTCAAAAGCAGTTCCAAAGCTCTTGCCATTTTTATAGAAGACAATCTTTAAAAAATGAGAAAAAGAAATACCTTAAATCAGACACATAACTTTTAACAAAATGCAAAAACCTTTCAAAATTTAGTTTCTATAAAAAATTTTAAGATCAAATTATTATTTTTTTTTCAAATTATGTTTCTAAATATTACACAGTATGAGTAAGATTTCCTTTGCTGATTTAAAACTGTGAAAAGTGTTATTTGCTCATAATTTTTGTTTGCATTTTAATAATCTAAGTATAAAACTCCAAACATGCTTCAACCAAAATTTTGTTCTTGTTCCATAGGCTAGCAGTAAATACACTTTACAACATATTATCCATAAGTACTGTAACTGATATATTTAAGGTGTAATAAATTTTATGCAAATAACTTTTATACTTAAAATGAGATAACTTTGTTTACTGTTGCTTGCTAACCACTTAATTATTGCTTTGTAATTAAATTTTTGTTTACTTCACAAACAAAATTCAATACTCCAAGCACACGTAACAAAATTCTATGCTCTCTATTCACACCCATTAACAAAAGTATGCTAATAATACATTTATAAACACTGCAAGCCAGGGCATGAAGTTTCAGTTCTACCACTACTAGGTAATAGCCAGAGAAAAATTTTGTTTACCACTATTTTTATGAAAAATATGAACATTTTTTAAAATGTTAAAACAAGTGTAGCTTTTTAACAACTTTTTAATGAGAACTTTTTAAATTTTTTTTTTTTACAAGAACTTTTTAATGAACAAAGAGAGTGTAGAAAAATTAAACAAATTTATTGCAAAAAATAATAATTTAATTAAAATATTTTTTTAATGATTTTAATATGAACCACATATTAATAATCATTAAAATAAGAAAAATGCTAAAAATATTTCCATGCTTCACGTTAGTATATTGCTACCTTTTGATAAATTCTGGGTAAATCATTCTAAGGTATTCCAAGTCCCTCGGTCTACAAGTTGAATCCTCATAAATTTTGTTTTCTTCAGATTTTACACTTAAATGCTAATTATGGGGAAAATATGGATGATAGTTTTGTTTGAAACAAGGCATTTTATAAGACAAAACTTACTCGCCAGCCCTAAATATTCAGTCACCAATAGGCCGAAATTTCACTACCTGATGTAAGCTAATAATAAAATGTAAATACAATAAGGTTTTTTTTTCTCCAATCGAATTAAATGAAAAATATTTAATCAGCTATCAAAACATCATTCCTTAGCATATGGTGGGAAAACATGAAATGTTCATCAGCACCGCAAACAGTACTCGTTAAAAGATATCAACTAGATAACTAATTTTTAAAAAATTATTACTGGTTGGAACAAATAACTATACTGGTCAGTTACAATATGCATTTTGTGAATCAAAAAAAAAAAACATTTTTAATAAAAAAACAGTGTTTTTAATCGATGTATCTAATTTAGACATCTTTTCTGAATTAGATACACTTTATAAAGGACTCTAAATTATTGGTTGTAGGTTAGTCCAGAACCACTAAAACTTGACTTAGACAACCATAACATAGTTCTCAGTGATCTCCCGGATGAGCAATCAATGTAAAGAGACACTTGTGCTTTTTTTCACATAAAAGAGTTTTGTGTTTTGTTCTGCAATTTTACCTAAGATAGCATATTTCATCATAATTTTAAACATTACTCATTTTGTGTTGCAGTTTTTTCTTTAAATTAATTTTATTAATAATTTTTCATTAAAAATATTGAACAAGTAAAAAACCAATGAATTATGTATGGATTAGTAACAGCTTTTAGTTTCTTGTCTTCTAATGACTAAATTGTCTTCCTTCCTAACTCTGCTGCATCAATATTTTTATACACATTTTCTTTTTATAAATTCATCCTATATATACGACAAAGAGATTTTTAAAAAATGCTAACATACCTTACTTTTTGGCAAAGGCTTCATATTTTTTAATTCTAACTGCATTTCATCTTTTTCTTCATAATACAAGTAACTTTTGAATTTCACTAAAGGCTAAAAAAAATTTTTTTTAAAGTTAGCTTTCAGTGATTTTCTGAACATTAAGGAACATTTATTTAAAATAAACCATACCTTATCTTTATAGATTTGAGGAAGAGGTATAGTTTCACTAGTTTTTGGAAGATGTATTAGAAAGCCTAGAGTATCCCCTTGTCCATAGCCAACATCTGCATAATGATATCCTTTACTTTCATGAAATTTTGTGCCTTTCCGTGATCGCCAGGAGTAACTGAATTTATCATACCCCAAAGGTCCTTGTAGATTAGCTTTAAAAATAAAGAATTCAATTAATAATCATAAATGAACACAGAATTTTTAAAAAAAATATTATATTAATATAGTAAAAGTAATATATAATTATTTTGGGTAATTTTTAATGAAATGGGTAAGAGTTAAAAGTATGAAAAGTATAGAACACTAAAAATTAGTTTCAACTAATAGAGACAAAGTACAATCAAAATTCTTTCAGTATAATCAAATATTTTTCCCTATAATCAAAAATGTTTTAAGTTTAGGCACACAAAGGCAGTGGTGCCATCGTTTTACTCATGGTTCATGAACTACTAATGGTCTGCAAGGTCAGTTATTTTTACAAACATTAATTTGCATCATTATTAAAATAAAGTTAAAATTTAATGCATCCCCAATTTAGAATTTTTATTATTTAATGTATAGAAAAATAAATTATGAAAAACTAAATTAACTTGTATCAAAAATACCTCAATGATGGAAAACACAGGAAGGAGAAATATTTTTGTTATTTTCAGTTTATATGTATACACTAAAAACAAATTAATTACCGGACTAGATTCGGGCTCCTGGATTTTTGAAATTTAACTATCAGACATAAAATCTAATTTAATCATAAAATGATGAAAAAATTTCATTCAACTTATTAAGTTAATATTTTTATAATAAAGTAGTTGTTTATTGGTTAATGCATCCACAATTGTCTTTACAGACTGTGTTTAAACAGTTGGGGTGTCGCCAAAAGTAGGTTAATCATTTAAGGTTCCACCATCACCAAAAAATTATCGGAAACCGTCCGCTTTAAACTTCCAAATGTTTACATAATAACTGATACAAAAACGTTATAAAAAATAATATATGAAAATACAAAATGTGAATTACATGCAACTTACCCAATGCTTGAGACCAACCAAGACGTGTAGCTGATCCTTCGGGCATATCCTCAATGGTACATTCAAAATACCAAGTGCCTCTATTAACACCTGGAATATATATTATATTTCATAAACATATATAACTGTTTATTAAACTAATTTATACTATAGAAACAATCCATTCCATCATATATGTACAAAACAAGGCATATAAACTTACCATGAGTTGCTCGAGCCATGCAGTAGCCTTTTTCACCAGTAACTGATAGCCTATCTTCTGAGACTTTCAACTGAGGAGCTAAAATTAACATTCTTAAAGTAACTGGAGATTCATTAAAACTATATGAACATTTAATTATACATTGTTATTGAAAAACTCAATTTACTTTTCTTAAACTCGTGAGCAAGCACATTTATACAAATATAGTTAGTATAAGATCATATTATTTATTATAAGAGGTATTCATTCTAGCTTTTACTTTTAAATACATCTTTTTTTATATAAACAACAAAAAGGTAATTTTAAATAAATAACAAAAAGATTTAAACCTTGTTTTCTTTTTCATTCCTCTATGAACATATGAAATTTACAATTCTCAAATTTTTTACAATTCATACTTTTTAAAGCTTAGATTAAAGAAATAGAGGTGATTTTAATGGGATCAAAATTTGTCTTTCATAGAAAATACTGATAGCAAAATAACCGAGGTTGAAAGCTTAGAAATGAATATCATAACTTTTTCTTGCTATGTTAAAAATTCAGTCACAATTGCATCCACAAATTAAAATTTCAAATACCATTTGTAGACTAGGTTACAGTTTAACTTCAAACTATAGGGCAGATTTAAAAAAAATAGCTCTCACTATTTTAAAGAAGAACTATAGCAACAAATATTAATGACTAAAACAAAAATTACAAAGTCAAATGTGTGAAACTAACTTCTTAAGTGTCCTTTAAAACTCGTAAATTCAGTCATATTTTTTCCTAAAATGCAAAAATGTTTTTGCTATTTCGGAAAAAGTTGAAATTGTGCTCCAAAATGTATAACTCCATTTTAAACAAAGATTTTTGTAGAAAATATTGATGCTAAAAAAATGCAGGTTTCGTGGTAGGTACAAATTGTGCAATTAATTACTAAAGTGTCCTTTTATTCATTAAAATCTAGCTACATCTCCTAAGTATAAGATTTCGACATTCATTTTCACAAGAGGTTGAAATTCAACCTTTAAAAGTAAGAACTCATTTTTAAGGACAACTCTTGAAAAAAGTATTGATATGGAAATTTTTAAAGCACTGTTGCATTAAAAAAACATCCAGTATCAATTAATAAATAATAAAATTTAACAGGGTAGAGAGCAGCTAAAAAATTCAAAACAGGTGAGAAAGGTGATTAATTTATCAAAAAAGGTCACTATAGGTAGCTTTCTCCTATAGTCAATGAATGCATTATTGTGATTTGACTGTATTTCCAAGTACTAGTACAAATGCCTATTGAAAATTGCAAAAGAATAATTTTATATTCACTTTTTCACACTTCCAACTAATAAAATTATTAAATTATAAATTTAGAAACTTATTGAGGAAGAAAATGAAAAATTGTTCATTAGAAATCCTTGACCAAAATAAGCCCGTTAAAACCAATTAAGGTCCTGGATGGGGTATGGCTTTTATAATACTTTTTGTTACAAATTTTACAATATTTGTCATATTTCACAATGTCAACTACTTTTAAACTAAAGTAAACTCAGTGGCACGACAGCCTATAGAGAACCAAGGCCTAACTCCATGCTTCTGGTATTAACTGGTACTCATTTTATCAACCTACTGAAGGAATGAAAGTCTGAGTCAGCCTTGCTTAGCCTCCCCATGTAGTAAATGGTGACTGATGCACGCTAATTCTGTAGAGTCACAAAGTCCTTCAGGTTCCCATAACAAATCATACCTCTGGGGGTATTGATCTAGGAGTTTCCTTGCCTTCTGGATTGGTTCAAAATTACAAGGCTACAGAGTTGAACATTAGTAGTCGTAAATCCAAAATTTGGCCGGCTGTTCAATGTTGGTTATAGAAGAAGAAAAAAACTTGCTTGGATCGAGAATCAAACTCAAAACCCGTGATATGAAAGGGTAACAATTAATTTTACTAAATGAAAAATAAATCGCTGTAAAATAATAAAAACTGAACGTAATAACAAAAAGCAGTCATAAATTTTTTTATTACTCAGTCTTTTGTTTTTTTATGAAAAAAAATTATGTAATGACTGCTGATTTTTGTTTTTCTATTATTGAGTTTTTCTTGACACCCGTTAGCTAGTTTCACTGCTTTTAAAATCCTTTTTTTTTTTCCAAATCAGTTGGAGGCTTCTAGCAAATTTTCGACTGCTTCGTTGATTTCATTATGTATATATTCCGTTTCTTTCAATTCAATACTCTTTGTCTCTATAAGGTATTTTAGCTTCTTTATATTTTTTATTTCTCTTCCAGGACCTTTTTCTGCCTATTTTTTCTTTCTTTTCTCCCATTACTTTCTTATTTTTCTAGTCTTCCATGTAGGCTGTGTAAAGGAAGTTGTTCCAGTTTTTAAGGTGAATGTAAATTCAATGCAGCTTTTGGCCATAGTAGTAATGCTTTTTGGTACATTTGAAATTCTTACAACATAAGGATTTATTCCAGAGAATTCAACAAAATTATTTCAAAAAAAGAACTGCTGCTTTATCTTCTTAGAAATATTATTATTAGATAGATTACGGCCACAACAATATCACACAATAAAAGGATGCTCTCTTATTAAGATGAAGAGATGCATTATTCTAACCCAAAGAAGATTTTCGTAAAGTTGATTAACGGTTGGGCCGAGGGGTGAAGCACTGAAACTAAATAAGTACATGAACTGGGAAAATGTCTCCATAAAAAATTGATAAAGTAGAATTTGTTAATTGAGTTTCTTTTTTGTATAATGACTGAATTCCCGAAAAGTTTGAAGCAATGAACCCTACAAGTAAGGCTATAAGCTTGAACCAGGCATATTAGTGGACAGTCCCTTAATTTGAACTCTAATTTTGCAATTTTTATTAGCATTATTCGTTGAAATAAAAAGATGTTTAATCAAAAATCAAAATCTTTCTTTTCACATATCTCCTATTTTAAAATCTGCATTTGTAGAAAATAGTATACTTTGAACACTTTCAATCAGGAACATTGGCCAAAAAGCTAAAAATCAAGAATACCAGGAAAACTATGAACCCTTCATAGTTTGTATAACAAATGATTTATTATCCATTATTTAAAACAAGTTGTTTGACTATAAAATATTACCTCTGTCATGAAGAGCAATCAGCACATTACTAGGAGTCAGTTTTCTGTACAGCCAACCAGGAATAGGCTTGCCAGCCCAGTCTTGACCTTCATCAAACTCTTGTCTAAATGGAGCATGAGGGTCTGGCTCTGCTAGGATGTACCGGTAACCATCCTTATTAAATGGATGTTCAAGAGGATACCCATTGGGAGGCAATTTGGGCATAACTAAATCACTGTAAATGAAACAAAGTATTAACTCGGTTAAAATCAGAAGTTGGAACAAATGCACCACAAGTAACAAAATACTGTAGTCACTACTTTTTTACAGTTGTAGTTTGGCAGTTGTCAACTTTTTTTGCAATATGCTAATTTTTTTTAAAAAAAAGTAATGCAGAAAGTAGAGAAAACAAACAAAAAAAAACACTAGTTTGTAAAGATTCCTGATAACTAGTTTTAACATTAGCAAAGAAAGAAGCTTCAAATGCAACTAATTCTTTAAATCTGACAAAAATCTCACGAAAGTTCGTGGTTGAAACATATTTTGCTCTATAACTCCAAAATAGACACTACCTCTTGAAGGAAGTTATAGAGTTTTAGACACTTAAAATCACAAACATTTGATAATTTTCTAGCATTTCTGGCCTAAAATATTCTTTGTCAGAAAAACAGATTTAGGCATAAAAAGACAAATGTTGAAAGAAAAAATTTTTGTATAAAATAATTTAAAGCAATAAAGTGGCTTAAATAAACACAAATTAACTATTTCGTATCAATTTATCTGGTATAAATTTTCCAGGTACAATAAATTGCCAGCCAATAATTATTCTAAACCCTTCTCAGAAATTTTTCTTTTCAATCTTCAACTTCTTTTAATTTTGAATACCAATGTAAATGAAATTCTCCAGCATCCCCTAAAACTAGTAAAGTATTGACTATACGTCAAATGTAATTTGTTATCACTACAGTTTTTTAAAAAATAGGTGTAGTAATAAACAAGATGTAGATTTTTGTGCACTGTTTAATATGAAAAATATAAATAGATTTAAAAAGTCAATTAAAAAGAAATTACGCAATTAAAGTTACCTTTTAACTTTTTTCCCAGCTCCAGTCATCTGACCATCAAAAAATTTTCTTTTACTACTGCGTCCTTTCGGAACACCAAAAGCTTAAAATACATAGAAATAAATATAGTAAATAAGACATTCAGCAATTAAATTATAATACTCAATTATAGTTGTATTGAAACTATTTATGCATGATAAGATCAAAACAAAAAAGTGATGCGAAAATTGTCTTGATGTCTGTAAAAATTATCTTGAATCTATGTGAAAATTGACGTGAATTATTATCTTACGAACATGAAATCTTGTGCAATTAAAAGTGAACTTGGAATTATTTTTCATGAAAATGTGCAACAATTTTTCTCAAGTATTTTAAGAAAATGTAAAAAAGCCAGAGTGTAAGTATCCCTTCTTCCAATTATTTCTAGATTTTCTGTAAAGCAAAAGCTTTTCGCATATTTGAATATCATCCTTTTTCAAGTGTAAAATGTTTAATAGTTAATACTTGTTCAAAAATGGAATGAAAATAAAATGAAACAAACTAATACTTTGAGACCGTAAACTTAGTTTTGTTTATGAAGATACTAGGTTTTGCATCCATTAGTGATATCTTAATTTGTTTAGCGATTCTATAAATAAAATATTTATGGAGTTATAAATATGAATAAATCTATTAAATAAATTTTAAAAAAATTATTTTAATTATAAATTGGGTTAGATTTATTTATTTATTTTTAAGTTTTGATAACATAATTATTTCTCTGAATTTGTACGTCTATTCAGAGAACTATTTGAATACTACTTTAACACTGCAGACTTTAAAATACGATCAGAATGTTAACTTAATTAAAATAATAATAATAAATTGATTTAAAATCAAAAAAAAAAATTTTTTTTTTACTTACTGCCTTGAGATGATGATGAATCAATATTTAGTTTCTGTGGACCTCTAGAGACAGCATCATAACTGGGTCCAATTTTGCCCAAATCCTATAAATAAAATACTATAAATTCTAATCTAATGTCAAGAGCTTAAAGCTAAAAAATTATAAAATCAAATTACACCAAATATAAAATGCATTGATTAAAAATCATTAAAAAAAATTCTATTATAAAATCTCTTATAATTTCAAAAAGAAAAAACTAAATATTTTTTACATGCAAAACAATTTAATACAAAATCATTTAAAAATCAACAGGATCATGCTTATATACATTAAAACAATTTTTAAAAAAAATAAATTTCATAGAAATACGTTTTCACGGTCTCAGAACGTCCAATAAATTTGGTTTTCAAATTAATTGAATTTGGCACTGTACTTTCTTAGAACATACCACATTCAATTTAAAATAAAATATATTAAATCAAATTAATGATTAGTAAAGAAAAAATAAGAAAAACATTTCTTTAATAAAAATTCTATATAAGAGTAAAATCTAATGCATTAAAATGTTTATAGATTTGCTATTTTTTATAAAGAAATTTTGTTCAATTTTCTTTTATTTTCAGTTGCTCTAAAAAAAATTTTTTACATCTTTTTATTTCAGAAAATTTCATATTTAATAAAATTCTAAAGTTATTTTTAATGGAAAATGACTGTTACCTGATGAACTAAACCATACATGGAACCATCATGCCCCCGCTCATCACAAAGAAATATTTCAGAGTCTTTCAACTGTAAATAAATTATAGCAGAAGATTGTATTAGTTAGCTTAGTATTTATTTTTATAGAGTGCAAATAAACAGAAAAGTAAAAAAATATAGCATTCAAATACTTAATAGATCCTTTATAAATTGTAAATGATTTCTCGGCAAGCAGGCAGCAGAACCAAAATGCAACATTAAAAAAATGAACAACCATAATATAATTGCATTTTATCATTGCATTGCATACATTATTTAGAATATGTAAATTACATATGTAAATTACATATATAAGTTAGAATCATTGAATTGCATATATTTGTCCAAAGTTTTTCCATATCTGACTTAAATAATTAGCAACTTTTGTGTGAAATTGCAAGTGTAATAAAATTTACAATAAAGTATACAAACCACTGCTTTATGCAAAGTATTATGCCAAGTTTGTTTTATTCTTCTTGCCATAGGAGTGAGAGATTCCCAGTTAGAAACAATGTAGGGGATAACTTCCTAAAAAAGTATGAATACATATCAATTTTTTTAATTTCAAATGATTACATACAATAATAATAGAAAGTTTTTCTTTCTATATAATGCCATTCATTCCTATCTTTGATTAATTTGAGTCAAAAATTAATTAAAAATAATTATTTTAATTGAGTCAAAACTTAAATTAAAAATAAATTAAGAATCTACCTAAAAAATATAGTAAAGTGGATGTAGTATAAAATCTTTGCAGTACAAATGGGAAGTTATACACATACAGTACACCACAATTCAAAATGTAACATTAAAAAAAAAAATACAACCAAAATCTAATTACATTTTATAATTGAATAGCATATATTAGTTAGAATCATTGAATTGCAAATATTAGTTAGAATCAATGAATTGCATATGTAAGTAAGAATTATTTAATCATTTTTTAATTCAAACACATCATAAAATTAGTCGCAAAAATTTACAGCTAATTATGAAGGGGAAAAAAACTATACTTAAGGGACAAACTAAAATATAAAAACATAAACCCTCAAATATGATTTGTATAGAACTTTCATTAATATAAATAGTTGCCTTTTTATATTTACTTTTTAATTCAAACATTGTATGATTTCTATCCATAATTTTTTCTAAAAAAAATAAATTACCAAAACATTTCCTTGATTTTAATTAAACTTTAAAAGTACTTAAAAAAAATTGTCAACATCCATTCATCTTTAATTAAAACAATGTAAAGGATATTAAACTGTAAAATGATAAAAGTTTGCAGATGCAAGATAAATTTTTACAGCAAACATATTTACCCTATCTTTAGAAAACATCGAACGTTCTTTGCCATCAGCTTTACTCTGCTGCATTAAATTAGCAAGAGCAGTTCCACACATTTGACTGAAAGCTAAATTGAGAGTAAAATAACATTAGTTAATTTTAAACACTAAAAATTTAGGTTTCTGAAGAAAAAAAATTCAAAATACATAAAAATAAATAAATAAAGTTAATGCTTACAAATAACAAATAAAATTTCACAAATTACACTTAATACTCAAAACATGATAAAAAAAATTTTGAAAGAGTTAAAGGAAAAGATGCAAAACAAGAAAAAAAAACTAAACAAAATCCAACAGGTTTGTAAAACAAGACTAATGAGTTTGATATAAATTTCATTAAGACTACTTGGTACAATTATTTAGCTAAAAAGCAAGTCTTCAAAACTAATCTATAGAATATGACTACTACCAATATATAACATTCTACATAGACTTAAGCTTTAAGCTACGGATTTCATATTCAACTAAAGATCAAAATTAGATAAAAATAATTTAAAAGAAAATATGTTTAAAAAAATATATAGTTTAGTACTCAATATGACACAATCAAAAAATTTATGTGCGTAATAAAAAAGTTTATGTATAATAAAAAAATGTGTGTGCAATAAAAAATTTATTAGACACATCATAATATGACAAAAAATATTGAAACTAAAAAAAAAAAATATAATAAAATTTTAAAATAAACAGTACAATTTTATTTTTATTATTGTTGCTTGCACAAGAAATAATTAGTTTGTTGCTTGCACAATAAATAATTAGTAGTCAAATAATACTTTAACCCTCCATTTCAATCAAAAATACACAGTGAAAAATTTATTTTTTCAATTAAAGATATATATAAAATAAATAAAAATAACATCCCCTCTGTTAGGGTCAAATCCCCCCACATGCAATTAAAAATCATTTGCAAAAAAATTATAAACAAATTATACCATATAATCATAATAATAATTGACCAAAAATAAAAAAAATTTTAACCCAAAAATGTTTGCGGTGAAAATTAAAGAGTTGTGCTAACAAAATTATGGGTATTTTAGGGATTTCTAGAGGGTCATACAGCTGAAAGTGGAATTGAGTACTCAGAAAAATTATTAAATACTTTGGTTTGGTGACATAGATATATTTATGTTTTTAACTCTTAATATAATATTTGTTAGTAAAACAGTTATACTATTAAAATTGTCTTCAAAAAATGTTTTATAAATATGAGTAGAAAATATTGTAATGCCCGCTTTACCATTTTAATGTTAAACGGTGCTATGATCTTCTTATGAATTAAAAACTTTTGGTTTCACTAAATTTCGTCTAAATGTCTGATGAATTTTATAATTTCACTAAGCATGCATTTTCTTTCAAATAAAGCGTCAGAAATTCACAATATGAGAACTTAAAAGTATATAGATTTTTGTTTAATTCTCTCTTATTTTCAATTTCTTTTATAAGAATGGATCATAAAATTATTTCTTATGTTTTTGTGTTATCTCCCTTATCTAATAATTCAAGAGGAAATTATATAAACAAAATAACTCTTAATATTAACTTATAACATATAACTATTTGATTAGAATTTGAAATGTGTTTTACTCAGTATTAGATGCAATAAAAACAGGAAGAATGAATTGCAGGCTATTCATTTATGTGATATTTAAAAAGTTATAAGAAAAATATTTAATAACCAATTGAATGTAAACTGCAAAATAATACATTAAATTTATTTTTATTAATTTGTTTATGTTATTGCAGACACTTAAAACATTATTTATGAATTATTTACATTAAAATTAATGTAAAAAAAGTTTCCAACATAAATGTATTGGCCATTAGTTATATTTCTAATAACTTAAAGATATAGTTATAGAAGTGTACCATAACAAAGATATTAAAAGTCTTAAAATGGACCAAAAAATTTTATTAATTATTTCTTATTCCTTTTTTTTTTTTTTTTTTTTGTTAAAAGAGTTGACTTGCAAATCGGGTGGCATTCCAAAAAAGTAGAGACTCAATGGTTAAGCTAATTTTTAAAAAAAAAAATTTCTATCTGGAACGTGGAATAATAAATAATAAAAATAATAAATAATGTAATGTTTTCAAGGCGACTTTGGCCCAAGCCAACTTTGAGACAAAATAGCTATGTAGATATCTGCGAACATAGAAAGTTGCTCGTGATGTTAAGAACTATAATATTAAATAAAATAACTTTATTTTTAGAGCTGAAATGTTTTTATTTTTCATATAATAGGATTATGACGGGTCGCATTCATTTCATCGACAATCACTTCATCGACAGGCCATTTCATCGACACCACTTCCTCGACAGGCCGTTTCATCGACTAGGTCATTTCGTCGACAGGGTCATTTCGTCGACAGGGTCATTTCGTCGACAGGGTCATTTCGTCGACAGGGTCATTTCGTCGACAGAATCATTTCGTAGACAAGTCATTTCGTCGACAGGGTCATTTCGTCGACAAGTCATTTCGTCAACAGGGTCATTTCGCCAACAAGTGATTTCGTCGACAGGGACATTTCTTCGGCAATTGATTTCGTCGACAAGTGATTTCGTCGACAAGGTCTTTTAATTGACAGGGTCATTTCGTCGACAAGTCATATAGTCGGCAGGGTCATTTCGTCGACAAGTCATTTCGTCGACAGGGTCTTTTCATTGACAGGATCATTTCGTCGACAGGGTCATTTCGTCCAAAAATTATTTCATCGACAAATCATTTCGTCGACAGGGTCATTTCGTTGACAAGTCATTTAGACGACATGATCGTTTCCTCGACAGCGTCATTTCATTGAAAAATCATTTCGTCGGCAGGGTAGCTTTGTCGACAGGGTCATTTCGTCGATAATATTAAGAAAAGATTATTTTGCAGGCAAAGTCGTGCGTAATTTTGAAACTAGTCTTATGATTCTTTGAGTCGCATTCATTTCATCGACAATCACTTCATCGACAGGCCATTTCATCGACTAGGTCATTTCGTCGACATGCCGTTTCCTCGACATGGTTGTTTCGTCAACATATTTTCTCTTTAAAAAAAAGATCGATATAGTAAAAAAACAAACTAAGTTGTATGAGTGGCTATTACGAAGGTTGGCGAGCGAAGTGAGCAAGGGGCTGAACTTCCTAGTATTATAAAAATCTAGGAAAAAAATGCATGTGGGGAAAAATAAAATGAAAATCCAACTTGGAAAACATATTGGGAAATAATGTTGATGAAATTTTTTGTTCTAATCCTCTTCCTCATGTCTTTGTCAACTATGCTGCTGAAGAGGGAAGTTTCTGACAATTCTTATAAAATTTAAATGAAATATTATTTGAAACAAAAATCTTGTTCTCGCATTTCCAGTTTATTTTATTTCTTATTTAATTAATTATTTATAACGTTTTGGCGTTTAATAGTTTAATATGTATTTTATCCTATATGTTCCCTAAACATTTATAAGTTCTTTTACCTTATAAAATAAACTTCGTTAATGTAAAAAAAATAAATAAAAAACTTACAATGACTCCACATTCTCGGTATGCGATGCAATCGAAATGATATAAAAAATGGTTCTAAATCAGAGGAGGGGAGGAAACCTGTCTAATTGGTTTTTATGATCTAAAACATTTGGGGAAAAAACGCAATTTACTACGATATAACAAATAAATTGACTTTTGAGTTTATAATTGAGGAGAGTTATCTATATGCATCTGATTTTATTCCCATTAATGTTTTATTAAAATAAGTTTAGCAAACTTGTTTTTTTACTCAAATATTAAAATGTTTTTCTTTTCGATTTGCAAGAGAATAAAAATTTATTTAAATTAATAAAATTTGCAGGGAGAGTATATATTTTAAAGGCGAGCAATAAGTCCTTTAAAAAGTGTAAATGTGTAAATTTTTAAATATCATGTTTGATATGTGTCCTGATAAAGAAATGTGAATTTTCGTTACCAAAACGAAAAAAGTGGAATTTTGAATGTTGATAGAATATTTTGTGAAATTTTGCCCTTGTGGTTTTTGCTATGCGTGAAAATTTTTATAAATTGTTTTTCTCATTTGTAGTCTATTGAACAAACTTGATATTTTAAATACATATGCATTTTTTATTTTCATTTTTTCTACATTTTAGTTTTGAGTCTCCTGGCTTGTTCAGGCAGAAAATAATCAAAATTTTGATTGGCGATAAGTCGTGCTAATAGTGGTCAGTAAGTGTTTGAAAATTGTGTTTTCATCCTGTGTAGAAAATCAGTTAAAAATTTCAGCAATTATACTAGTAAAAAATTGGTCAAATTTTAATTGCAAAATTTTTTTTTCTTTTTTGTAGAGTAGGAGTTATTTATTCTTACATTTAAATTCCAAGCTTGACTTTTTGTTAATTTTCTTTTAAGCAAAATGTGTCTAATTTAAATCCTGCAAATAAAAAATGAATTAATTCATCATTTACTTACTACTATTATTATTCTTATTAAATTATACTATTATTATTTAATTATAATAATAGTATAATGCAAAAATAGTATAATTTGATAGTATTAGATTAGAATTGAATAATTAATACTATTATTAAATTCACTATTCATAGAAAAAACATATTTTGTGAAGACCAAACACTAACAGGCTTGCAACGTTACGCCCGTGCTTCTAAACAATTTTGGTAAGGTGAGTAGCACTTTAAATATTGTGGGAATCTACAACCGCCTCGGTAAATACCTAAACATCAAGCTTGTGTTCCTATTGTTCTTCGAAATCTCTAATAGTAGTAACGAAACTAAGACTCAATTCGATTGTTCGAATACGCATATTCCTGTCCTAATGTTAAAGATGCTGAACAAAAAGTTTAAAATTGCAATTAAAGTGAACATTAAGAAATTACTTTTCCATCATAAAAAACCTAGAATTTTTTTTCTACTTAAGCAGATATAATAATTAGGTCTATGATTATTTTCATTTCTGTGAGAATTCGACTGATGTCTATGTTTTTGTTAAAATTTATGTAAAAATGTTGAAAATTTTTACAGCAATAAATTTAGCTTTCCTCTCCTTGAAATAGTGTCTAAATTTTCATTGTAATATATTTTTATTGCTTTCAATTCTAAAAATATATTTTATTAATTTGATTTGATATTAAAAACAATTTGATTGTTAACGTCACACTATATTAACTGTAACCACGGTCCGGATATCATGCTTGGTAATGTTCTGAAGACAATCCTTACCTATCCTAAAAATAAGTGTCGAGCTATTACGATTTAGATATAGAAAAGTAGATTTCGATACATCAACCGTTTAAACGCTTCTCAACTACCTATTAATTAATTTAAAAAGCGAACTTCTTTTAGTGCAATTGGAACAATAAACCGCCATAAAGAATTTTACTTTAGTATAAAATTAAATAAGTGCATTTTTCTAATTAATAATAGAAATATTTAGATTAAATCTCTAAAATAGTTTCAGAATTACGCATGACACTAGCAACGAAATGACCCTGTCGACGAAATGACCCTGTCAACGAAAAGACCCTGTCGACGAAATGACCTGTCGACGAAATGACCCTGTCGACGAAATGACTTGTCGACGAAATGACCCTGTCGACGAAATGGCCTGTCGACGAAACAACCCTGTCGAGGAAACGGCCTGTCGACGAAATGACCTAGTCGATGAAATGGCCTGTCGATGAAGTGGTGTCGATGAAGTGATTGTCGATGAAATGAACCAGACCCATTATGACATTTAAATTAAAATGCAACCCTTTTGCAACTGAATTCTCCATACAAAATTAATTTTTTTAAATACATTTATTTATCACAAAATTATACTGCTTTCCAATCAGTTTAGTTCTATTACAATTATTTTGTTTAAATAACAAATATGATAATAGTATATTTGCTAAATATACAAAGCTCAATGTAATTTTATTGAAACAAAATGATTGGGTCCTATTAAGCAACTAGCTCCGAGCCGAAGTTACTTTGAAGATTGACCTGATCCAAGCATTTAAGATGATTTTTTTAACACGTTCGCTACCAGTTTCTACACAGCCTAAGTTACTAAACTAGTCACTATCACATGCTATTGCGAGATTGGTAATAAACATGCTAATGATCGCATATGGCAAAACATAAAATTAACCAAAGTATTTACGTTATACATGGTTACAAAAATGTCAAAACAATAAATTAAAAACTTACTGGTTTGTTTCTTTGAAAAGCTTTCAATCCCAGATGAGTTGCACAGTTTACAAAGGAAAGAATAATTTGACATAAAAGGAACACATTTCCTGAAATATATATAAGTCACCAGTCTTTTATACTGTTTCCAATTACTCATATCTAAAATTTTTTTGTACAGTACAGAACCCGTTATCCGGAATTCAGAAAACCGGAAAACCAAAAAACCGGAACAAAATTCGATAAATTTTCCCGCAATTTAAAAAAAAAAATTTTTTTTTCCTCATAAGATTTTAGGATTTTTCTTTCTTTTTTGAAAGATGTTTACCTTACCATCATTTCAGAAATAATCATTAGTGTATTACCTCATCGTTTTTTCTTATTTTTAAGATTATTTCCAAATATTTTTTTTAGTTGGGTTTAACACTAAAAAAACGGCTTTTTGTAGCGATTCAGAAAACCGGAAAAATCAGTTATCCGGAATAGCGATAGTCCCGATCGTTCCGGATAATCGGTTCTCTACTGTATTAGCATAGAAATAAAAACTATTTATATTAAAAAAAAGATTGAGAGACCAAATTTTTGTTTATTTTAAACAAGTAAATGGTTGTGCTTATTTTAAAATGAAAGGCACAAGAAACACAATCAAACAAGCTCTTCTGTATTTATAAATGCTTTTTTTATTATTTATAAATGCTTTTTTTTATTTATAAATAATTTTACCTCTTTGACTAGCATGTTTTTAAATATTTAGTTATATAAGTAGTTTTATATAAAGTAGTTAATTATATAAATTACGTTCACAGCTTTATGCAGGCAAAAAAATAATTTAATGTATCAGTTACAAATTAATGTTACAATAGACATATTTTATACTTGCTTATATAAAATGAAAAGCAATCTATAACTGTACTTTAAATATATATTTTTAAACTCAGCAGTACACATTATTAACTCTTTTTTTTAATAAAAAGAATACGTTTTTAAATAAATGTTTGACACGGTTCTACTTTAAAAAACTCATAATACATTGAAAGGCTATTTTTTACTTAATAAAAATATTTAATCACAAAAGTGTTGATTATTTATTTATTTTTTTCTAATGGCAGGCACTGAACTTTTACATTCTTCGTCTAGGAAGATGCCGGAAGTGTTACTCATTTAGCGTTCCCCAGTGGGCACCTGTGAACCTAAGTCATGGAGGCAAGCAACATTACCCACGCCACACTGCCACAGATACCCGTTTATAGGGTGGGCCACATTCACACATCACACAATAGAGAACACACAGAGAAACATCCATGCACTGAGCGGGATTCGAACCCGCAGTCAGGCACGCTAACCATTCGACCACCTGGTCGGCAAAGTGTCTATTATAGAAAAAATTGTTTTTCATGAAGAAACGTAAACTAGAAGGGGGAAAGAAAAAAAGAACATTCTGAAAAGAAAAACATTTCAATTTTTACCACCACATTACCATCAGAAAACATTAATTTCACTATAAAAATATTTATAAAAATCATTTACAAAATTCAGTCATCAATGTATAAAATTTTAGAAGAAGAAAAAGCAACATTAAGGGAGAAAAGAGTAACAAAAATTTATCAATTTTAACAATAGGAAATGAAAATTTTACAATAGTTATTTCATTTAACAACATACAGTAGGTGACAATAAAATCATAGATTTAATATACTAACCCTATAGGAACTGAAACACAATTTTCATGGAACCATTTGGAACATCCACCACACTGTAATTCCACAATACCCAAATTTCTCTCCCGACCACTATAGCATAAGAAAAAAAATGCTTTTTCATAAAATGAAAATAAAATAACAAAAAGATGAAATAAATCATTTTCATTAGTTAGAGCTAAACGAAAAGTTATATCCCAGAAAAATTATGTGATTTTTTAAATAGAAAAAATTTAAAAATAACCAATAAGTTTATTGAGCATAATCTTAAATTTGAAAATAAAATTACTGTAAGATTGAATAGATACCAAAAAAATTAGCTATACAGTGTAAAACATAAACAATATTACATTTTTTAACAATAAAATCACTTAACTTTATGTATAAAGTATGGAACCGGGCAGAAAAAAGGAGGAAAGGTCACGAGTTTACTTAGAGATATCCAAACTTTGGACCAGATATGTATAATGTACAAACGAATGCCCTTCACTGAAAATGTATAACTATCACGTAAAATTTTTATTATTATTAAAAAGGATGCAAATCAATCTAGCAGAGATAGATACAAGTACTTTTTTCTTTGCACCTCGCAGTCGCATTTTTCCGCAATTATTTTATTGCATTTAACTTTAAGGCATGCTTTTTTTAAATTCAATAAAAAAATAGGCTTTGTCAAAAATAGTATATCTTGTCCGAATTTCTGAGAAAAATAATATTCATTTTTAGACTCTTTCCTACCTATGCAAACACGGGTAAATATTACATTCACATGATTTGAAATTACCGATCGTAACTCAAGTTCACGTGATTTAAAATCACACATGCATTTAAGCGATTTATAATTGCATATCAACTTTCACATTTTCACGATTTTACATCAAATATCATATTTTGTATTCATGTGATTTAAAAGCCAGTATTATAAATTGTGTTCAAGTTACTTGAAAATTATATATTGTGTTTCATATTCACACAATTTTAAAAATAAACATAAAGATTTGTATTCACAGGATTTCAAAATCAAACATCGATATTCATATCGACGCAATTTTAAAATTAAATATCAAGATTCGTATTCATGAGATTCAATAATCACACATTAAGATTCCTATTCACACAATTTAATTAAATAAATAAAATCTTGCATCAATATTAAAATTAAATAAACAATTTTAAAATTAAACATTAAGATTTGTATTCATGCGATTTCAAAATCAAACATCGATATTCATATCGACTCCACTTTAAAATTAAATATCAAGATTCATATTCATGTGATTCAATAATCAAACATTAAGATTCCTATTCACACAATTAAATTAAATAAATAACATCTTGCATCAATATTTTTATTAAAATTTGATAACATTCTGTGGATAAACTTTTTTTTTTGCTCTTTCTCTCTCTCAAAAAAAAAAAAAAAAAAAAATTCAGGTAATTTTTCAATGAAAAATGTTTTTGCCCCTAGCAATTTTAGATTTCCGTTTCAATTGGTTTTTTGCCAATCTCATACCTGCAGTATGAAACAATATAGAGTCTCATAAAAATTAAAATATTTTTAAAAAAATCCATGATTTTGCAACACATTTTGCCAAAATGAGGTAGTAATGAAAGGGTTAAAACTAGTTACAAGTTAAAAATTGCTTGCAGAAATTTTTTTAATTGAGATTCCGTGTTCACAGAAATTTTCCTATTTTATCTAAGTCTGCTAGGGACTTGGCTTACTTAAAGCAGGTAAAACCTTTGAAGAAATTAATGCTTACAAGAACAAATCTGATTGTGAATTTCACCAACACAACAAACTTTTATGTTTATTCTTTCTTGTGTATAATGTTAAAAACCAAACCAAACTATTAAAAAAAAAAAACGTTTTCTAAAGTATTAGGTCTTAAAAAAATTATTTTTTGTTAAATGATGAAGGTGAATTTAGATTATTTATATTTTAATAATAAATACAATTTTTTTAAATTCTGTTATTTTAATCTTTCAATTTTTATTTAAAATTTGTTAAATAATTATATGTGTCTTGGTTTGATTTCAATGTACTCTAGAAAGGCATGTTTTAAGCTTATACTTCATTACTTAACATGAATTAATATTTATGAAAAAATGAATGCAGATAGTGTAAAATTAAAAGATATTACACAAATACATGAATTAATAAAAATAAATACCAATAGCAATTATGAGATTCTTGTGAACGTTCATCGATTGAACACTGGCTTTCTTCATTACCATTTGTGTGAGAAAATTCCTTTTTACCATTTCTTTCAATTTCAACATTATTCTCTTTAGTTGGATTATTTTGCATTACTTGAAAATCTTCTGGGCGTACTTCATTAGAAATAGTTATATTTTTATCACTTTCTTCCTGTCTTGGTAAGGTTTCTGAAATTTCGACAGGTGTTGGGACCTCAACAGTAGGTTGATTATTGATTATATTCTCCTTATTGATTTCCCCTTCAACATTTTCATCAACATCCATTTTTTCAACCACTTCAGCACTTGGATCAGTCATGGTGCTGTCGACTTTTGAATCTCCAGAACTGTCATTGATCTCAATTCTACAAAGTTAAAAAATATTTATTAAAAATTTGTGATCAGATCAATTCTGAAGATTTGCATTGAATAACAGGTATAAAACAACAAATACAATTTAACATGAATAGTAATTGTAAGTAAATAGCATTTCCATTATTTCACTTACAATTACTATTCTATATATAATATATATGAAGAAAAAGATGATCTTAGGTGACATTCTAGAAAAACAAGAAATTTTAAGTTTAAAAACATGCTATTGTCAGTTCTGTATATTAAACTTACTATTTTTATTGATATTAATTTTTTGTCAGATTATAAAATAAGGGAGCTTTTAATGGGAAAATCAGTTTGGTGAACAGCTTTCTAACATAACTACAGAAAATTTTTTTTAAAAATTACTTAAACAATAAAACGGCAAAATACACAACAAAAATTAATTTCAAGGAATTTATTATGAGAAATGCAGGACACATGTTAATAACATCTAAATAGTTTCCAATGCAAATTTTTTATATACAGCTTTTAACTTAGCAAACTATACAGCTTAACAAAACATTAATTAAAGAAAATAAATGGTAAATAACACACAGGTGGTGCATAACTAAATATGCTTAATGGTGAATAACAACATAATGGTGAATAACTAAATACACATTAAGGGCCTTCTTGGGGTAAACTTCTACAGTTTTCTACTTATACTTAGCAAGGAAAAACAGGTAAATAGTAGATAAATAAATAAATATTTGAATGTATCGAAATATTTACAGAATAAAAAATCAAATGCCATATAGAGGACTTTTACTATCCACATAGCATGTTGTATGACACCTGAAATATACTTGTTTTGATCACAGAAGAACATTTTGTTTAGTGTGACAAATTTTAGAAAAATCAAACACAGAACCACAATGGCTCAGAGGATAGAGCGTTTGCCTGCCAATGAGGAAAATCGGGTTCGAATCCCAGTAATGGTGATGCGAATTCCGCATCCGGCTTGAACTGACCACAGTGCTGACCTGAAATGTCCCCAGTGGTAGATGGATTGTGGGTTAGAGTCCCTTTCTCGTCAAATGCAAATGTGGATTAGTTCTATCAAAAAGTCCTCCAAAGGCAAATTTCTCTCAATACTTGATCTAGGAGTTCCCTTGTCCAATCGAATGGGCTCAAAATTACAAGGCTACATAATTGAACATTAGTAGTTGTAAACACAAAAATTGGGTCGGCTGTTCAACGACAGTCATAAAATAAAATAAAAAATATCAAACACAATTACAAATATTCTTCATCAACTCTTCTAGGAAGTTATATTTTTCGCTATACAATTGACTAAAAAAGAGTGGCATAGCATTATCTTTCATATGATTAATTTTTTATTTGACCAACTCACCATCAACCTCAATTTGTTTTTTACTTATTTTTGTTAATTTTAGGTAATGCTATGTCTTAAATCTTGGAAAATTTCAAGTTAAGCCACATACATGTAATTATTTTAAAATCAAAAATTGATCTCAAAATTAAAATGTCGTGAGGACACGAAAGGTATAAGGAATTTTTTCTAATAATTGCTTAATGAAACGAAAGTTCTTCAACTGTGAGAATTGAAAAAGTTAATGTTTGCGTTGCTTCGATTTTTATCTTTTGCTCCTTATTTTGTAATTCTAAAAACATCAGTTTTGTATTATCTCAGGCAAAAACAAGTATTGATTGAGAAGCTCCTAGTTACCTCTCACGTATGAAAATTTAATAGAATTTAGACTAACTATGTTTTCAAGGTATATATGGAATTGAATGTATATTGAAAGATTATAAAGATCAATTTAATTTTTAAATACATTGTTGATATCTTTGTTATTGCAGAAAAAAATTCTTGAACTGCGCAATTTTCTTTTTATTTGATTTAGAATAAAATACACTATACAAAACTTGTCCTTCAGATGGCTAATTGCTCTCAGAAATTTGATAGGTCATATACACAATCTGGCAAACATTATCTTTCTGTCTTTAAGTCTTTTTAAATATATAATGATCCATTTATATTTAATTTAAAAAGAGACATTTTTTGCATAAAGCAAAGAATTTACCAATCTCAAAAAAGTTAATACAATTTTTATACAAAAAATTGCATTGTCTGAGCATTACTGTTGTCATTATGTTTAATGTAGTAGAATAAAATTATAAAGTAACTGAATTTGAGATATTATAGTAATATTTCAATATTTCCTACAGTATTTGCTCACAGAAGTTAAAATTCTCAACTTCTTTCAGTAGTTGAAACTGAATAAATGTAATGTGAAATGATGACCCTTCATTTTTTTTTATTTTCAATTTTTTTAATATTCCGGCAGCTTTAAACAGTCAAGGTTAAACTTTAAAATTCCATTTTTATGCTTTTAGCTGGTCGTTTCTCGGAAAATTTAAAATTATACATTATCTTCTAATTATTCTTCAAAATGTTACACAAAAAAGCAGATATATGCTAGTTAGGTTAGACAAGAAGATCTCAACATTAATGTAATTTTTTCACAAAAGTTACATTTTCAGAAATTGTTACTGCTGCACTTTATCCTCATATGGAAACAACAAGCCAAGATTATTTTTAAAATGAAAAAGAAGTTCTTAATAAATTCCATTAATTTACTTCAGTTATATTAATGACATTTTGACTTTCTTCATCACACAGAATCTAAGCACTAAGTGTCTCAATAAATGTCCAAGCGCTAAGTGTCTAAGAAGTGTCATTTAGAAGAAAAACATACTGAGAAAATTAACCTGATTTTTTTCACTCTCTTTTTGCTAATCTCTGATATTTTTACCCAAATAGCAACAAAAACATTAGTACGTTTTACAGTAGTTAACACAATTTACACATTTTCTTTAACAATACTTAAAAAAAATTTTATTACTTGGAGAATTGTCAAAAATACTATTTGATCAATTAATTTGATCAGTTATTTTGATCAATTAATTTTTCAGACAGATTTCAATTATAAAAGATAAAGCTAAATACATTATGCAAAATGAGTCCAGATTTGCAATTATTCACCTATACCTTCGAATCTCACAGCAAAAAATTTGAAAATTTTTGAAAAACTTCTGTTTTTTTCTAATTTTAACACTTGGAGGAGTGGTCAAAATATTATTAAGTCAAGATGAATCTTTCCACATATTAGTTTTTTAAATGGCACCCATTTTAGGGGGTGCTATGAAATATTTGATGAAAAAAAATTTTCCCATGTTAATAAAAATATATCACCTATTATAGTTATACCGCTCAAATTTGCCAATTTTTATGATTGGTTTTCATTTTTTCGTTTCTGATGTCATACAGTAATTTCATGGCGTCAAAGAATCGATAAATTAAAAGCTTTTCGCGTAATCTTGGTACGAAGTATTTAATTAAACAAAGTGAAAATAAAATAGTTCTAAAATTTTCGGAATGTTAACACTATTAATTGTAAATCATAATTTTCATAGATAAACCTTAAAATAAAACACACTTGAAAAAAAAAAAGAGTTAGAGAACAAAAATCACTTTAGATCAATGGAATTAACTTTTTCATTAAATGCATTTTCCTTCAATAATTTATTCCATGCCGACAAATCTTACGCAATTAACATATGGTTAAAACGAATATTATAAAAGCTATAATTTTTACTAATTTCTTAATAAGATAGCAAATTCATAATTGCGGGAAAATTTAAATTTTTACCTTTTACCATCATCCATAGTTTCGGCTTCCCTGTCAGCCATGTTTACATTTTATATAGTTACAGTAACAGTTAAAACTTGAACGATAACTGTAAATATACATTTTAGTTTTTGTTTCACTTAACAAAATTAAAAGTACTGTTAAATCAAAATACCGTTTATTGATGAATGCTTTTCTTCTATAAAACTGCTTAGCCTTGAGATTTCTTATTAACATTATTCGTTTTAACTATTACACAACAAAACTGCTCATTTTCTGTATAATAGCACGCAATATTTTTTCTGTCTGCTGCTGTCTAAACGTAAGCAATAAATAGGCTTCATGACTGGAAGATCTGATTTGCGGGGGTTGAACAACTGAAGTACGGAAATGATTAAAATTACAAATCATTAATCTTTCATAAGGCCAGTACATCACGCCTTTCTACTTGCTTTCTAGTAATTTATTATCAATTTAATATTTACGTTAAAAATCTGTTATGAATTGGTTTCATTTTTACCTTGTATCTGCAATCAAGGATTTAAAAGATGAAATCATTCAATTTGCCAGCGTAATGTAATCACAGTAAGTTTATTTAACTAATTGTTTATTTTGTATCATTTTTATTTATAAAGTAGTTCTTTTTTAATTTACTTATTCTGGCTCGTTATCTCTTCTAATTCTCTTTAAACTAGCAACTATCTTATGTCATATTTTAGTTGCAATTAAATTGTTAATCTGTATTCATTACAATATTAAATTAATTTTATTATTGTATTCTCAGTGATCCTTTTTAATTCAGCAACTTTAATATTGATAATTTTTAGGCATTTTTGTATTTCTGAATTTGTTGCTTTCAGGTTTGACATCTTAAGTGACCATTAACTTTGTGAATCAACATGAAGAAGTTGTTTTCAAGATTTGATGGTCGAGACCAATCTAGTAAGGAACCAAATACCTTTATTGGTAAAATTTTTGCTGTTGGGAAATATACAGTTACCGTTGAAGATATTATTGCAGAAGGTAATGTATTACATAAGCTGTCATGAAATCCATCTTATAATTTTAATTTTTCCTCCTTTTTTACAGTTTTATTATTTTGATTAATGCTATGAATAATAATAATCTTTTTAAAAAGTGAATTTAATATTTCAGTTGTTTAATTTCTATAATTTTATAAATATTTTTTAATACCTGATGACATCTGTTAATAGTTAAAATTTCAAAATTTTCTAACCTTTTTTTTTACCTAAAAATTGGTATAATTTTACCTGAAAACTCATTCACCTCCTTATAATAGGTGTTGACTTTCATGTTTGTTGGCAGGTGCTCGAGCCCCACCAATAATTTAGGTTAAAACCTAATCAAAATATGACCTGAGTCAAAAATATGAGCTGATGCACTATAACTGCAAAATAAATTTAGATTTTATTTTACGGCTTTTTAAAGGGAATGAAACATTCATTCTAAAGTTTGATATTTCTAAGTTATGTAAATTTTTTGTTCTGAATTTTACTCTAAAAGTAATAAGCAAAATCTGTGTCCTACTGATATGCTTAACACTAAAAAGACTGAAAATTTGTATATACCAATATTGCCCAAAAGCAGTCAAAATGACTGGATTGTGAATGCGTAAAGAAATTTGTTTAAAATTAATTTTTAATATTTTTTATATTATTTACAGTTATATAACAAGTTATTAGTAAATATTAACAGTAAAAAAAATTATGTAATTGTACAAAAAGTTACAAAATTATAAGAAATTGTGTCATTATTGTTTTTCTAATTGAAATTAGAAAACAGTCAAAATGACTTCCTTAGGCAATCTAGTGTTAACCTTAAGTTATCAAGGGAAAAAATTTGCTAGTTAATTTAAAGAGTTTTTAACAGATTGAGAAGTTTTTTATAGTTTAATCATCTATATATGATATGATCAATAATATCTTTTGATACATTGCTTGAATAGGTTTCCCATATCCCATATTGACCCCATATCCTTTTCAAATTTAAATACTTTTCTGAGGAATATTTTCTGATCATAAATCAAGCTTTATTTATTGAGAAGATAATATAATCTAATGATTTATGTAAGACTTAATTTCAAAATCATTGCTTATTTTTTCAGGGGGTTTTGCCATAGTTTTCTTGGTGAAAGGCACAAACAATGTTAGATATGCTTTAAAGCGCATGTTTGTGAATAATGATCATGACTTGAATGTTTGTAAAAGAGAAATTACAATAGCTGTAAGTACCAATATTTTACAATTTAATAAATCACTTTATCCATCTAGTATTATGTAATAAATCACCTTTTTTTAGATTTTTTTTCCTCATATTTTATTGATTATCAGGTTGTTTGAGAGTATGCAAAATTAATATATTTTTATGATTTCTTGATAAACTGAAAATTACTTTTTTTTTATTACTCTTCTATATTTCTCTAAAACATAATATAATTGTAATAAGTGTAGTCAGTGTTAAGTATGTTCTTGTCATTAAAAAAAGAAATAGATTTAAAAGAATTATACACAAATGTCTAAAATCTTAAGCCAATGGATGTTTTTATTTCTGTTAAATCAAACTGATCAAATATTCTGAATGTTCAAACTTTCTGTTTTTAAAATTGTGAGCTTTTAAGATGCTTTTTAGACTTAAATACATTTTAAATATATTTAGGTCTTTAAAATATTCTCACCTAAAGCATTTGAGATTTTAAAAAAATTGTTACTTTTAGACATATTAAAGCTTAATTATAACAATTCACTAAACTAAAATATTAAGCAATGTCAGCTAATTCTTATGCCATCTTTAAAGTAGATAAATTTTTTCAATACAATCAAGCGTTGATGTTATAAGAAATGTTAAATCTATACACATTTACTATTCTAGTAGTAGAAAAAAGAAACTAAGCCCAATGCATTTCTACTATAGTCTTAATTTCAGGAATATTTTTGAGCTCTGAAAAATCTCTTATTTCTGATTATCAAATTTTTTTCTTAAACCTTAATTCCCAACACTTTTTATAAAGAATTTTATAAACCATTTCTTAAGGCCATTATAAAAATATGATTGCTATATTTGAAACAAAGTAGCCTGTATCATTCATTCCTATGGAAGTAGACTTGTATGATTTGTGTATTAATCTGAAAGATTCACCCATATACTTAGATAGAGCAATTGATAATTGGGAAGAATAATAAATATTGAAACTTACATGAGTAAATATATCAGAAAAGGTATTTCAGTGAGTTGTAAATTCAATTTATGAAACAAAAGTAATGATTAGTGTAAGAAAAATTATTGAATCTAGGTCTGGCATAAAATATTTAAAGCTATGTTAAATTTCTAGTAAAATTGACTATGAAAAAAAAGAGAACTTGTTGAAAAACTATTTTGAATTACTGCTATTTTAAATAAAATAAATTAATGATAAATACAGTAGAACTTCGTATTAAGTAAATACAAACTATTCATGTGAAACTATAGCTTTTAAAATGCTTACACGATTATTATGATTGAAATGATTCAAGTATAATAATTCTTGATATTGTGAAGTTTTTAGTTTCTCTCTTAATTCATGTCTTTTTGATTTGGTTGTTACACATTAGGCTTTGAACATGCAAACCCCCTTCATGGAAATTTTTCACTGTCACAGAAAATTTTTTAATAGCATTACTCATTATACATTGTCAGTTTTAACTGTTACAACATAATGAATTGTCCAGAGGGCTCAAAAAGTAAACAATATGAATGTGTTTTGATTGTACATAGTGTATATATGCAATGTATAGTATTCAATATAGAACTTTATGAAAAATTAAAACACTTTCTAAGAAAAGTTAGTGATTTTTGGAACAAATTTCGTCAAAATTAGGAAGTGGCGAAAGGGTTGAAACTAGTTAACAGAGTCCATAAATTGCTTGTGGAAAGTTTTTTTTAATTGAGATTTTGTGTTTAGAAAGTTTTTCATTTTATCTAAGTCTTTGAAACATTACTTGTTCTATTGCAGCTTAATAATTCAACTTATGTTAGATCTAACAAAGTTTACCAAAGTAATTATTTTAACTTGAAATAATAAATAAAGAAGTTTAAATAGCACTTATGAAGTTTTGCAAGTGGTCAACTTTATGGTTTCTGAATAATTTAATATAATACAATATACTCATACAACTTCTTATTCAGCCTTAATTTATTTACTTTCAGAGCAACTTAAAAGGACATAAAAACATAATTGGATTTTTAGACAGCAGTATTAATCCAGTTGGTAGTGGTGTTTATGAAGTACTAATGCTCATGCATTATTATCGAGGTAATAAACTTTATTATCTTCTTATTTGTAATTTAAATACCAATTTGAATGCATTTTATATATCTGTCAGTATAATAGAAATTATAAATGCTTTAAAATTTTCTTTATAATTTTTTTTATTTAAATAAATGCTAAATAAGTACTTCAGTGTCTTGTATAAGCTTTCATTCAAATTTTGTTACACATATCTCATCTTTAAGTCATTTTGAATATACGTAAAATATAATATAGTTTCAATTCTATAAACAAGAGCTTTCCCCCATGAGGAAGCACAAAATGACTGGAGACAATAGTGAGATAAACTCATTGCAATAAAAAAAAAGTATGACTTAACCAATTTGGGAAAACAGATTAGGTTGAGCAAGATAATATAAAAAGAAGGTAAGAAACAGATGTGAGAAGAGCTGTATGGAAACCCAAGGGGCTAGATTTAGAAATTAAATTAGAATAGATTTCTTACAAAAGTAATAGGATATTAGAAAACTCAATAACTAAATTGTTAAAAAATTTGAATGTATGGAATGATTCCAGGAAGTAGAGGTCTGTAGATGAATGTTGAATGATTTTAGCAGAATAAAACTCAAACCTATGTTTAGAAATCCAACTATGTAGAGCAATGGAAGATTGTTTATCAGGATCATAATCAGAATCTGGGTTGGCTAATTTAAACAAAATAAGTTTTTTTTTTCTTTTACATAAACAAAGTTTTTTTCTTTTTAATGAAAAAAATAATTTAAAATAATTGTAAATACTTTTAGTTTGATGGTAAGAGAATGAAAAAAGATGAAGTTTTCCTACAATTTTGAGTTTTATTGCTAATGAGAATCTGTATTATTTCAAATGAACAGAAATCTGCAATTTTTAAAATATCTATGTTAAACAGCGTTTGCTTTTTATTCGGAAGAAACCTATTTCTTCCAGGACAGTTAAAGAAACTGGGCAAAATGGAAGGAATGGCCAATACAGTTGTTTTAACGATAAGAATAAATTAAACAAATTAAATTTAATATAGTAATAAATAGTTAAAAGTTCATCAATTTTACTTTATTTATTTGTTAGTTTTTTGTAAAATTTTAAAATTTATATTTTATTTTCTTTTAGAGACAATTTGAGTATTCATGCTTAACATTATTTAATAATAAAAATTAACTATTTGTGATTGAGAATTCAATATATGTGTTTTTAGTATTTCTATGTTTAGTAGATGTAATTTGTTAATTTAGTGATATCAATAAAATTCGATTATTATACTTTAATAGTTCATTATATGATCATTAAATTAAGTTTTACCGTACTCTTTAAAATAAAATATTGAAAAACTAGTTATTTTTAATTTTTTAAGAGATTTCTTTAAAAAATTCCCTGAATTGTTTTTTATTTTAGTTTTTACTTATTTGAAAATGATATATTAAATAGCTTAAAATTTATACTATTATTTAAACTAGATTGCAATTATAAACTGTTTAAAACAACTCTTTAAATATTTAATATTTCTTATTGAAAGAGTTTCTTCCACTTGGATTGGAAGAAACCAGGGTTTGGATGTCCTAAGCAAATTTTGGATAGGACGTGTGGGTTTTACTGTCTTAAACTGTTCTAAACTGACTAAAACTGAATTTTTTTTTTTTCTTTTTTATTCAATAGAAGATATAAGTTTGTTTGTTTTTTAATTTATAGGTCATGTTCTTCAACTTATGAATGAAAGATTACAATCAGGATTTTCTGAAACTGAGGTGCTTCAAATATTTAGTGATGTGTGTGAAGCCGTCTCTAGACTTCATCATTGCCAAACCCCAATTATACATCGTGATCTTAAAGTAAGCTTTATGTTGCATAAATAGTTTTCTTTTTAATCATTTTTTCCTTAAGGATTTTAATTAAAGGTTATTGGTATGACTTCAATGTTATCAAATCTGATTTTAAAAAAAGAATAAAAAATTACAATTACAAAAAAATCACATGTATTACCATTTACAAAATCACTATTACAAATATTACCATGCACACTTACAAATCAATTACAAATATTACCATGCACAAAAATCATAAAATAACAGATCATTGTTGTTTTTTTATTAAAAAAAATTTTTTTTTAGTGAAATTTTGTGAAAGAGGGTTTTTGGATATGTACATGTGTAAATAGCACAGTGTTTAATAATCATTGGCCTATTTTGCTTAATATTGTTATTATTTGTAATATTAAGCTTAATATTATTTAAGACTTAATATTATTTGTGATCATTCTGTTCGATATAAAGTAATACATAGGCTGTTCTCAAAAGGTGAGAATAATAAAACAAATCTAAACTTTAAGCTCTGGCTACATTTAAGTTTAAATTTAATACACTGTAAAAATTTTAGAGGATATTTATAATTCTATCTTGAAAAAAATTCAAATTAATTATTTCAAAATATTTCTATAAATACCTTTAAAAAATAATTTTTCTAATCAAAGGGGACCAATTTGTGACATTCATAATGTTAACTGAGCCAATGTAACACCGAAAAATAATTCTTGTATCTCGATGTTTACAAATAAAGGTAAGAGTATAACGTTAAAATGAAATAGTTACTTGGTGATATCTTAACAAATAGGAGTAATTGATAAGTTAGATTTTACTGCACAAAAGATTTTTAGCAAAACCAATTTAGTGTTTTATGCAAGTTCAAAAAAGTTACATATAAAGCTGCACAATTATTTTAACAGAAAGTAGATTAAATTAAGTAATTTAGGCTTATTAATTCATGCTTAAAATAACTATTGAAGTATGTTTGCTACTATTTAATGTTCTAGTTCTAATCTTAACTTAAGTCATTATAGATTGATGAGTATTTTAAACTGGAATAGTTAAACTAGGAATATGTTATGGATGAGTTAAAACTAGGAATATGTTACAAGTAACCTAATTTATAAGTAACATTAGCATTATTTGTATTTTTTATTTTAATGCAAACTTTTAAAATATTTTATTCATTTCTCAGCTTTTATACTTAAAAGATATGAAAAACATTTTCAGGTTGAAAATATACTTCTGAATGATAGTGGAAACTTTGTACTTTGTGATTTTGGCAGTGCAACTGCAAAAGTTATTAGTCCTCAAACTTATGGAGTTAGTCAAGCTGAAGAAGAAATAAAAAAGTATGCATTAGTAATCTTCTAATTCTTCTTATTAATAGTACTTATTTCATATTTGTCTTTGAAATATAATAAACTTATTAATTTAATGAATTACTGCAATTTGTTGCAGATGCTTCAATAACAATATCGTAAATACATAATGAGACTGTTAAATAAGTTTTAAAATATAAGTTTGTTACCTGGTAATCTGTGCATAAGAAATTTAAATATTTCAGAAATAGTATGCATTGTTAATATTTTTCATGTCAACCTGTTTGTTTTATAGCTTACTAGGCATATGCAGCAGTTACTCTGCATTCATAAATGTGCTATTTGCTGTTCTTATGGCTTAAAATCACCACTTTTGGTTTCTACATGACTTATTATAACAGACAAAGTGCAATTTAGACGAATATATAATCATGCACGAACTTGCTAATTTGTAGCTTCCCATGGTTTAACATTTTCATCCCTTGATATTCCAGGTTGAACTTGAATGGATAGGTTGAACCAGGATCCCTTGATATTCCAGGAATATTTTTATTCCTAACCTGTATACTTCAAAACATTATGTACTACAATGATTATATTAGAATTTTCTACTGCCATTAAATTTAAAATATTATTTTTTAAATGAAATTAATAATAAACTTGGGATAATTAGTAATCTTAAAATGTTAAAAATTAGAAAATTTTAGAAATTTCAAAAAAAAATTTTTTTTAAGAGAACTAAGAATATTAAGAGCTAAGAATAATAAAAACTAAGTAATATTTAAATATTAATACGATAAACAACAACATATATTTTTACATGTGATACGTTTTCACCTTCTACTTTTTTTTTCTCGATTCAGTTGAGCTATTTGTTATTACTATTATTTACAGCAATGAATAGGCTTGGATAAGTTTAGCAATCATAAAATTTTTCTCTTTTTTTGCCAGATAACAAAACATAAGTCAGTTTAACCTTAAAAGAAATGAAGATTTTACACTGTTCCATTCATCACATCCATGGTTTTGTTTAAGTTGCTTACATGTGCAGTTTTCCTACCAAGAATTTTTTTTTCTTTCAAATTTTAGCTAATTTAAATCTTATGCATTTTCTGAGTTCCAGTTACTGTAATTTATTTTTATTCATATATGCAATTGGCTTTTGTTCAAACTAAACAAACTATAAATTTCAATTTGATGATGATATAATAATAATCAATTTGATGATGATATATACAGGGTATCCGCGCACCTGGAAAGTCATGAATTTCGGTATTGAACAAAATTTGTCATAAAATGTCATGATTTTAACTATTGTTTTTAAAAAAATCATGGATTTGGGTTGCCGAAAAATTTTATTTTTAAAATGGAATCCCCCCCCCCTCCTAATTTCATGGCATTCCGAATATCTGAATTAGTAACAAAATCCCCACTCAGAGTCATATTTTATTAAAATATAAAAAGTTTTTATCATGTTCTTTAAAAATTATGGTGTTCTTTCAAAAAATGAAAGACAAAACATCCTTTCTAGAGCGAAGTATCTTCTAAACTTCTGTGTTTTCAGAATTATTATTAATTATTTATTTTATTAATTTAAAATTCTATCTGAAGCAAGCTAGTCATTGGCAAATTTTTTTTTATTTCGAAATGAGAACTAAAAAATCAGGAGTATTTCTTTCCTCTCTGATGAACAAGAAAAGTATCTTTAGAATATAATTCTGCAGGAAAAAAAATTATTTGCTTAGTTATTATTTTTTTCAGCTATTTTATTGCTTCAACTCTTTCTTTACTCTGTTTTTTAAATTTAAAATCAATAAATATGAAGATGCAGAGTATAACAGTTTTGCTTATACCTATCATTTTAATTAATGTTATTATAATGCTTTTTAATTTTATTATTCTGTTTTTGTCGGAGAAAATAGTAACTTCGTTAAGTCATGAAAACTTCTTGGAATGTCATGAACTTGAAAATCTAAAATGTAGCAGATTCCCTGTATATAATAATTTAATGTGAATAATATTTTTTAGGTACACAACACTGTCTTATAGAGCCCCTGAGATGGTAGATTTGTATTGTGGAAAATCTATAACTACAAAAGTGGATATATGGGTAATTTTCTAAAAACTATAATTTCTTTATTATGTTAAATGATTTATTTGAATGCTTTAAAAGCATTTTCTTGTGGAAATGACTGGCAAGAATCAGATTTGAATACAGATAGAAGTATTTGTACTCACTTAAAAAAAAAAGTATGAATGCGAAGTCATAAATCATGACTTAAAACTGTAACTAAACACTTGATGCTTTTCAAGGCTTTCTGTGAGTATTTAATAACAAATAAAATAAATAATAGGACTATTTTAATAACTATTTTAAATAAACTATTTGAATGAAACTAAAGCTATATTATTTTGAATTTTTTATTTGTGTTTGAGTACTATAATTAACTTTCAAATCACTAATACTTCCCCAACACAAAATATTATTATTGAGTGAATGCGATAAAAGCTTCAACTGTTGATCTTAAAATATAAAATGCTTAAAATTCTTAGCAAATTTTTCACTTTTTTCCCCTAGGCTTTAGGATGTTTGTTGTATAAACTTTGTTTTTTTACATTACCATTTGGAGAAAGTGCTTTAGCAATACAAAATGGAAATTTTAGCATTCCAGATAATTCTCGTTATTCTAAACAAGTTCATTCCTTAATAAGTAAGTATTTTTTTACCTATATAAGTTTATGAAGAGCGATAGAGGGTGATTTTCAAAAATTTTGTCACAATCCATTTTTTAACTTTCAGTTTAATCAAAAAATTACAAATGATTTTCAGTAATTCTTTATAGGGTATGAGCTTTGTTATAATATAAAGTATTGTAAAAAAGCTAATGTTTGTGAGATTTTCGTTTTAATGTGCTCAAATTAAGTGGTTTTTGTACTCTATGTACCAATAAATCTCAGGAGTGTTACCATTTTAATTTAATTATTAAAATGTTAATATATTATTTATTATAAATCATCAATCATATATTACTTTTCAAAGTTAGTATATTATTTAAAGCTATTGTTTCATCATATTTATATAATGATTTTCTTTATTTTTTTCAGAAACAAGACTCATGAGTGTTACATTTTTACAAAAGTAGAGCTGAATTTTTCAGTTAAAAATTACAACTTCATATTAGTATAGAAAAAAAATATTATTAAATGTAATGTTATTTATTACCATATCACACAATAAGTTAGAAAACATTGAAATTTTATTTTTATGTTCTAAAATTTGAATTTTGTTCACAGTAACACTCATGAGACTTGGTAACACTCTTGAGACAAGGTAACACTCATGAGTGTTCACAAAAAATATGGTAAATAAGAGGAAAAAAATTTGAAAATTATACATTAAATATACAAAATAAGTGTTATAATTGTATTTTTATTTATTCTATATGTAATTTTTAAGGAAATTCAAAAAAATGGCGTGATTCAAAAAGTAAAATGTCCACGAGCATTAACAACGTCTGGTGTATTGAGTTTTTGTATTATTTTTTCCTTCGGGTAATACACTTCATCGACTTGTGAGGGCCACTTCCAATATTTTCCAGCTCTAACCATGACGCTTACGAGATACTCTTCATTTTCGATATCTTTTATTTCTCCTCGAAATAAGTCCCCATCATAGTCCACCTCAACCCAATCCCCAACTGATACAGTCAAACTAGTAGATGGTTTATCGTGACCCTTAGATGGAATTGATGTTATCAGGTCATCATCTATATCAGAGGAAGTGGAACTATCGGAATCATTTTCACTTGATGTGTATATGCGGTGACGGGTGAATTTCCTTATTTTCTGTTCCGTCATGTTTCTCACCGTCCAGCCAAGCTGGCACTTGCACAACTTACCTGTACCCCATTCATTTTTATCACAGAAACAAGAAAGAGGACGATGAAGAATACGACCTCTCACATTGACGGAAATTTGGTGGATTTTTTGAGTTCCAACCACTGTTTTCAGGTCCTGAGGAATCAATTTAGAAATATTCCTTATTTCTTCTTCAGTCACGAAAAAGAGCTTCACCTCTGAGGTATCTTTTAAAGTTTCAAATAAAGTCGTGGCATCCGGAATATCTTTACCGTATGCCACTTCATCATTAGCTTTTCTTTTCAGGGCGGCACCAACACCATCGGCCGCTCCTTTCCCATGAGCAGACTCGAAGAAAGACCAGGTACCAGCAACAAATTGAAGATCGAACAGTCGAGTAGAAAACAAGAAAAAGTTCTTTTTCTGGCGGTACTGAGTGGAGGGTCCATCAGAGAATAAGTGAATAGTGTCCACTTGAGGGAACTGCTCTTTGAGAAGTTTAAATATGGGATCTAAATGAGCCCATATTGCTGCTGGGCTGTGGTCAGGTGAATCCGATATAGTTGCAAATGAAACAACTTTTTTGTGTACATAGAAAACTCCTGTGTGTAAAGTTGCTTGATTGCGGGATGAACCAAAATGGTAGGACTGGATTTCCTTGGCCAATTTGCAAGAATAATTTTCAGAAAAGTCAATGAGAATAGCTGCTTCATTGTCTGCTAAATTTTCTTTGCACGTTTTGAATTCTCGATTCTGGTTCTTTATGTTAAACAAATGGCTCTTAAAATCCTTCATATCCCTCTGGAAACCTTCTTTAAGTCTTTTGATAGTTTCAATCATAGTTATTTTCTTTGATTTTTTAATTTCTTTCACAATTTTTTTTCCTGCAGCATCTGTTTTTTCAACTTTTTTTTTAACATCACTCCATTTCTCATATGAAATTTCTTCTTCTGCATTAATCATGGCATCTAAAAGAGGTATGCTTTTGTTCTTGCAAGAGGCACAATTATTATACATGCACTTAACAGAGTTCTTATTGCATGTTATAAATTCACACAATGTGTGGGGGGCTGTCGTCACTCAAAAGACCAAGTTGTTTGAGCTTCTTTGCTTTCATCTCAATATTTGTGTGAGTTTTACACAGACAAGTATCTCGTCCTACATCAGTAGGCTTCTTAACATGAAATGGTCTATACCTTGTAAAAGTGGTGTATGAAACCTTCTTATACCCTTCACGTAAGAATTTCTTGTACAGTGTTTTCATAGGAGCATTTAAAAATCGCTTTTGTCTTTTCGCCTTATTCTTGGTTACTGTTTCTTTCACCCCTGCTGTATTTTGACTTACATCATCTCTTACAAAAAATGATTCTATGTCTTTCTGGAATTTTTTCTCTTTCTCTAGTCGTTTCTTCACCATTCTTTTTCTGCCAGCCAGACCAACTGATCTGCTAGTCATTGCTTGAAGTCTGTAACGCTTAACAACAGTCTGTGATAGCATTATTTGGCTTAAAATATTTTTCTCTTTTGGGCCTGTTGATAACTTTGTTTAAAAGATGAAGCAAGAGTGTTATTAAAAAGAAGTCGACGGATCAACCTGCTCTTTTCTCTTCCTTTTGTTTTATGAACTTCATGAAACATCTTTGTGGCCTTTGATTTTGGTGTTAGTTGATCATCAGGAGTACTCATAACACTATTAGTTTCATTTAACTTCATTCTCTGTAATCGTTTTTTATACTTTGCAGAATTTCTTTTTTCTTGTTGGAGCCGATTGTTTAGTTGTTTAATTTCCTCTTTCAATTTATTATTTTGTCGAACACACTTGGAACGATTCTTGAGCACAACTTTTCTTCCACGAATTTTGTTCCCTGAACATTCTTTAAGATCCATTGGTGAAATGGGAGAAAGATTCATATTTTCTGTCATTACCTTCTGTCTCCTCTTTCTATCGGACAGTCTCCACTTTCGTCTCTGTGTGCGCTTCTCTCGTGGTGTCAAGTCTTCAACTTTTTTCCTTTTTGCATTTCTTACTTTGTGCTTCTCCTTGTAAGCTGCTTCTCTATCACGATCAAGTTTTCTTTTTTCTCGATAGCGACGCTGTTTTTCAGCAGCTGAAGGCTTTGCCTAAAAATAACAGTAATTTTAGGGATTTGTGCAAAATTTAAAGCATAATGCAGAAATAATGAAATAACATTCAGAATTGGAAATAAAAACAGCATGGAATCCAAATGAAAAAAAAATCAAGATGCAACAGTTAAAATATCTTTGAAATCATTCTTCTAAAAACATTTGATAATTAAACTTAAAATGTACTTTTTATTGATAAATTAAATAAACAAAGTACAATAAATATATATTTCAGAAAAAAAAAAGCTTTACTTTTTGTTCTGAAGTTTCTAAATCAAACAGCAGTTTGTTAATAACTTTCTGAAACTCATGAGTGATCCTCCTCATGAGTGTTACTTTTATAGAGTAACACTCATGAGTGTTACTTTTATAGAGTAACACTCTTGAGAAGTAACACTCATGAGATTTCAAATACAAGTTTTGTTCTGAAAGAAATAGCTTGCACATGTAAAAGTAGGTTTAGTGCAGTAAACTAGTATACTAAACATGCATTATTACTTAATTGAATTATTTTTCTGTTTAACTTAAAATACATATTAATCCTAGTAACACTCATGAGACAAAATAAAAATACTCACCATAGTGAAGATGAATCTTTTGAATGTAGAATCACAGATGAAATTCTAAGAACAGGGAGTAAATAAAGAACAAACAGGGCTTATTCTAGAACTGTTGCCAATCTTTAAAACAAATTTTTTATAAATATATTTGAGTAACACTCTTGAGGTAACACTCTTGAAGCACAGTGGGGGACACATAATAAACTGAAGTTTTAATGCATAAATTCAAAATAAAAAAATATTTTTATTTTTATTTTGTAAATTTAAATTATTGCAGAATATCTTGTAACTAATATTTTATTGCTGTCTGACTTCTTGAATTAAAAAAAATCCAAATGGAATCTGACATTTCGGACCAGGGACATGAAAAATTTCCTGTCTCTATAACAAAATAGCATAATAAATAATTAAAAACATAATAAAATCATCAAATGTTATATATGTTTGTAAACTAGAATAAAAACTCTATTAATTTATTGAAATAAGATTATTCTAAAACTAGAATTTGTTATGATACTGATTATTTTAGTGCAGGGACATCAATGTGACAAATTTTTTGAAATTCACCCTAGAAAGTATGTGAAATATGCATATTTAATACCTTTTTTTTATTCTAGGATTTATGTTAGAAGTTGAACCTGATAACAGGCCAGATATTTATCAAGTTTCTTACATCGCATTTAAAATTGCTGGCAAAGAATGTCCGGTTCCAAATTTAAAAGTGATTTTTTTTATATAAATTATTGAGTTTATGGTTCAATTGTAAAAATGATTCTTGTAATTAAAATAAACTTTTATTTTATTAGAATTCATCCATTCCTGAAATTGATAAACTGCCATTACCACAGACTGAGACTGAAGCTAAAAAGGCAATAGCTAAACAGCAAAGGTAAATCTTGCATTTTATTATGTTTGCTTGTGCAGAATTTTGATTAATCCTTCTAATAATACTTTAGCAGTTTTTCCAAATAAATTTATCGATAAATTAAACAATATATTATAAATCTTTATTTTTATGATTTAGACCAGCTTCTACTCCGGTGGTTGAGGGTACATCAGTGGCACCTCGCCAAAGACCAAAAGGCTCTCAAGCTCCTCCTGGTGTTGGAAGTTTAACATTACTTCCTCAAGCAACCCCTAATACTTCTAAAAGAGTTACTCCTACTACTCCCCATGGTAAATTGACATTTTTTATGTAAATTCTGGAAAGAATCTGCAAAACAGAAAAGATAAATAAATAAAACATTTAAAAAAAATAATAAAACAGAAAATAACTGAGGATTATTAAAATATTGCTGCATAAAACCTAAGCTGACCCAATATCATTAAATAACACAGAATAGGTAAATCAGTGAGAAAAACTAGCCACAAAAATCAGGGAGTTTAACTAAAATACCTAAGTAATCACATAAGTAAATGAATTTGAGTGTTAGATACCTTAAAATCCAATGTTTTCTTCCAAAAAAAAATTTTTTTTGAAAGATATTTTATTTATGAGCCGGATTCTGGCTCAGTTTTTATAAAAAAATATATATTATTTAAAAAAATTTTGTTTGTTTTTTCCTTGTATTTTTATGCAGAAAAAATTCTTTTTAAACTTATTTTGCCCCATTTATGTTAAAATTGTTTTTATTTAATAAATATGTGCAATCCAATTTGATAAAATAAAAGCTACATTTTATGAAGTGTAGAGTTTATTAAATTAAAGAATTTAATTTTGTTTGAATAATTTTACTTTTGCACTTTTTTAAATGGAAGAATTTTTAAAAAAAATCAATTTGAAAATTTTATACTTTCAATTTTCTTTTTATTATCAAATTTGTGTAGGAAAAAAAAATATTTTTCTCCTACAAAAACCATGTTTTAGTTTTGCTAACAAATTTTTAGTGTTCTCCTTTTTTTAATATAAAAGTCCATTTTTTTAGTGTTTTAATTCAAAACATATAATTAAATAATAAAGATTTCCAAAATAAGTTTGTATAAATTGATTGTTTTATGGTGTATTGATTTCATAAATTTATGAAGTTCCAAATTTTTTTTTCTGTTGGTGATTTAAAAAATTTTTAAAAACTTTATTGAAGTTAAAGTTTTGGCCAGATATTTCCAACTTAAATACTCATACATAAAATTGTACTGAATTGAACACTTCAAATATGAATTTCTTTGCAAAATTATATAAGCAAAGTTTAATTTAAAATTTGATACTGGAAGTTTTCTTGGAAAAATATATTTCTTGCATTTTCATATTTTTTAATAAAAATTCGTTTTGATAAAAATTCGTTCAATAAAAATTTTCTTAAAGGTTTATATAAAAAATAGTTCTATGAAATGATTAGTTGTTTTTTTAAAATGTAACTTTCAAATTAAATTGATCTATTAATTTTCTACTCTTTTTTTTTTCTTCTCTCTATTGGACAAAACAGAATTGCTTATTAAAATTATGTATTCAAATTTATTACTTTTTTTCAAATGATAATTATTTTTAACTCATGTTTTAGTGGATGTTTTTAGTGATTCTGTAGCAGTTAACAACTTAAGTAAATTTTGATATTATGTGAAGGCTTCTTCTTTTTCTCATATGTGGCATGATTTGTTTTTCCTTTACCTTTTATCATTAAAATATTTAAAATGACTTTTGACATCTTTACTTTCATCTGATCTTTTAAATGATATGCTCACTCAGTTTTTGTTAGTTAACAGCCTAAGTAAATTTTGAAATTATGTGAAGGCTTCTTTTTTTTTCTTATATTTGGCATGATTTGTTTTTCCTTTACCTTCTCTTATCATTAAAATGAGTTTTGACATCTTTACTTTCATCTGATCTTTTAAATGATTTGCTCACTCAGTTTTTGTTTTTTGCTCTGATTTGTGTTATGTAATTGTTTTAAATTATATGGTCATGCATCTCAATTTTGCTCATCATAATTGTTCTAATTTCTACTGTTGTAACCCAAACTAGCTTGCACATTTCCCCCACTCTATTTATTGATAAACATTTAATTAATTAATTATAAATATCCATTTTTAACTGTTTTTTTCTGTTATTTTTAGCTTATAAAAACACACTATCTTATAATGATTACTGCTTTTCATAGTCTTATATCTTATCAAAATAGCAACATACAAGCACTTAATTGGTTTCACATTTAGCTTATGCTATTTAAGTTCCTAAAAATATAAAAATAAAACATTTTAAAAATTGTCGAATTTCTCAAATTTTCTAATGTTGAAAAAGAAAACGTAATTTAAAAAAAATGATAATTAAATCTATTAAGGGAGCATTTATTTGAAATAAAGTCTACTAAAACACATTTTAAAACTGTGCATGAAAATAATTTTCATTAATTTAAAAAAAATCAATCTATTTATGTAGATTGTCTTGTATCTCACATTGCTCTCAGTTCCTTCATTTGAAACTTTAATTATTTTAGATTAGAAGAAATCATTAGTTAGAAATATTTACTAATAATGTTTTATAATTGGCAGATTTTAAAACTGCATGTATATTTATTGACTAATAGTTTTTTCTCATTCTTCCTTCCCTTTCCTTTGTGCTGTTTTGATGACTGAATGTTTGCTACTAAATTAATTTAATATTTCAATCTCTTTTTCTGTCCTTTACTCTGCCTGGGATCTGATTTTTTAACACCCTTTTTTCAGATTTGGCTAACTCTCCAGCATTGCTTCTTCCCCCTACTGCTTCTAAGTCTAACATATCTACTCCGGTTACTCCTATTGGTTCGGCATCCCAAACCTTTCTCTCTCTGAATCAATGTCTTACTCCAACAACCCCTCAAACCACTTTATCTGCTCCATCTCTCATCAGCCCCTTTACCCAAACAAATTATCTCCTCCCCTCACCATCTTCTATCTCTACTACAGCATCAGCAGTATCCTCTCCTGAGAGTGCTACTTCCTCACATCTAGTCACTCATCGAAAGTCCTCTGCTACAGATGTTACACCAGTAGAAGTAGCTGTTATAGCACCAACTCCTTCCCAACCTCCAATCCAAGTTTTGACATCAGAAGAGCCCAAGAATTTTCTGACAGCCACCTCGATGACTGACATTGCTCCCCACAGCTTGGTGTCTGTTACCCCGCCTTCATCCCCAACGCCCAGTCAACATAGTCATCATAGGAGAAATGCAAGTGATACCTCAGCCTTTGACAAGTAATTATATAGCACAGTTTTTCAAGACATTTATTTGCTACTTAGCTTTTAAATGAAATTGTGTACTTGTTATTTTCTTTTATTTATTCAGTCATTTATTTTTTGCTATTTCTTGAATTCCTAAATAATTACAAATTTTCCATCTTATGCAGAACATTACATGAACAAGAAAATTTTTTCACCTAAAGTGAAGGTTAGATGTCTTGAAACTTTGCAGTATTCCGTGTGCTATTGTATTAGCATTAGATCTTTAGAGCTCCAAATTTTATTTATCAAACATTAATGTCTATTTCAACTAGTAGGTGTAGTGCGGCTTTGGGGAGAACTCCTCCAGACTGAAAGTCTGGGGCTGTCTGCTGCTATGGTAACAAGCGAGAGCACAATATAATGGGGGTGAAATGGAAGAAAGAATGTGTCGATTGGCTTACTCACGACGACCAACGCTAAGATTAAGACAAAACTATTCATCTCCCACCCTTATTTGAAGTGACCTTTCCTCGTAACCATAGTACCAGCCACGACGCGAGACGGGTGTCTGGAGAAGTTCTCCTGAAAGCCTCACTATATATATCATTGTCTGTTATGAAATAGTTACTTTGGCTGTTACTCAAAAGAGTACCAGGGAATTATCTTGATGTATATACTCAGACTTTACACTAATTACACTTTATATATCATCTTGATATTAGGTTAGCCATATTTGACAATATAGTTTCAACAATTTATTCAAAAAACGCATAGTTTTATTAAAAAACAAGCAATCTGAAAGTTTTAACATTTTTTTTCTTCTCTCTTATCCTTTTTAAGCTATTGAGCATTATGCATTATGGGAATTCAAATGAAAACTCTTCAATAACAACTTTCTCATCGAATAACAAAAAATAACGCTGGTTTTCTGCTGGAAAAAACAACTGATGAAAAGGTGTGTTTATGTGTCATGAATGGTCATTCAGTTAAAAGGAATAAAGCATTGCTTTTTTTAGTAGTTCATGTTGAATTTTTAATCACACCTTTTTGTATAACTCAATTAAATGATGTATGAAACCTGGTCTTTTATGTGTATGAGCAATTTGTTTTGACACTAACAAGTAAAAGATTTACTTCTTTCTCATCTGAACAAAAATAATGATTTGATTTTTATGCAATTGTATATTTTCATACATTCCATTTAAAATTTCAATTATTAGAGATAGTGAAGTAATATCATAGAAGTTTTATTCCATGTTTTTAAACTCTAAAATATTGCATGTCTTAGATCAAGTTAAAAATTTTAAATATATACCCATGAATATTGCTCTTAATAACTACAATCCTTATATTGTACATGACATATTTTTTCCCTCTTTTTATAGGAATGTTGCAAAAGAAATAACTCAATTTTTAACACCTTATGAAACATCTCAAAACCATGCTGTACTTCCTAATAATGAAGTCCCAACTTCAGCTGCAGCTCATCAAAAGAATCTTAGTGACCTATCACAATGGAATCCATTCATTAATAATGCTCCTGGTGGCAATTTAGCAGAAGATCAGGCTTTTGGTCAAGAGTTTGATAAAATTCGTAGGGGATCTCAAAGTAGTAAGTGTAGAAAATGTATATAATCGTTGCTTCGGTAATTCAAACCCAAAACTACAATTACTTGCAAATAAATGGTCTACCATAATATACATTTATCCAGTTTTACTATATTTGCCTTAACATTCATATATTGTATCTTTTCTTATAATAAGAAATATTTAGTTAGTGTAGAGGACAAATTTACTCAGTTGAGTTACTTAAACCTGCAGTAAAAATTTAACTCCTTAATCATAGATAACTTAACTTTATTTAGCGTGAAATGTGTACCAGATTTTAGTCATGTTACTAAATGCTAAAATATGCAGAGATAGGCAAATTTTTATAGTTTAAATTAAAATACTTATAAATTTTTGGCCGTGTTACTGAAAAAAGTACTAGTAAGAAAATAGTACTAATAGAAAATAGTACTAGTAAAGTACTAGTAGTTTCAAAAAATAGCTCACTGTGAAAATAGTTAGAAAAAATGGAAATCTTTTAACCCACTGGCGGTTTAGAAAATGGGCAAAATTGGGAAAATGTTTCTCCCCTATACACTATTCCCCTTCCTATTAACATGGAAAAACTCGATTTTGCTATGCGTAGAAAACTGTTAAAATACGACTTTTTATGTGCAGAACCGTCAGTGGATTAAAAATTGATGTTTAAGTCCAAAAGTTTATTCCCTCCCCTTTGATAAAATTAACCCAATATCTGTAGTTTATTTAATTGGAGATTGTCAAGATTCTTTGGAAAATATTCTAATTAGAGCCAGAACAATAAAAAGTGGGCAGTTTTTCTTACATTTCTAAAGCTTGTGGGGAAGACCCTTCATTTGTAATCAACATTTTTACCTCACTATATTGTAGCCCTTAGTGAGAGAGTCAAAGTAATCCTTTAGGTAAAAAAGTTGGAGATCTCGTTTTTCATTAAATAAATTAACTTATTATCTTTCAGTTTATTGGTTTGGTTTTATTTACTGTAATTAATTATCTTTCAAATGGCTATTGTTACACTCAGGAAAGGATGAAACTGTCTTATGAAATATGATCTGTTTTTGTTTTAAATCGGAGAGCCTGATTTAATGAAAATTGAGATCTTTCTTTGAATGAGAACTTAAACTAGTATTTTATTCTTTCTTTTTTTCAGGTATTTCCAATGTTAAAAGTCGAGAGAGTCTAGTCATGAGTGCTACAGATTTAACTGATTCTGATCCATTTGGTGCTGCCCCTTTCAATTTAAGTGGTAACTATTCATAATTTTTTATAAACATTATAAATATATTTTTGTTTTTCTTTCTTAGGAATATTAAAAATGCATACCTGCCAACTTTTAATCCTTTCGAGGAAGGTTTTCCCCAGTGGTAGTAAATTCGAATTTAAATTACAATTCTGGGCCGAAACATATGCTGTTTTTGGATAAAGCTTACGTGGACAATCACGACAGTATTTTATATCAATACATATGCTTAAATGTTTTAAAAATAGTGGTGGTCAAAAAGGTTTTAAATTAAGTTTTTAAATGGTAGGAATTTATAGAAAGCATACATTTTACTACCACTTTAAATATCGAAATAAAACTTTACGCCAAATGCGTAAAAGTTGGCAGGTATGAAAATTCATTGTATAGCCATTTATTTATTAATAAAAATGCCAATTTGTTTAAGTTTTTGCAAGTTGCATCTTGAGCCTTTTTTGTTCCTGCTTCACCGGCTTTCTCATTTAGTTTCCGGGGAGGATATTCTTTTGTCAGGAAGAGTCTTTCAATTTTGGTCTTTAAAATAGCCTTGTCATTTTCAAGAGAGACTGTTCATCTATGCATAGGTCTGCTTCTTGGGCCAAGTACCCATAAGTTTTTCTATATTTTTTTTTAATATATATCTATATATAATACTATCTTCTGTCATACATATTACATGACCCACTCGACTCACACATCTTCATCTGTTGTTTGGAGAAACTCCTCCCAAATGCAACACTTGTAATGTTTTACTTAGAGTTCATCACATTTTAACCATTTGTCCTTGTTTTAACTAACATCGTCTTACCTTTTTTTAATAGCACTATTTTATGTAGGAAAGATTTATTAGGTGAAATTCATCATCCTAACATTTTCGCATTTCTGCGAGCTATTGGTATTTTACATTGTGTGTAACTATTTTATCTTATTTTATTCACTCTTATTTCTTACCTGTGTACCGTTCTACTTTTTCTGTGTATTTTATAGAGTTACGATTTTTATCAATTTTTATTAACTTTTAAAAATATGTGTCTTGTGATAAACAATTTTATTAGTTACATTTATTTTATGTCAAAATTGTTGTGAACAATTTACCATTAGATCTGACTCAACAAACTGTTTGGTGCAGCATAAAACTTCTACATTCAATCAATCATATTACATGACCAGCCCACTTTATTCTTTAAATTTTATAAAAATTTATTACATTTAGTTCTTTAAAAATGTGATAGGGCTCTAATCTTCTATTCTCAATTTCCTAAATATTTTTTACGAATTCTAGTTTTTTTTCATTGTATAAAATAAGGATTCTAATTTTACCACACACTAAATTATAATTTAAAACTGTATTTCTTTTTAATTTATATCTTGCAGGTCCTCTAAAATCGAATAAAGGAACATGCCCAACCCGACCCAATCAACTGCCCCTCGCATCCTCCGGTAAGAATGCTAAAAACGACTCTTCTGCCACACGGTATTCATAAGGCATCTCTCTTACTGTGTTGCTGACACTGCACCTTCCCTAGGTGTGTCCACTTCATGGAATTAACTCTACTCATTTTAACCTCATTTCCTCTTTCTATCCAAACTTCAAATGTTGCATTATTTTTTTCCTTCAATTAACACTCACCCTAACCCTAACTAATTGCAAACAAAGGCCAAAAAGAAGTCGTGATTGTGAATATTGTGTAGGCAATGTTATATCTTTCTCTTTAGAGTTGTTTTACTTCTATGTTTTATACAGCATGTATTGATTTATGAAGTTGTTTCTCTTAGATTTTGTATACTCTTCTTGTTATTATTTATATCTGTAGCACTTACTAGTTTATTTTTAATTTATTTCTATTACTATTAGTTAATGGTTTGCCATAACATTTTAGATCTAAGTATACTGTTTTTATGTATTACTGTTGATTTTTATTTTGTTTAACAAATTAGGTGTTGAATAGGGTGTAAAATACAGAAGTTTCCAGAAGGAAATTATTCTGAAGTAAAGAAGTGTAATATCAAAAGAATAACTGTGAAACATTTTATTCTAAGATCACTTTATTTTGTTCAATTCAATACATTTCCATATCTGTCATTTCTGCTTAACTTGATAATTAATTGTAGGTCTGAAAGCAATGTAAGATTAAGCCACAATTTTAAAATGTTCAATAGAGTGTTTATGGTTAATGCAACATTATGAGTGTGTTGTGTTCTTGTGGAAATTCCAGAAACTTGTGAAAGTACCTATTTGTAAACTGTACTAATATACAGTTTGATAGAAAAGTGTCACCTTTGAAAAAGTGTGACTTATCACAATGTTATTGTTACAATTGATCTATTCATCATATAAGTTGAGTCTTTAATGCTCTAAAATGTACAAAAATTAAACATTTTCATGTACTAAAAAAAATATTAGCTCTCAAATTGTTGTGGTATATCACCACAAAAGCATCTAAAATGTCTTATTTAATGCAAGAACATCAGTTTATGTTTGAACACAAGAAAATGATCCTAAATATGTCAAATATATAATCAGTTATTTAAAAATTTTCACTTTTTATCTCACTTTAAGAGTTTTTTTATATAATGCTAGATGTCTGTGGCAAACGTCAAACATTAAAATTTAACACTCCAAGTAATTTGTCATAAAACATAGCAGTCAAAATTGATTGTACTCAAAAATGCATGTTCCTTGTTAAGTGCTATTTATTTAATTATATAGCACTTCAGTAGGACTAAACTGCATAACAATATGTATAAGTCTACAGCATGAAAAACAGTCAAATATCTTCAGAAACATGTTTTGAATCAAGGATCGAAAGACACGCATGTAAAATATTTTCAAGACATGCATTTAATGAATACAAACTAAATTTTTCAATATGTGCCTCTCTTGAGGTCAAAAAACCTCTATTTGTTGTTGCATCTTTTAGAAACTTTTTTGTTATTATTATTAGCTATTTATTTCATGTGTTCTTGAGATATTTGAATGTTTACGTACTTTTGGAACACCCTGTATATTTATAAAAAATTCTGGATTTAGGGTTCATACATTTAGTTATTAATAATGTTTTATAAGCTTAAAAAGGAAGGCTCTTTTAATGCAATGTAGATTTTAAAAGTAATGAATTTTGTCTCTATATTTTTATGTAATGTGGCGTTTTTGAATACTTTTAAATCTTGTGGCGTTTTTGAATAATTTTAAATAAAGGATAAATAGAAGTCTTACTTTTAACTAGTAACATTTTATTATTTAAACAATTTAAGAAATAACATTAATATAAGGATATACAATTAATTCAACTTATTTATACATTAATTCTTACGTGCTTTTTTAGAATAGATGGAGAGAGACTTACCAAGTTTAGTCATGGTTCGGCCTTTTGTCACTTAGGCTGATTGCTTTTGATTGCATTTCGTGATAGTTTTTCAACCCTTTCCTTCGGCTGCTTTTATATCGTATTTTTTGGGTGATAAAAAGTTACAAATCTGAGGAAAGGTCAAGTTCAAAAGTCATTGTTGTTTTCGAGTTTGTCCCATGATGGGTCAATCACATGATGGGGGTGACATTGTAAGATTTAAACCTAATCGTTTATTTGAATTACTTTATCCGTATTTAACTTACTATTTGCAGATGGAGATTTCCCACAGTAGTTTTATTTGATCGAAGACTCTGAAATGTTCTAGAAATCTAATCTTAGCCCTTTCTCTTGATTTTAATTTTGAGTGACGATAAGCGTCACAGTAATATTTTTTTTTCCTACTTTGAAATAAAATGAATTGAAATACTTCCTTAATTGTTAAAATTTCAATATTTTTATCAAATAAATTATGTTTAAAATTCTTAACTCTTTGGCAACTGCGTACAAACTTTGAAAACTCAGTTAAAATATTTATTTTGAGTGAATTTCTATTTACTCTGAGCTTTTCAATTTTATTGATAATTATTTTTAAAACATTACTATTTTTTAGAATCTAAATTTTTTTTATCCAAATTACTATAGTTTGCTTTCTGGTAATTTTCAAAATTAATATTTTGATCACACTAGATTGAACATTCTACTCTTATTTTGTATAAACTAATTTAGAAAACATTTCTTGAGTTTTAAAGAAAAAGGAAATAATTTTAATTTGAATAATTATTTTTTTAAAACAACATTTTTCAAAATTTTTATTGTATAGTTAATGAAAATATGTTAATATGTTCTTTTTCTGAATTATTTTTAAATAAATAAAATTGAAAATCAATGTAATAAGGTAAAAAATTTTATTTGTAATTTTTTTAATTATTCTAGAAATGACAGGTATGGTAATATTTTTAATTCTTTGTGGTTACAAATTGACGAAGAAATTTGTTGCCCGGTGTTTTTTAAATAAACTGAAAACTTGCTCCTTTCAGGTATGCCAAATCGTGATATAACAAGTTACGCTCCACTTTATTCTGAAGAATCTGAAATGGCATTACAAGTGAGGCACAGACATAGTAGTGAGAATTCCAGTGCCTCTCATGAAGGCAGTCAGAGTGTTCACAGCGGTCGTTCTGGAATGGATATCTTTTCTTCATCCTTTACACGAACTCCAGCTGAAGATCGCTCTAAATATGAAAAGCTTCTAAATGATGACTTTGAAATGAAATCTCCTCTTGAGAACAGTAATGTAAATAGCTCCTGTGAAAAAGTTCCTGGCCCAGAAATGTGCAGTGGTAATAGTTCTCTGGAATTTCCTCCAGTGCAGGAAGATAGCGATTCCATAGGCTCAGCTAGTGACTTAAGAGAACGAGTAGATTCTAGTGGTGAAGATGAAGGTTCCTCTTCTGTATTATCTGATGAGAAACCATCGGACAATGTCAGGAATAGTCTTCCTCCTGATCTACCGGTGGAATTTTCCGTTGAAAGATCTAAGAAGTCCCCAGTTATTAAAGAAAGTATACCAGGTGTTTTTACCGACCATACTGAAAGTGGACGGCCTTTGTTGGATGATGAATCATCGGAAGATGATAATCAAAATGAATGTCTCTTAAATGAAAACAGAAAAAGTAGTAACACATCTTCCCTAGTTGTTTCTCCTACGACTATAGTCACTCCACCAGAATCACCTGTAGAAGTAACACGAAGCCTTGATGTATTTGGTGCAGCCCCTTTCAAACGACTAGCTGGATATTCTAACCCTGCTAAAACTCCTCTTCTGTCTGAAGACAAAGAGATAGATGTTTTCGCCCAAGCTCCTTTTAAAATACCATTCAAGGGACAAAAAGAAAGCTTTAAAAATTCATTAAAAAAGAAGAAAGACAAACCAGAAAGCTCTAGCATTCCTCGTAGCTCTGATAGCTTTGGAAGTGCTCAAGCTATATTTTTACCAGATATTGTACCAAGTGTGGATACTTCCACTAGAAAAAGTTTACCTAGTATTAAATACACAGTAAGTGATAGAGGCTCTCCAGTAATGACTTCCATCTCCCCTACTTTGTCTACTGATTTATTTGGTTCTGCCCCATTTTCAGAACTTTCTCAAGATTTTAAAACTACCCCAAAATTACCCACGCCTATGACATGCCAGCCTGTAGCTGCACCTGGTCAAGTCAGTAATATAGTCATAACTTACCAAAAACAAGTAGCTGCTACGACTCAACCCCAAAGTTCCCCAGCTCCTATACCTCCTCCTTCCTCCAATAGCAGTATTATCCGTCGCAAATCAAATCAAGATTTATTTGGAGCTGTTCCTTTTAGTGCTGTTGCTCCAGCTTTAGCTTCACACAAAAAACCTCCTCCTATTATTGCTCCTAAACCTAAACTTTCTGCTAGAGTTGCTAGCCTTCCCTCTGAACCCCTTCCGAGTTCATCTTCTAGTAAAAGCATCATTGACAATGGTAATTTGAGATCCTACAGCACTGAATCCTGTGAAGAATCCAAATTTACATCGTCTGTGGACAAGACAAAATACAAAGAGTTGATTGATGATGATAATGATAGTGCATTCACATTTAATCATGATGAAAACGTGAATGTAGTATCTTCCAAACACTACACCCAGCTGAAGCCTATTAAAAAGTCAAAACATACCAAAAAGAAGGAAGCTAAGGAACGATTGAGCAGCACCAATGCCTTTGCAAACATGAGTTTTGAAGATGTAGTGAGTGATGATGATTCACAATACACGCAGTCTTTCATCCGTGAGAGCAGCAACATAAAGAGAACGTCGCATTCCTTCAGAATAGCTAAAATTAACTAATTATTTGTAAAGGAACATTGCCTTTTGTAGAGTATGTAATTAATCAAAACAAATATCAATTTTGATTTATAGAAAATTATATGAATGAATTTATATATTACTAATTCCTGTAATCGTGTTTTTCCATTGTTGTTGCAATTAAATAGGCCTTTGAATATTGTAGACATGTATAGGCCTAGTTGTCACAACTATGTGCATTTCTGTATATAATATATATAAAGATATATATATATATCATATGGGACTGTAGACAGCAAAGTCAAAAGACCCAAGTAAATAAAGAAATATTCTTGCATTAATTGTGTGGATCAATTAGTGTTTCCAAATTATTTTGAAAGCAGCAACAAAATAAGCTATTTTATAAGTGTTCTTTTCAGTTACCTTTATTTTTGTTAAATAATTATTTCTTTCATTGAGATCGCAAGTTGTCCGTGGGACCCAGGAACAATTTTAACTTGCAGTATTCTTAAAAATACTGTGTATTTAACATACAAAATCGTGTATTTTTATTTTTCATTATATTCTTGGGCGCTTTAAATGAGAACAAAGACTGAGAAAAATCGGAAAACTAAAATATCTTTCCGATCATGATAATCTAAATATATTTTTATTCATTATTTTGCACTTTCACATGTATGTATGGTGTATAAATGAAAATTATTTAGTCAATCACTTTAAACCATTCAAGTCTAGCCACATTGTAATTTTTATATGAAAAATACCTTTGTTAAAAAAAGTGGAAGTATATCTTTTTTTCTTTTATTCATACCAAGCTGGTATTTTTGTGTAGCCAAATATAAATATTTATATCTTATGATAGACAGAGTTGTAGCTTTAAAATAAATCCTAATTATGGAACTCGCTTTTTAAAAGGAAACATTTTTTTTTTTAAGGAAGCTACTCACATATTGGGTCAAAAAAAGAATGTTCGTCTAAAACGATGCATACTTAGTCATTACAATACAAATTTATTTCAGTGAATGTTTTATTTCATTATTCTATTAAAAATTATTCCAACCCGTATAAGAAAGCATACGATTTCGCTATATCTGCTGTTTAGTTTTTAAGATGTAAGAACTATTAGGCATTTTAAAAAAAGATACTTCTTAAAATTCATTTCATAATTACTCAAAAGTTTTCATTTTCCTAAACACATTTTTTACCTCTTTAAAATATAGCTTCTTTTAGCTTGGAGGAAATAAACTTCCTCAATTAATAGTTTTCTACTATTAGTTGATCTTTCTTTCATCTCTTCACTCTTTTGACATTTAAGATAATCAAAATATCTTTGTTATGCACATTCAACTGAATGTTTCATACCCATTATGGTGGGAACAGAAAAAATAACACGCTAAATAACTTTTCTTCTAATAATTGGATTTTCATGAATTAAGTGCCAATCTAGATGGTTCATAGGGATGACTTCAACTATATTAATTACTTAGCGCCATCTATTAATTATAAATTGAGTTACAGAATCAGACACAAAAACATACTTTCACTGAATAAGCATACTGCTTTTTGGCAATTAGCTGCAATTCGAAAACTGACATCAGTAGTTAAGTCAGGAGAACAGTTTAAAGTCTGGTCCCCTTAATATTAGTTTCACATTTTGCAAGGCCATATCTTTGGATCACACAGCTAAAAAATTCTTTTATTTAAATATAATTAAACCAGGTAAAAAAAATTTTAGTAATGGTCGAAATTGAAAGGTATACAAATTCTTACACCATTTTGAACAGTGTAATTTTAAACAGGGAAATGCAAAACTTGAATGAAATTGGTGAAATAGTTTCTGAATAATAAAATTTTTAAAAGGCACTATTTTAAACTTTTATTTTTTAAATTATTGTACTCTCCCCCTCTACAAAAAAACAGGACGTGTGTTTTCAACATTTACTGTACTAGATGAACAGATTTTACTTCAAAAGTAAAATAATTATTGACATTCAAATAAAAAAGGCTATCATTCAGAGAACAAGATTCAAGACATCTGACAAAATTTACATTGTACTCACAAGTCTTAAAAAAGTAGAGCTTTGAAAGAACGACTACTAGAAGCTGAACCTTTTTCTAAAAAAATAGTACTTGACACCCAAGTATTTTATACTGAAAATCTAATGTTTCTTTTCATCATGTAAACTATACACAAATATTGATTTCAAGAAGAAGAAAAAAATTTACCAGATTGCAGAAGTTTTGACATCAATAAAAAATTTACGTTCTTTTATAATTCAGTATCTTGGACTTTTTTTAATAGAAAAAGGAAAATTTTGTAAGACCTGGAAATCCTGTAGTATATAAAACTGACTTATATGAGCTGTAACCTGCCTTACTCAAAAATGGCTAGTTATTAAGGATAGAAAATGTGTAAGAGGTGATGTTTTTTTTCTAATTATTGTATTTAAAAAAAAAAGTTAGAGCATTGATAAAATATCTGCTATTCAACTGAATACTATAGTGAATTTGATATATGAGTAATATAAATGTAATGAAGAGGACAGTAACAATGAAAATTCAGACCTAGAAGATGGGGATAATAACAGCATAAAAAAGTTAGATGCTTTTAAGGATATTATTTGATAAAAACTTAACACTTTCTTTTAATTATAAAGCAAATGAAGTATTGTCTATTACGGTATGTCTAGATATGCAAATAGAAAACAAAAAGTGTGCTACATTAAGACTTCTCTTAAATTAAATACTGATAACCAACCAAAAGATGTATTTTGTGTAGAATTAAGTCTAGTTAAAAATTTCATTTAGCAATAAAAAAATTATATTAATATTAAAATAATATAGAATTTTCCCTCAGTTCCAAGCAATTATGTTTTAGAGTTTAGTGTAATTTGAAGCTTAAAATGTAAATTGCAAAAACAGATATTAAAGAACAATTTAATGAAAGAAAAAATACATAGAAATACACTACAAGAAATTATGTTGTCCACTTCAAACATCTAGTATCTTGATGAACACCATGACATCTGACGCTACAAAATTTAGTACCACATTGAACACAAGTATAAGCAGATTCAAATCCACAAACAGCACAAAAATGTCTCTCTGGATATTTGGAGGAAGGAACTTTAGCAGTCAAATAATTAGTCTTGTCTTTCGTAAAGAACTGAACTTCATCTTCTAAGAGAGCAGTGAAATTTTTTCTGAATCTTTGTTTAAAAGGTTCAGTTTTTAGTTTCCTCCTTTTCTTACTCTCAATAGTTTCTTCAAATTTTGGTGCATTCTTATGCATAACCAAATTAGCATGTGGATCATCATGAAAATTGTCCTGCTCCAAGACTTCTAGAGCTTTTTTGATCCGCCTTCTGCGGGAAGCTTCATCCATGACTTTTCTTTGGTTCGACTCCTTCACCCTGCTCGATTCACGCTTATCAGCCATGATGAAATTATTAAAGTGATTTACGAGAATACAGTAAATAAACTTAGCAAAATTGGTACAGTTTTAGCCAATGGGAAAGTCGATTCAGATAAATAAAGCAAATTTATTTTTCAGCTAATGGGAAGGATATCTGATCCATTAAGTCATCAATGCGTGTTTGAAGAACCTCTAACATCTCGGCAGCAATAAAAAGATGTGTTTCGTCGAGATCTTCTATGATAAATTTCTTTTTAAAAGCATTAGTTTCATCCAAGTGCAACAGAAATTGTTTCATTGCTGAATCACTACAAAAAAAAAAAAGTCAGTTTTAAGATTGTTTAAAATTAAATATATTCTGATATTTAATAAAAACAGTTTCAGATGGAAACTATTTTACAAACAAAGTAGACCAATCAAGATCAATTTTTTTTTCCAAATTGATTTTAAATATTAAATAAATAAATTAAATTCTCTCAATGCAATATATAGGTTAAAAAAATATGTAGTGCTTAGTAAAAGAAATTAGAATTTATATTTTTAATCTATCTCTTTGAATAAATCTCCTTCATCAAAAGATACGAAATTTTCACTTTCCGTTGACAATCAAAAGCTGGAGAGTAAGTTCAATCTTTTAAAATGTTATGTTTTAAATTAAACATTTGGTGCTTTAAATCCAAAAACATGGATGCATTTTGAAATCAACAATATTTTATTCTTAACAAAAAATGCTGAGTCCAGTCCTCTATGAAACCACTCTTTTTGGAAACATTTACGTTTATGACCACCTCATTCTGATTTAATAATATAATAAATGTGTTTAAATTTTTAAGACGTACATTCAGTCAGTACTCAGTTTCAGTCACCAAAAAACTTCACGATACACTTGTTTACATTTTAAAAAATGTTCATATATTTGTTAAATTCAAATTAGTGGCAAACAAAAACTTTAGTCAGGCTAGTATTTTTAAAATGAAAATTTCTCACCAGTACAGAACTAAGCTTAACTAGATTTCCACAGTAATAAATGCTAGATTTCTATTCTATCGTGAACAAATCTCATTCAGTATAAGTTGAACTTTAAAGCAGAATGATGTCTTATATGCTGATGATTTAAAAGCTGCATTTATTTGGAAAATATAAAGATAATAGGTATCCATTCTCAAAATCATGCCAACAGAGTCTCCAAAAAAATGTCTATTTATTAGAGTTCAAAACATATAGACTTTTAATTTTGAAGCAAATAAAGTCTTTAAATCATCGAGTACAAACTGTATCTCATTATTCAAACTTTAAACTCATATCACCAACCACAATGAACTTTCTGAATAAACTACCACATGCCTCAATGTTTTTAAAACAATTTCAGTCTTTTTATTCCTTACCTGTTCGTTAATCATAAATAATAGAAAATATAAAAAACAATCAAGTTACACAATTCAATGAATGGATTACATTCACTAAGTTAAAAAAAAAAAAAGATTAAGAAAAAATAATTAAAAGAATGCATTTTTACACTTCATTCTTTAACAATTAAGTGCTTTAAACAAACCTCATCTCAACAAACCAATACAGGGGTCTGTCTAGGTTTTTCTGAAAGGTACCTATTTTGTGAAAATTTAGACATAATTTGTGAAAAATTAAAAATTATATTAAAAAATCAATTGAAAAACATGGTAAAAATATAGATTTATTGTTTCTTAAGGGATACAAAAGTAAAATTTTAAGAAAAAGCATTTTGTGAAACTCCCGTTTTTCCTAAAGTTGAATTTGTGAAACTGCCGTTTTATCTAAAATTGAATTTGTGAAGGTACCGCTAAACGGTAGTAAATTCGGCCTGGGCAGACCCCTGCAATAACAGATTTCCTTTCACTTTTCCCATTTAACTTAATAAATAATAAAATAAATATAAAATGCAATCACTTTTATGATTTTCATCTCTTTTCATTATGATTATTTATTAGTCAATTTAAACATTGAATAATACTTTTGGCAATACTCTAAATAAAATCTTCAATATTAAAATCAAACTTAATGAACTTTTTGACTTAATGAAATATTGCACTTAATAAAATTTTAAATATGTAAATTTTAAAATATGTTTTTAAATCTAATATAATTGTGTGAACACATTAGTGAAAATGTGTATGGGCTAGTTTCTACTCTTTCCAAATTTTTACACCAGGAAAAATTAAAAAGAATGTAACTATGTAAATGTTTCAGAACTTAACAAAAAATTCAATGGCTTGTAAATTCAAATTTTTAACAAAATGTAGTTCAGAAGTTTGGAATAACTTCAAGAGTCATTTTTTAAGTTTTTCCTGCAATGTACTACATAAAAAAGATAATTAAAATTAAATCTGTATGATTTATAACCTACAACAAAATTAAGACTCTTTATCATTTATTAAAAAGAGTTACAAAACGGAATTGTTTAAAGCAAAAATCTATACAGTCAAATTTTAAAAAACAGCGACAGATTGTGAAAAAATTTCAAACAAAATCGCTTGATAGAATTTATGTTACGGTAATGGTAAATGAGGGAAAATGCAGCATTTTAGTTTGATGTACAAAATATTAGGGCCTAATAAATATCACAATTAGGTAAAAATATGTCCCAATTAATTTATTACTAGCAACACACATCGAATAACTCACCATTCCACTAAAATGCCTTTCATAACATAAACCATCTTGAATTGTTCTTAATATCCACCAAATCTATATTTTATTTCACGCGCTTTAGGATAAAAAGAAATAACTGCTCTCAAAAAAATAATATTTTAACTCTATTACATCTTTACGTTTTTATCTAATATTAAAAATAAATAAAACGTTTGCAGCAAAATAAATGCATTTCTGCCAGCTTTTAGCTGTACGTTTCTGCCCACATAAAATTAATGACTTCAAAATCTAAATAGAAGTTGAAGTCTTTTGTCATAGATTTCATCACTTATGTCGCTAACAGTGTAACAGTGCCATGGAGTTCGTGAACTTTAAGAGTTATTCTCACTGTAACAAAAAAGTCGCGGGGGTGAATTTAGAGAAGTATAAAGTATTTCACCAATCAGGTTTGTATTCGCATGGCCAGATTTGTATTAGCTGAGTTTTAGAATACAATGAGTGGCCTTTACCGAAAAATATGCGAAAATATCGTGGGAAAAAATGTGGAAAACTGTCCGTGCTGGCAAATGGCTGTAGTTCTGATAAAAGAAAAAATATTTCCAAAATTGAACTATTTATCTGTCGACTCCATTTTTTGATTTTTTCTCACCCAAAAATTTTAGGAAAAAGAAATTCATCCTAGAAAAAATTTTACATTTTTTGTTTAAAAAAAAGGGGCGAATTTGGCGAAAAATGGCCATTTTGAAGAGCCCTACTTTTTAGAAAGATGCCAAAAGAGTTAACTCTTGGTGTGCTCGATCTACTAATGCATTATAAATAAGTTTTTTCTTGTAACTTTTAACTTAAACATAACAGAGCTCAGATAACATCAGCAATCCTTAAAATAAGTGTGAATGCTTAAAATTTTAAAGATAAAAACCGAAATGTCAAATACACATCTTACACATTTATCAAAGCCAATGGCTACTTCTTCATAAAAGTTTCCATGGTGAAAGTGCCCTTTCAGAGTTCTCGTTAATAATCGAAGGGAAATAGGTGGGCCATTTTTATACTGACCCCAAACCAATGACGTACAGAAGAATAGCCTATTTAAAGAACTACTCTCGCCATAGGCACTCATAGTCTACTTTAACAAGGGAAGTGGGATAAACAGTTAGGACTAGTTTTGAGGGGAACGACGAGTGAAGTATTAGGAGCTCCTCTCTCTAAAATGAGCCACTTCTTGTTTCAATAGCATCAGACGCCCCCAAACTCATTTTGAAGGAGCAGTTCTTCAATTAGACACACTATTTATAGTTACTTGAAGCATATAGTATATATTACTCGAAGCATAGTGTAATAATGTAATCAGTGGAGGAGAAAAAAACCGGGGGGGGGGATAGTAAAACGATGTAAATCCACAAAATATGTAAATGTTTACGAGAGTTGTTCTGTGGTAATAAAAATTACGGCAAACTTATTATCATTTTTTTTCCTTAAATATCAAAAAATAACAATAATTAAATTTTGCAAACAAGATTTTTCTTAATTGGAAAAAAAAGGATAAGAAATTAAATTTTAATGTAAATGTCCTTTATCGAAAGCGTAAAAAAAGCTTTTATTTTAAAAAAATAACAAAATTTTATGGTTAATTAATTATTTAACAAAATAATCTCATAATTATCACTTTTAGGGAATATCTTAATCATTTAATGATTTAAAAGTACTTATAAGACTTGCATAAATTTTTTTTAACATATTTTTTCCCACTTGTTGCAAGAACTTTCATAATCACTTTTTCTTTCTGTCAAAAACTTTATGATATAATGTTTTTGTTTCACAGTATTCAAAATGTGAATATGAAACTTACATCATATTTTAACTCGAAATTAATTTTCTAATTGGTGTAAAACAATTACTTCAGAGGAATCGGCTAGTTTTCGAATCGGCTAGTTAAGTTTAATATTCTTATAATTTTTATGTACTTATTGAAATTAATTTCATTTGTAACGAAAATGCTTCTTTTTTATTGCAAATTAGTTTCAACCGTTATTTGACATATTTGAAAAGAATGAGTTCTAGAATATTTATTAGATTATCAAACAACTTTTGAAATTTTGGCACAAGTGGAAGAGATTAAAGAATTAAAAAATGGTTGATATATGTTATTGGCGATCGCAACGCTCGAATACGCCATCTGGGGAGAGATCGGTTTCTTTTCTTAATATTTTTCCTTTTAATTTAATGAAAATATTTTTTAAAATTTCTGTGATGCTCTTCTTTAGAACTGTGTTTAATGTAGTTTTCAGTTCCATACAGTTTTCCAACTTAAAAGATTTTAATTTATATGAAAATTAAGAGAGAAACTAACTTACTTCCTTTCTCTATGACTCTCCACAGGCTAATGGGGAAAGCATGTAAAGTGTTGCATAGGTAGAGAGTTTTGCTCTACGCCACAAGTCGCACTACGCCTGAAGCCCATTTCGATTGCCAAATACAAATTTCAAAAATTTTATTCGTTTTAAATTGTGTCTGAACAGTCTTTCGAATTACAAATATTCATTATAAAGAATGTGTTTCTTCTTAAAATCCCAGATAAAAATGTAATAAATTTGGGATTATTTTCTTTTCTTCTTTGTTTTCTGCGCTCAATAGCAAGGCGATCATGTCACAAATTTTAAGCCTAGGTTAAATTAATTTTATAGGTCTTCGAAAAACATAAAAATGCTCAAATATCTCGAGAAATATACAATAGACCAAAAATCTAAATCCGAGTAAATATTTTAAATGGTGCATCGAATTTTAGCTGCCATCTAAATATTACACGAGCACTCAACTGGGGGGGGGGGGGTTTTNGGGGGGGGGGGTGATTTTGAATGACAAAGAGGAGGGGTATGAGCAATACTTAAGGCCTGTTTAGACGATCCAATTTCTTGGACAGAGATTGATATTGATGGAAATTTGTTTTGCTTTCAGCTTTGATCGTGTAAACAAACATCCAAGAACTTGGTCCAACATCTCGGACGATAGTAGAGCATGTTCTACTTACCATCCAAGTTTTTCCCCCTTAACCAATCAGCGTCATAGGTTTTGTGACGTCAACAGTCAGGCAGCAAATTATGTCATCTTCTTGTCTGTTTTCATATATTTTAGTTCAAATAAATTGATCTGTTGCGGTTTATTTGTGTTTTTATGATTTTATTTGAATTTATTTAGTAATTTTAAACTTATGTAAGTATTATTTTAAAATGTTGAATATGAACAATGCGCATGCGCAAGTTTTTCTTTCAACGAATCAGCGACATTCAAGAACTTGGATAGTGTCAACGAATCATCCAATTTCTTGGACAGAGAAATCTGTCCAATTTCTCGGATTCAAGAATGTGTGAAGGTTCGAATCCCAGCGGTGGCTGGTTGATACGAATTTTGCACCCGGCTCACACCAACCACAGTGCTGACGTAAAATATCCTCAGTGGTAGACAGATAATGGGTTTGAATGCTCTTGCCGTCGGGCTAACCATGGGTGATTTTAGTGATTTTCCTTTCCATTTAACAGAAATACGGGTTAGTTCCATCAAAACATTGGAGTTCAACATTGAAAGTCGTAAACTAAGAATTGAGTCGGCTGTTCAACACCGGTTATAAAATAAAATAAAATACTTAAGTAAGGCTTAAAAAACCTTTTTTCAATGTTTCCTTAAAAAGCTAATTAAAATGTAGCAAAAAATTACACATGGAAAAATTTTTAAATAATGGAATAGAAGTTGAACTTCGGGAGAAAAAAAATTCTTTGGAGAGTTTCAGATTGCAAAAGTTTTGAACACGTTCAGATTGCAAAGTTTTGAAAACTCCACACACAATTTTATAAAATGAATTAAAACGCAAACTTTGCTTAATGCTAAGTTACATATTTTATTTGAATTAAGTACTAAATTTAAATTATATTACCACAGTAAAAATCATAATTGAGACAAAAACTGGAGGGGATAGCGATTTTCTTTCGTAAGCTTGAAAGGGCGTTTGCCACTTCCTTAATTTGCAGATAAGAGGGCAGGGGGAGTCCAAAATTTAAAAAAATATGCTTCCTTAGTATTCGAACTGTCCCATACCAAACTCGAAGCTCGACTGCAGACCTTGGAGATAGTAACCTTTAAAAGCTACTTCAATATCTTAAACAGAAAACACTATTTTATATTGCAGATACGTATTTTCCGTAAAAAAGTACCTCCTATTTGAATGACAGGTTCTTGCATTTTGATTCACAGCGCACTTTGATCGCAGAATGAAAATGGAATATAGATTATGTAAAATAGATTTATCTCGAGAAGTACATGTCGGATCAAAAAAATTAAAAACAACACGTGATAGATATTTTGAAAACCTATCTTATTCCCCCAAACTTGCCCTCACATTCCCCGAGGCTTTAGTGAATCCTGGGAGATGGAGACGACTTAGGGAGTGAGGATCGAGATAAACAGATCTTTAAATCAAATTTGGATATTTCTTTCTGGAAAATCCGAATCTGCAATAGAAAATAGAGGTTCCTATTTGAGATTTTGAAGTTGTCCTTACCCCACCCATAAGGTTCAAGTTTCGTATCATTGACCGAGACTTTAGACTTCCCTTTACGGACAGTTTTACATATTTATTAAAAATATATTTTGCGATAATCACGTTGTATTATTTTGCACTTCTTTTCAATAAACAATTCTCATGAAAATCGGAATGAAATGTAATTTCAATAAAAACAGTTTTCTCTGCTGTTTTAAAATTTTAAGAATCTGAATACATAAAAAGATCTTGCCATTGTTTCACAACGTGCCCTTCAACAAAAAACAGAATGGAATCCCTAACACTGTGTTTTCAAAGATTAATTTTAAATATTTACCGATAACGGTAATCCCTTAAGAGATTGAATCTGGTATGCTGCACCCATTACTTGGTAGTAATTGAAGGGAACGGGTTATTTAGCTTTACTCTCAGCCGGAGTATTTACTTCCAAATATCAAACTGGTTTTTTAAAAAAATTCTAGTAATTTGAAATGGAACACATGATTAAAGTTTGAGACAACATATGATTAAAGTTTGAGTGAAATTGTTACTTCACATCACTGTCAATCGAGTAATTGCAACTCGAGAAGTAACTATGCCCCTCCATGCGATTTAAATGGATACCTTTAAGCGACGGCACGGGTGTGTGTCGAACTTCATTGTCTTTTGAATCGACAAATGCCCCCGAGTTATCCACGATGACGTCACTTGCAGGCATCCAATTAGGGGGATTTCAGCTAGTTACCCGATAATTACAAAATATCAAGATGAAACTTTTTTCCATTTATATTATAAAGAGCAAATGAACCAAATTTAAGATTTATCTTAGTAAAAACTTATTTAGCATTAATATCCATAAGACTAATTACCTCAAAAGTTACAAAATATCGAAATTAAACTTTAGTTCCTCCCTCTATCTGGGTTGAAATTTAGAATTCCTATTTTTGTGGTAAAGTTTTATTTGGCATAATTTTAAATTTGAATAATTACTTAGATAACTACGAAATGAAACTTAAGATCTTTTTATTTTATAAAGAATGCAATGTCCGAACTTTTAACTTTTATCTTGATAAAAGCGTTATTATTGCCAATCACTCTAATTATCGCGATAATTACAAAATACAGAAATGAAAATCAAGTTTTTATTTATCTATTAAATAATTATTAGCTTTCTAACTTCTTGGGAAGTGGGAGAATTAGTAATGATGAGTCAGGTTAGAACTTAGCATTTTATGTAAACAGATTTAAAAGTTAAGAAGTGCTTCTGTAGTATTCTAAAAACGTAAAGCTCTTATAAACCTCTGCAATAAGAAGTACAGAATATGCTATATTGATTCAACAGTAAAAGTGATGCCACCAAAAGTTTGGAAATATAAATTTAAGTGTCACTGTTGCCGATTATGTAGAATAAGAAAAAATATTTTTACAAACTTAGAAAAATTTAACAAAAATCTACTACATAAACTACAAATTAGAATGAAACTCTTATTTTACTGATTTCACAGTTAATTTAATGCAATGAGAAACAATTTTCGGTGAAAAATATTTTTATTTCAAGGTTAACATACAATTTTAAAACTTGATCGTGCTACTCATTTCTCTAACTGAATTGAACCAAAATGCCCGCAGTCTTTACATGGCTGAATGCACTTTAAGACCATGAAAGATTTTGAACACACATCCGAACAAACCACCTAAGGTTTAAGGTTTGCCTTCATAGTTATGGCTGATTCAGCTTCGGCAAATGAGTACTACACAAATTCAGTCTAAAAAAGCTTTTTTTCTCAAAGCTAATATGCTGAAATAAAATTCCTTGTCGTGAAACATTTTGTAGAAGGTACTGTATAAGAGATTAATACTGAATAAAAGTTTTTTTTAAAAAAAAAAATTAAAACAATGGACTGGCTTTTTTAGTTTAAAGCCGTCTGAAGCTAAAGTTGCTATTGACGACGACTTGCTAGCAAAGCTTCGATGTCTGTGGCTATGTCATCTGGTGGCGTTGATGGATCATATCGTTTCACTGGAAAACCGTGTTCGTTAACCAAAAACTTCTCAAAATTCCATCTAATGTCACGTACTTTTATAGGTGTGTAGAACAACTTCTTCTGATCAGAGAAATCATCTCTTGTTGGTGGACAGAGGGACTGAAATGAAAATACAAGATTTATACAGAGTTTGTTTCGAACTTTAAAAAAATGTATTGAAAAACTAAAGACATCTAAATAAAAACTTTTATTCTTAATAGGTAAAATAGTTACTTATTTTACCCGGGAGGGTGTATTTTAATTTCAGAGAAGGAGGATGATAGAGATGGAAAGACTCTCCAAAGAGCCATAATGGGGCATTTGCGCAAGTAGTCAAAGAGTTTTGTTTTTCGAAAAATAAAATTTAACCATTTTTAAAATTGGATTATTTCTTACAATGTATTTTATAATGCCAAATATAAAAAAAAAGCAGGATTTGTACATTTTTACTTGAAACGTTTGTTGCACACTACACATGGAAGTTTCGTTTCGACGGGGAAAAAAAGAACAAAAGCTGAAAATTATAGTTATATGGAATTGCATAAAGCATTCTTGTATTTTAAGGTGTTTGTTTTATTGTTTAGAGAACGCGGCAGATACACAAGCTTCGGAAATTAAGACTGAAATTCATTTTTAAAGTAGCGTATTCTCAAAAAAGATTTTCATAGAGAATTCTTGAATGACTGATTAATATAAAATACTCTAAAATAATATTAAAATCAAATATAATATAAAATAAAAATAAGAAAAAGAATATAATACACGTAACGCAACAAATATTTTTAATGTTAATAGATGTAGTTAAAATCTATAACATGTTTTTGGAAATAGATTGATAAAAAAGCAATCACGAAAAAAAAGAAAAATTTAAAAAAAAAATGCATAAAAAACTCTGTTTTGCTTTCTTTTAATAGCCGATAGCTGTGTGAAAATTATCTTCAAGGTAATTTAAGACAAATTTAGAAGAATGCTCATGGTTTCGCAACACAAGAACACCCAAAGAAAAATTAGGCAAAAAAAAAAACATTGACGAGCATGTTTCTTAACATGCTTGTCACGTCCTTTCCCCCAAACGTTCTTTGTTACGAACTCGCCAAACCACTAAATACGCAACGCAAAAACATTTTTAATAACTGATAACACAAGGTGAAACTATTTATTCAGGATAAAATAATAAGGTTTCACAGTAATTTAAATGAAAAATTAGAATGATCTTCTATCCCCAATGTATGTCTTAAATATTAACAATGGAGAATTGCATCATATGAAACATTGTCGTAAATATTTCAGTATTGTACTCGTATTTTTAAAATTAATATTCTTTCACAGAAACAATCAATAATACCATGAAAGTTTCATAACATAACAGTCACCATAAAAAAACAATTGAAAAGATTTTTTGTAAAACGATGGCAAGCTGCAAATGCGAACAAAGACAAGTCACCAATTCATAAATTATGCTTTAAAAACTTTGGAAGTGAGACAAATCAAAAATTTGAAACATACTTTGAAAAGAGATTTATGACGCTATGTAAAGTTGAGTTGTTTTACATAGCTGTTAAAATTTTATATTGAAAAGAGACATTTGTGTCATTGTTTCACAATAAGCTTTTTATTTTGTCCTTAAGAAATAAAGTTACGATAAATTACCTTTTTTAGTGAAATATTAAGAAATATTACAGAGTTGACAATTAAAGAAAAATAACTTTTTCTAAATTGAATAAATGAATTATTTGATTGAATAAATAATTCACTTATGAAATCCAAATTTTACTTTTATTTATTATCATCCAATTAAAAAAACGCATTAGTAAGGGAATACCAGTTCATATGATAATCTGACAGTGCCCAACACATCCATGCTGGTTTATTATCGCGATGAATCAGATTAATATTAATAAGTCCATGGGAATTAATAAAAATTATACCATTCTTATTAAAGAAAACAAGATATTAATCTACTTGTTACATCAAGAAATTACTTTTAACTAATACTAACAAATCCCCAATGATACTAATTAAAAGTATAAAATATAATCATTTCATATATTGTTAACAATTCCGGATATTTTGGTGGAAAAATATAATCTCAATCTGGCAGGATTTTGCTTTTTGGTTTACAGGTGGCGCTGTAATTGTTACATAAGAATGAGGATCAAGTTGTTTAAAATTGAGCTAAAAAATGTCGATAATAATTAAAATAAAAACAGTCGTATTTGATATTTTGAGAAACCCAACAAATGACACCAAACTTAAAAGGAGCGGGTGTCTAGTTAGGCGACATTAGTACTGTTTTTCAAAATATCGTACACAATTTACATAATTTTAATTTTACGATTACAGTATCATCACCCTGAAGGAATAAAAACTATTTTAAACTTTTACAATTCCAAAAAATTATAAAAATCATCAAAAATATTTAAAATAGAGCCGCCAAAACGGCCATATAGTGATTTGCCCTTTTGTACCTCCTTGTGAGCCCTTATTTTATGAACTTCTAAATATAATTTTTTAACAAAAAAAATACATTTTGCATATACTAGAGGGGCTTAATCCTAATAAATTAAAATAACTATTTAATATAATTCAACTGATTTTAAACTAATACTGTGAACTGGCTAAATAGCACCTGATCTGCTGGGTGAAAAATATCGCAAGATTTGATTAAATTAAGCGCTTAGATTTCAATATACGTAGTAAATAAGGAATTTATGTTAAAATTCTGATGAAAGTGCACATATAGTTTCCTTTTTCCGATTCAAAATTAGTTCAGGGTTAAGGGAAGCTACTAATCAAGCCAGAACGGTTACACAAAAAAGCTTTTGTTGTTGCAAGAGAATAAACCACAGAACAATTCAATCAGGACCTTATTATATGGGGAACAAAAGACAACTTTTATGTTGTGTTATTAAGAAAACAAATCACGAGGTAGGATTGAGATCGAAATCAAATATTGCCTTCATCCACTGAAATAAAAAGGAAAGAGTTTTAAAAAATTTTTATCTCTGTAATCCGCCTTCCAACGTTTTAAAAAAAAAACTTTCGATAAAAGCATAAAATATTTCATACCCAGTGTCTTAAAAAAGATATTGCTAGGTCACCTATCCTTTTTGTTAGTTGATTTTTAAGTAGGGGAGAATGGGGTCAATTGTACCATTTTTAACTTAACTATTTTTAACTTACAAAAAATCCAATATATTATTAGTATTAATTGACAGACGAGTAAAGTAGACTATCCTCTACTAGAAAAAAAAATAAATACCTTATTTTAAATGTTATTATATTAGTTATTAACAATTTTTGACAGTCGTGCACTTGTTACAATTGTCCCCACTTACGGGGTCAATTGTAACAGTTCATAAATTCAACTAAAACATAGTTAATTATACATATTATCATAGTTGTGATATATTTTTTTATTGATCAAAATAGTAGTGATATTTTAGGAGTAAAAATAATAATGAGCAGAGACCTAAAGGGTTAAACTTTTAACTTTAAGGGGTTAAAAATTTTAATTTATGCTGTGAAAGGTGACAAATAAAATAATGCACATGCAACATAATATAAATGATATAGGAAACTATTGGTAGTTCTTAAAGAGTTAAGTAATGGTTTGTAAACATAAGATTATTTATTTTCAGCTGTTACAATCGTCCCTTTACTTGTTGTTACAATCGTCCCCCAGACGCCATTCCAGCTTCATTTGTTAAAAACAATGCTAGTTAATTAACAAAACTAATATTTTTTTTATAGAAATGTTAATTAAGGTGTCCACTAACATATTCGGCTAATAATTTTTATTTGTTTTAACAAAATCACTTTGTTACAATATATTCTAAACCAAAAAAAAAAAGTACTTACGTAGCGTGAAAATATCTTTTGTGATGTAACTCTTTCAAAAGTACATAAAAATGGTTGCCAGCAGGGGTGTACATGTAGATTTATTAAATACACCTTATGCGCCACTTGGGAACCAAATCTAGAACCAGACACTCGAAATTTTTAGCTCTGTTACAATCGTACCCTGTTACAATTGACCCCACTCTCCCCTGCTAAAAAATCATATTCCGTTTGTTTATTTCGCATTAAATTAAACATACCAACTTTCATTTTCGATACATTATTATTTTTAATTTTAGGGATATTGATAGGATTTAATCAAAAGCAGGGAAGACAACCACCTCAAGTAAAAATTTAATTAATTGAAGTTTGTTGTTAATTTTGTTTCGTCAAAAGACAAATATAGCATTAGGGAGAAAATGATCTAGAGTGGCATGTATGTGTGTGTGTTTCTTTCCTTTCTCATTGGTGCTATAGCTCCAGGTGGGCCCCAGCCTTTCACATAATTTTATCCCAAGGCGTCCTCTATTCCATTTATTTAAAGCGTATAGAAATTTTAATTAAAATAATGTGTTTTTAATATTATTTTTGGGAATAATATTTGTCTTCTTCATATGTGCTAATTTTGCTCTACGCATGACTGATTAAGGTATTAGTTCAGGAAATTGCTTACAGAGATAGTGAAATAAACTTTAATAAATTTAAAAGAAAAAAAAACGACCATCAGTCTCCTGACTAAACTGAAGCAATCTTAGATCTATTGGAAATTCTCTGCAAATAGGCTAAAATGATGTAAATGATTTAAATTTTTTTCTGTAAAAGAATTAATAAGTTGCTTGCTTAGTATAAAGTTTGAAGATGTCTTTATTTCAATATCTCATGAGTTTGAAGTATTATTTATAAATATTTTTTATTAATTTTTTTAAACCTATGAAATCTCAATCCTTCTATTGTAATTCGTACCACCTTCGAATACAAAAACATTTCTCACTGAAATACCAATACTTTCCTTGCTCAACTTTCATCCTTAGAAATTAACACCTGCTATATATATATATTTTTTTTTATTAAAACTAATATTTTAAACATGTTTTATAACTAAAATCACTCCGTCACCATGTAATCATTCCCTCACTTTAATAATAAAAATTTTTAAAAAAAACTTATAATTTTTGTATTTTTTACTATTGAGCGTGACTGCTATGTTTTCCTTGTCTAGTACCGTCTCCCGTAACTTTTAACAAAAAAATAAAAAAATTCTGACAAGTGTTTTTTTCTTGTTGTCACTACCTGAAAATAGCCTATTTCTATAGACTAAATCACCCCTAATCTTTCTGCGTTAGATTCCTTAATTTAAATTATCGTCAGCACCAATTACTTAGCACTTCATTAGGCCATTCAACAGGGCCTGATTATCGCCTAGGCATGGGCCTAGGGCCCACAAATTCTGAGGGGTCTCAAAAATTAGTTCAAAGTCCTCAATAATACTGGAAGAAAGTTTTTTCTCAAAATGAGCATTTTTTAATTTCAAATTTTCTTTATATCGTGATGCAACTAAACTCACGTGAACATTACACTAATCGTATTCGAAAGTAATGCACTAATCAAGTTCGAATAAAAAATAATTCAGCTAATCAGTGACTTAAAGCAAAAATCACTGATTTCAATTGTTTGCGGTCATCATAGATGCGTAAATTTTATCTTAGAAAAATAAGCTTCAATTGTCTGCTTCCAAAATTTCGTAGAATGTTTCTCTTGAATCATGCAGTTCAATAGATTCTTTTTCATTGTTAGGACTACTCTTCAGTAATTTAATTTCAAAATAATTTGTAAGGGGCCCAGAAAATTTGGTGGGCATTGGGCAGCAATTCGTCTTGATCGGTCCTTGCCATTCAAATCAAAAAGGTTGCAGACTTAAAACTTCGATCTTTGCATCAAAAGTTTCTCTGAGTGTAACGTTTATTTTGAAAAACTATACATATAGCCTAAAAAAATATTTGAACAAATAATTTCATCAATAAATCTGTGGGAAAAATAATATTTAGTAGTAATGAATAATAATATTTCATAATATATTATATTACCTTAAGGAATGTGAAAAGTGGGTGTTCATTCTCGCCATTTACGTCGATTTTTTGGAATATTGGAAAGTTTGGTTTGAATCCTTTGCCAGGTCTCACATAAGTGATACCATTCATAATTTCCTCCCCGTTACCACCAGGCTCTTGCTGAAAAATTTCAAAGAAAACAAATGTTATGAATCTCAGTAAAAAACAAGTATCAAAATTTAAATAGAACCTTTTCAAACAGAAAAGAGGTTCCATTTCCACCATGTTAACCTACGGAGAACAATATGTATGGGATTTCTTTATTTATTAACTAATTAATATTTTTGTACAGTATTTTTTTGCTTCATTTTATTCATTGAAATGTGTTTAATTGAACCTAGTTTTATGGGGGTAAGTATTTTTAAAACTTTTTCTACACTACTCAATAAAGTGACCAGGTATATAAACCATGATTTGAGGACAAATCAGCTGAACATCCTCGAAAAATATTACGATTTGAGGACACCATGCATTTATGGAAAATATTAATTTATATGGGCGACAAAGAATTTTTTAAAAATTGATAATATCAGCTGCAGAACCATATTCATCAAACTTGATTTCACATTACTAAGTAGTTTTGAAATATCACATTCCGTTAAATTAAAATTTGTTTAATTTTTGCTGAAGTTATTTTAAGACTATTACTGCGTTTTAATCTCAGTTTTAGCATGGTTCTTCTCTTTCTTTTCATCTGTATTCGTTGTTAAACAAAATTATCTTGTTTGCGAAAAACTTACGCATTTCAGTTTTTTATATATACAGTCGGACCCCGATTTAACGAATTCATCGGGACCGGAAATTTTATTCGTTAAATCGGGGTTTTTCGTAAAATCGGGGTTAAAAAAATGGTTTTTTGTACATATGTATTATTAAAAATTACTAGTTATAAACGACTATCTAAGATAAAAAAGGAATTTCCTGTTTGACTCATAGTCCACGTGACAAACCCCCGGAAAATGACCTTGCAAGTTAATGTCTTATTGACTCTGCCCACCTGCACTTTTTCTATTTTATTCCTCCCAGGAAAGATTTTTTCCCTTTAGAATCTGCCAATTACAAAAAAATGCAGTATTTTTCTGATCAAAATTAATGAAAAATATTTTTTCCGGATGCTGAAATAATTCGTTAATTCGGGGTTAATTATTCGTTAATTAGGGTTTTTTGACTCTGTTTTTGCTGGGGTTGAAAAAAATTTCGTTCAATCGCGAAATTCGTTAAATAGGGGATCGTTAAATCGGGGTCTGACTGTATATATATATTTCACTACAAGTCTCAAGTCACTACAATAGCCTCAATTAACCTGCACAATTTTCATTGTTTCTTTTAAGTCAATTTGAGTCAATTTTAAGTAATTTTGAATGTTAAAAAACAGCATATTTTAGTCCTACATCACTAATAAAATTTCAGTTAAATTTTCTTTTCAGAAATTCGATCACATTGTTTGAATTTATGGTGCCAATAGCTTTAAATTTCTTTTTTTGTATCTTTCTGTTCAACTATCGAGAACGGACTTTTATTCATAGTGTTTCTTTTATTATTGGGCGTATTTCAATACAAACATCCTAAATTACAAAGGATGCTGATGGAGACTATTTCCTTCCGCTTGGGATGTACTTTTACGGATCAGGAAACTCCTACGTTGTAAACATTATTAACAATGTTATCTTCAACTAGTGTTTCTCAAATTTTATCGGCCATGGAACCATATATGCTCCAGCTCCTTTTCGCAGAACCTTAACTTCCAAAAAAAAAAAAATTACTCATTAGCAGTTGAGAATATACTAAGAAAAAACTACTATAAATTATTTTGTAAATATTTAAAGAAATAAAATATTTTAATTATGAGTTTGTTCTTGGTGTGCGCAATGGAATAAAAAAAGCTATAAATTAATAAAATAAGCTATAAATGAATAAAATAAGCTGAATCATAGCTTTCCATTGATAAAAAGGTTGAGAATAGTTATCAGAGATTAATTTTATCGGCTATGGAAGAGAGAGAAAGTTTATCGGCCATGGAAATCTGAGTGCTCGAGCTCACAAAACTTTAACTTTTTCCTTTTTCTTTCTTCTTTTCTTTTTAAAAGAAAAAAAAGTGTTTATTAGCAGTTGAGAATATACTAACAAAGAAAAAAAACTACTATTGCTAATTAGTTTGTAAATATTTAAAGTAAGAAATAAAATATTTTAATTATGAGTTTGTTCTTGGTGTATGCAAAGGAATAAAATAAGCTGAATTATGGTTTTTCATTGATATAAAGGTTGAGAATAGAATTTTAAAAAAGATTAAAAAAAGATCAGAGAAAAAGATTTTTAATTTTTGAATTTGGATTTTTTTATTTTAAAGTGAAAAGCTTGATTAGAAATACTTATGGACATTTTCTTTTTACAAATGCATATGCTTTTCACAGTTTATACTAGTTAGAGAAAAAACTCTTTTCCTAAATTTTGCTCCTAATTTAATTACCATTTTATATAATTCCATTTTAACAACCGAAACAATTAAAGTTTATTGATAATATTTCTGGTTATAAAAAAGTTCTAGCTACCGGAATATATGTGAACTTTCCACGGAGCACATTTTGGGAACCACTGATATAATTAAGTTTCCAGTTAGGGGAAAACACTACATTTCTCGCAAGTAAATTTAAATGGTACCAAAACAAACGTATAAATAAATTATAAAACTGCAAAAATAAATTATAAATAATTTGATGAAGAACAATTTATTTAATTGATAGATTACTTGAATTTAATTGTTAAAAAAATAATAGTTTCAACGCAAATATAGTCATTTTTTTTTCACTTGTATTATCCAGACAAAAGACACTTTCAGTACACTTTTTCCTCATTTAATGTATTGAAATAAAATTTAGCAGAGGGTTGATATGTATATGATTATACAGAGCAAATCTAAATTTTAATAAGGTTTCATGAAGAAAAAAATTAATTATTGAAACATGGTGAAAAATCATGTCAAATTGACATTAATTTGAAAACCAAGTTTATAACTATTTTTCAACTACTTTAAGTATCCACTAATTAGCTTTTAAATAAACTTAACAGAACTTCAAAAAGTGTCAAAGCAAGTCTAAGCAAAAATCACGTTCTTAAAAAACTTTCCAAGTTATAAGTATCTTACAAAATACATCTGGTGAACAATTTATTTTCTGTATTGCAGTAATTTGTATTATAACTATACGTACAATAACTTAATTAGTTACGAATTTTTTTTTAATGCTTTTGATGAAATGAGAATTTCCTCTATTATTGCCGAGATCTCGGTGCCCTCCAGAAAAACGCATATTAAAATTTCGTTTAGAAGCAATTTATCAGACCAGACTATTTCGCTAGTCGGGGGTTCTCATATTTATTCAAATCATAAACCTTCTTCAAAGAATTCGAATGTAATTAAAACGTAGGTGGATGAAAAATGCAAAGAAATGTTCTTGAAATTGAATGCGAGTTAAATACAACGGATAGAATTCGAATATCTGAATGCAGCTTAATCGTATTTCTTCCATGACACATTTTCAGACGATATTTAACGACTGCTGAAAAATTTCTCTTTGATATGAAATTGCAAAGGGCCAACATTTTGGGAATCATTACAGTAAATAAAAAAGACACAAAACATGCATTTAAACCATGTAATCATTTTATTGTTTTTATCACGATCATTGCTGTCATACTTTCAATCGGTTTCATTGTAACTAATTATATAATTATGATTGATATTATAACTTATCATAATTGAGTAATTGCAACTGTGATTATGCCAAACCATGCGATTCAAATCAGATTTAATTGGATACCTGCTGTAAGCAACGTCACGCGTGTGTGTCGAACCTTTTGGGCGTCTGAATCAACAAATATCACGATTTGCATACAATGACGTCACTTGCAGGTATCCAATTATACTTGGTGTGGTTGTTCATAACAACTAAGGGTTAATAAGCATAAATAAGATAAAAATTTTCATGTTATTTACATGCGGTACTAAGTTAACCATACTTTATTTAACCAATTGGTATTTTTGTTATTTTTGCATAATTAAGATAAAAATTTTCATGTTATTTATATGCGGTACTAAGTTAGTTAACCATACTTTATTTAACCAATTGGTATTTTTGTTATTTTTGTACAAATCTCTTTCTAATTTTCCAAAAATTAAATTCACATACTGAAAAATTGCTTCAAACCTTTACAATTGATTTAATGAAAATCTTGAAGTCAACCTTATTCTTCTAGTATCTTTCTAGATTCGTAAGAACGGAAACAAAACGGGTCTGACTCGGAGTTTTTGGAGCTCGCTGCAAGATGTTCTGAGTTCCGTTCGCAATTAGATAAAAAAAATTGAATTGGTTTTAAATCTTAGAGAAATACGGAGAAATAACATCTTTCGCTTTTCGTCATCAACAAACGATTTTGTGTTAGTGATAAAAAGTTGAAAATGTTTCGAAAACTAACTTTTTTATTTTATACAAAATATTTTCCAACTCAGTTGCGATAGTATTGTTACAATGTAAAAATACTACATTTTCATATAATTACTTAGTTATTACCTCTTATTTACTTATCACCTCTCATTACTTAGTTATTAATTATTACTTATTACCTCTTTTAGTGTCAAACAAAGCAAAAGCATTAAGTGTTACGTACTGCATTTAATTAAATTAAGTTATTGGTGCCTAAGTAATATTCGAATTTGTCAGTTAAGATTTAATGGTCGTGTGTGAATGGATAAGGAAAAAAATATGTTACACATTAAAAAATTTTTTTTTAAAACTTAGTTTGCTGGTGAGAGAGCTGAGTTTTGTACCCTTCCTCCTAGAACACAAGTATTAAAATTTTCTATTTCAAGCAGAACTGGTATTTTTAAAAGGAATTTCATCGCTGAATCCAACAATTATCTGCAAGCAATTAGTTTTATAGTAAATTTGGGAAAAAATCTTGTTATATCAATGTCTTAAGCCAAAACCTTTTCCATTAAACTTTACTTATAATTACAAATTAATGATAAGTACTTTCGAACATTTGATTCAATATTTTTTATGACTCATTTGTAATAGCTTACATATTTATTTTGTAACAACCCATTAAAAAGCCCCAAAGAAACATGGTATTTTGGAAGTTTAATAGCAACAATAAATAAAAACATCGAAGCAATAAAACTTTATAGCTAAAATGAAAGATCAAAATATAATGGGAATTAAGTTATAAAAGATATCTTGATAAAATATTTTTCAGAAATATTCGTTCGATTTCAGATTCGAAAGATCTATATAAATAGACCGATATAAAACCAAACATAATATTTAATTTTAAAAAAAACTACATTTGTTCCCAGAAGGAAATACTAGTTTATTGGAATTGCAATATTCCAATTATTGCCTAATGACATTTACCGGGACGTTATTGCGAAAATTTATCCAACGGAATGAGAGGTTACGTCATGAAGAAAAAATCTCTTTTAATAGAACACTTAAAAAGTAACGGTCTTAAAAAAGGCTTTGGGGGGGGGGGGAAGGAATTTTGTTTCATGAAGTAATAAATAAGTTTCAAATTATTCTACTTTTACTTCAATTAATATATTTCATAAAATTTGTTAAATCTTACACATTTAGGGTGAATTACAAAGAAATAACTACCTTTTATAGATGTCTACAAACAAAATAACTATTTTTATTAGACTGAACAATGAATGTTGTTGTTGTAGTTAATTTACGTCGCACTAGAGCTGCACAATGGGCGATTGGCGACGGTCTGGGAAACACCCCTGAGGATGATCCGAAGACATGCCATCACAATTTTGATCCTCTGCAGTGGAGATGGCACCCCCGCTTCGGTAGCCCGACGACCTGCACGCGAGATCGAGCACTTTACGGTAGAACAGTTTAACGAGGATCAATACCGCACACCCTCGGTCCCTACGCAAACTGATCCAAGTGGTCACCCACTCGCACACTGACCGTAGCGAGTGATGCTTGACTTCGGTGATCTGCTGGGAGCCGTGTCTTAACGATCAGTCCACTGCGGGACCTGAACAGTGAATGAAAAAAACATCCAATTAAACATGCTTATAGAAACTATACCTGACGCAAATTTAAGAGAATGAATAAAAATAAAAACGAATATGCAAATAAAATGAGAAGAGTTCTCCAAGAAACCTCTCAATCATGAGCATTTAGCAGATAAACCCTCTTAAGAAACACCTCACCTTCGTGGATCGAATCTCACCAAAATCTTAGAAATATTCTACTAAAACGAATTCTCGTTAGTAGAAATGAGAAACCACGAAAATTTTACTATACCAGAAACAAAGTTAATTTAAGCATAAAAAAGCTGTAAAATCCTGTCTTTCAAATTTAAATACTTTGATAACATAAAATCAAACTACAAATGCTTTTTATCCCTGAGGTAGATTTAGTTTTTCACTTTATTTCGATTAAATTTTAAAAACTCGAATTTTTTCCCCATAAAATTGTAGATAGATTTTTACATTTTTTTTTTAAAGTTTAATAATTACCAACGAAATGAAGCTGTTTTTATTTCCGATAGTGTATGAATTGTGAAAAAAAAAGTTTAGTTAAGTTTTCTGGTGGAAATAAAATAAACATACCTGCGCAAATTGATTACAAGGAAATCCCAGAACATCAAAGTTTGAGTGGTTGTTAAAGCGAGGTTTTAGTGCATTCAATTGGTGATAGTGCCATGTGAACCCTCAGTAGGTTGCTACATTGACAATTAACACATGCTTGCCCCTGAACTCCGACAAACTGATATTTCTAGTTTGCAGAATATCAGGAAGCGTATAGTTATAGATATTGACAGTATTATTTGTCGGTGGTTTACATGTACGATTAGGTACACGAATCGACTGTACTGGAGACATCAACAGAACGGCACAAGTCAATAGAGAACACGCCAACTCGTGCCACGCCATGGCAGCGGAGTATCCGAGCAACAGCAGTGCTGAATGCTATATGAGAAGTCTGAAGTTAAGGAACTGGTAGAAAGAAACCCAAACAAAGCACGAAAAAAAGAAGTGTTTTGAGCACGTGATAAAAGCAGGGTTGCCTTAGGCGGTGTTTTTTTCCCCATCTTTATTGGCGAAAGTGGTTTGCAATAATAAATGAAAGTGGTTTTTTTAATTTTTTTATTGTGAAACCTTAAATCAGGTATTGTTATGTAATGAGTTGCTGGGATGTCCGGTAAGGCTTGCTGATGCTTGCATGGAAATTAATTTATTAATTCTTAGTTTTTTTTTAACAATTACCAGTTGTAATAAGAGGGTTAGAATTGCTGCATTAGTTAATGATAATAAGTAATAATTAGTAATATGTTAAGTAATATAAAACTACTTTCGAAAGCTAAGAACTAATTTTAATTATACCGAAGGGGTTTCATGCAATTTAGTATTTTCTTCGAATGAAGTTAATAAAATAAAAAAAATATTTTTTAATCAATTAAAATTCCTTTTTTTTTTTAAATTTCTATACTTTAAAGAAATTGTTTATTAATCAATGGCTTTAAATAGAGTCTTTTGGCTATTTTTAAGTAACACAGTCGCAATTTGTGTGTGCGACCACAAATTTCATCAGTAAAAAAATTAAATAAATAAATAATTGAACTCGTCGTGATTTGTTTATCATACCGCACAAATTATTCCGAAAACTTTTTAGTTTTTTCTATTTATTTTTTTAAATTAATCGATTTTTTTTCTCATTTATTTTCTTTTTATTGTGCACTGAGAAATATGCGTCACATTATAAGCATGTTCTATAGGTTCTTACGAATTGTCAACATTTACCTATGCTTTTCTAAGGCTAATAATAAAATAAAAGATAAGAAATAAACTAAAATTAATAATAACATTCAGATCATGTTAAGTTAGATATTTTTGGTTGAATTTTTATTTTTTACTGGTTCTTTTAGATTTAGTGCAAAAAAAGAGATACGACTAGTTTTTCTACTACTGATCTGTTTGCAAACAGATAGAAATATAAAGATAGCTAAATTTATACGCTGTTTAAATTTGCTTTTAGATCTTATAAGAAATTCTTATCATGCCAATGCAATTTGAAATCAGATAAAATAATAAATAAGAAAAATAGCTCATGAAATCAGCTTTCCAGAATGTTACATCATTGAAAAATTGAAACAGATGTATAAACACATAAGGGTTAAGGGAACATTTTGATAAAATGATTTCCTAATGAATTATTGTTAATGAATTTATTATTTAAGAGTATTACGTTTTTAATGAATGTATGAAACTCAATAAAATGTTTGAGAGGTGCCAACAGCAGCAGACGATAGTCGTGGTTCCAATAATTTCTGAAATACTCTTTATTTTTTACTATCGATGAAGAATCTATCAAAGCAATGGAAAGGCAATAAGGTCCATTTATTGCCCACAATATCGAAACAAAATGATATTGGAATAAACATCCACTTACCATAATATCCACTATCTCTGTGATTGCTTTATTTGTCACAGATCTATTTTGTACAGTGAGCAAGAAATAAAAATCTCCCTGAATAACTTATATTCTAATAATCGGATTTTTAGGGACTAAGCGTTACTTTGAATGGGTCAAAGATTTGACATCAAATACGCTAAATGAATGTTAATTCTTAATCATGGTTTGCCTAGAGTAAGAACTCCCCTAGACATTCGTCTGGATCCGTGGCGGTGACTATGGTAACGAGGTATAACTATTTCAAGCAGGGATGAGAGGTAGTGGTTTAAGACAGGATCCCCTAAAATGCGCCATTCTTGTTCAGCCTCAGACTTTGTGGCTGGGGGAGTTCTTACCATAGACAAACTATAAGTTACGGAATTAGACCCAGAAACTTTGTGTCTTTGAATAATATTTTTTTCTCTGCTGACAGGAATTTGATTTTTGACCATTAAAATATTTTATCTAGAAATGAGTTAGAAATTCGGGACTCTTTAATGTTTATTTGATTTCTTTCTTTTTTTTTGCGTACTGCCATATCTCGAGAACTTTTTACGCGGATCGTAAAATGTTTGCACATAATTATAAAACTCGTTTATTCAAAGATAATTTATCGTAAAAATAATCTTTAATACTTATCTATTTATTATTTTTCATAATTTTATTAATAAATGTTCGAAAAAATTTTGAAAACTTCTACCCATGTTTTGAGCAGCATAAAGTTTCAATGGCCAATTCCAAAATTTGCAGGAAATCAGTAAAATAATTTTTGAGAAATGCAAATTTAAAAATATGCTTTTTTCTTAAAATTTTATAACTCAAGAACTTTCTGACTGTCTCCTCTTAAATTGTGTGAAAGTTTCTATACCTTACATATCAAACCTCTTCTTTTTTTTTTTAAACCAAATCTACCATTATTAAGTAAAATAAAAAATAATCATTAAAAATTATTTTTTTTAAAATGGAATTATCTTTAAATAAACGTATTTTATAATTCCGTGGAAAAAAAATTTCGAATTGCTTAAAAATGCCAAATCCAGAAGACAAGGGAACTCCTGGATCAAGTATTGGGAGAAATTTCCCTTCATGGAGGACTTTTTCAGGGAATTCACCCACATTTGCGTTACATAGAGAGGAAGACCACGAGAACCTCCCTAGGTTAGCTTGACGGCAAAGGGACTCCAACCCACGATCCGTTTACCACTGAGGATATTTTGCGTCATCATTGTGGTCCGTGCAAGTCGGATGCGGAATTCGTATTAACCAGCCATCGGTGGGATTCGAACCCGGTTCACCTCATTGGGAGGCGAACGCTCTATCCCCTGAGGCATCGCGGCTCACTGGGACCATATTCTCAAAATTCTGTTCTAAGTCTTAACAGTCTAAAATATAAATCTGTCAAAAAAAGTAAACTTTTTCAGAGAAAATATGTTGTGTCTGATTCCATAACTTAATTAATAGTTAATAAATTAATTAATTAGCATCTTTGAAGTCAACCTCTTGAATTATTAAAAATTGGCACTTAGTGCATGAAAATTTGATCATTGGAACAAAAGTAATTGTCGGGGATATTGATGAGATTTCTAGAAAAACAGATTTCAGAGTTTGAATGCTTACCTCTTCTGAATGCAATAACTTCATAAATATTTTTTTATTTTATTAACATCGATGACCAGCCTATACAAGTAGTGGAATCGACGAAATAACGCTACACTGCATATTCTCGCAGTTTTTGACCCAATTGGAGAAACCAAGGTCAAATTTGCAACAAAATTCCCTAAAACTTCCCATGCTTAGTTCTACCTTAGGGGTAAATTTTATATCAAGATTGTAGTTGATTCATTCTGGAAGTATTTCAAAATTATCAGACGCACTATAAAATTTAATGTAAAATCTTAATCATCAGGTCATACTATACAGCTTTATTGTTTTTACACAGCTGAAACCGGTTTGCACTTGTTTACGTTCGTGCATCAATGGGTTAAATTAGACGATATATAATATAAATTCGACGATTAGATAAATTAGATGACATATTATATGAATATAGAATATTTGTTATAACAGGTATTATATTAGTATATTATAATAGTTAGACGAAATTATTAGACGCACTGCAGTTTTTTTAATAATTACATATTTTGCAAGCACAATACTTTTATATTTAAACATACATGTAATGGGTTTTTATTCAGGAAATTTTTTATATACTTCCTATTTTGTATTTATTTTTAACGTATTGCATTATAATGTTACCCATTGATACACGAATGTAAACAAGTGCAAACTGGTTTCAGTCGCGTAAAAGCAATAAAGCTGTATAGTATCACCTGAGAATGAATATTTTACAGAGAATCTTATAGTGCGTCTAATAATTTGGCAGGGACGGTATATACGAATCACACAACCAGACAGAATTCAAATCTAAGTTATCAAAACATTGCTAGAAGCTAAGATATATTTTCAGGACGTAATATTAATATCGGCCAAAACATACCATCTGCTGAACTAATCAATCCCCATATTTTATCGTATACATAGCATATTTATCTTACATATTTTATCTTACACACACACACATGAAGTCACTGCTAAGATTTTGTTTATCTCAAAACGTAACGAGTTGTTATAATCGTCTGAATAGAACACAAAGAATTGTGAAAGTAATTACCTGACCAAAATTATTGCAAGGGAACCCCAGAACTTCGAAGGGAAGCCAGAACTTGCTGTAGGATGTTTTAAGTGCATTCAGTTGATGGTAGTGCCAAGTTAGGGCTCAGTAGGTCGCCACATTGGCAATCAAAAGTGTCTTGCCCTTGAAGTCGGACAAACTCACATTTCTTGTTCCTAGAACATCAGGAAGGGTGAAATTGTGCACACTAAGATTCTTGTCTTCTGGTTCCTGGCAATTTACGCTGGTCACACGAAGGCCGAGACTTGGAGTTCCCAGCAGAATAGCGCAGGTTAGCAAAGAACGTGCCAACTCCTGCCAACCCATGGTTACGAGTCTGAGAAAAAAAACGGGTGTACTTTAACTTTTATGAATACTACTCTGATTTTTATCTTCGTGTGGGAAATGAAACAAAACATGCAAAATAGTACTTATCAGAAAAACTGATAATGTATGATTTATCAATATGTCCTACTTTAAGTCTCGAGTAAAGGAGATATTTTTTTAATACAAAATATCTTTAATTTAAATAAAAAATCTTAAGAAATTTGACGTCAGTACCATAGACATAGCTCAGATAATCACGGCTATGGCTGGTTAATTTGTTTATTTACACCTGGAGCTTATACTTCTTATAGGAGCCTTATAGTTTGTCTATAGAAATAACTACTTTTGCCCGAGGTCGACTACTGCTACGGAAACAAGAAATGGCGCATTTCAAATCGCTAAAGCCATTTAGGCTCATAACCTAGTTAAACTGCAGATTAACTGCATAACAGATTGCCAGATTAGGGTAATCCGGTAAAGTGAGGAATCAAGTGTTTTCTACTGATTGCATATAGAATGTGTGCATAAAAGGTTTCCGTGAAGTTTAAGTTCAAAATTTATTTTGTCTCATTCTACCAACTAATTTG